CTCGTGTAGCAAATGTTTTTACAAGATTAGCATTTTGGGTCATTGGTAGAGATTCGTTCCCATCGTTATCGATTTCAAGTAATCTTAAGATGAAAAATTTAAATTTCATGAAAATTATCCGCTTTGTTTAATGTATTCTAAATTTAACGAAATGAAGGAATAAGAAAACATGGTTTCCAAAGATATCATTCCTTACATTCTTTTATAGATATCAAGGTCGCATGCTTTGAATAAAAATAAATAAAGCTAGTCTTTTGAAAGGTAAAGTTGAAGCTGTAATGAAATTCTTTAGGTTATTTTGGAAGATAGAATTAAGAAGGATGGATTAGGTCAGTTTAAATGGATGAGTTTAGTTTGATGTAGTTTCATGAATATGTTCAGTTTGTGGGTTTTGATCTATTTTTACTTGGCAATTTTGTCAAAGGGATAAGTTTAGTTTGTAGAAAACGTTTTGTTCAGTGGATAAATTCAGCCTTTTGGGATACGTTTAGTCAAATTTACCCAATAAGTTTTAGAATCCTGGATTTATTCAACAAGTTAATTTTCTAAGATATAATTGAATAAGTTCAGTTAAATTTTAAACTGAACAAAATCTAATGTAGTCGTTAGTTTGATCTGATTATTTCCTTTTAATCCATCTATAACTTTACAAACTAGTTTGCTGTTCATTGCAAAGAGTATAATTTCCGGAGAAATCCATCATATTATTTATGAAGTATGTGAGAGCTAATAACTGTAAGTCTTGTAAAAGCAATTCCAAATCGAATTAAGACATTTACAATGAAATGTTTAAACAAAAGAGACCCGAGAGCATTCAACACAGAAAAAATGAGCATGTACAATACCAAAATTTATAGAATCTTAACAATTTGAAGCTTTCATGAAGGAAAATCAAACATTTGTTTAGTGAAGAAATCCGAAAAGCAATTGCGCTTGATTTATACGTATCTTATATTGCAGGAATGACTTCTTTGCTTGTTCATCTTCCCGATGCTGGTAGTTCTTCTTATTCAAAGGATATATACGTTTCATGTAAACGATATATCACACTTAAAAACTTTATATTCTTATTCGTCTTCCTTATTTCCTTCATTCTCGTATTCTTCTCGTCTGTTTCCTCAAATGAAAGCTATATATGTGTATAATGTAAGTAGACGCTTAGATATTGGAAATGATGTGATGAAGAGAAGAAAAAAAACCATGGAGACACCTTTACATCCAACCGTTCATATAAAATCTCAACGAAAGACTTTTTATTTCCTTTACTTTTATTTATTCTTTTCATTCTGTCTTCATCTATTCATCTTTCTTTTTCTAATATTGCACGTGATGATAAAAGAAATGTAACAAAAAAGACAGGCAGACGAGCCCATTAATCAAGAAAGGCAAAGAGAAAGAAATCTAATAAAGAAAATTTTCAAAAACACAAAGTTTTTTGGATGAGACTTGGTGGGGATATAATCGGATTGATTTCGGTTTGCCTTTCTCTTCTCTCTTTCCGTTTATGTAGAACCGGAAGATTATATTTTCAGGGACTAGTATGAAAGAGGCCTTTTCAGTATGTGAAGCGCATTTTCGAGGTAGAATCTCTGTCGATGAGAATTATAGACTGAAGTGGACATCCATTGACTATGTCTTAAGCAAAACAAACTTAATTGGCAATGCAAATGGTGTCGAGTGCCAACAAAAGCTGCAAGAAATCGCTAGACAATAGAAATGACATTCAATTTGATAGTTATTGCTTGATATTAAGAGTCTTTTTGTATCTTAAAAGAGGTTGTTCGCTAATGATGTCTGTTGAATATGCGACTATTGATCTGTGTATGAATGGTTTTTGTATAGGAAACCTTTCTGGGTTAGATAGCCTGAAGTTAATTTGATTCCGATTTTCAATATGAAATTCGAGCTGTCTTCAAGCTCTGATCATTAGGGAAGGTTTATTCAACCTAAAACTACGCAAATAAAGCATCTATTATTCACCAGTCCAGCAATCAAGTCTTCAAACCAATAAAACATCCAGCAAAGCATCTGTCTAGCAAGCAAATCAACAACCAGGCCAAAGTTGATACAAAAGCACATGGTTATAATGGGAAAATGTGTACAAAAAAGTATAAACGATGGAGGAAATGAGGAGGAGGACATCAAAACAAAAAAAAAGAAAGGATATATAAGTTGATTGATTGAAAACCACTTTTGAGCAATTTTCTCTCTTTTTTTTATGACAATCAAAAACAATGGATTGATCATTTAAAAGAGGAAAAATGATGGAAATGAAATTATGTTATGATGGAGGGACATATAACATTGTTCGGAATTATTCAATCATAAAAAAATATTGAAAAAGAAATCTTTAAATTAAATGGTATTCCGATTAATTCCCATTCCATCTCCATTGTCTTTAACTTTTCGTTCTTTTTCATACAATTTACATTTTTTGTGTCTAAAGCATAAAAAAATATCTTTCAATTAAAATTGTTACCAATCATATTTTTCTTCTCTTTTTTGTCTGTGCTGTTAACAGCTCCGGTGGATATGCAGCATGGGAGAAAAGTGCGACTATGATGATATCGTTCCGTTTCATTCGTTGTACTGAGTCTCAATATCTGTTACAACTGACTTCTTATATTATTAATATCGATTTTACAGCTTACTAAATTCACAATTGAGAAATGCTGTCAGTTCCGCTCTCTTTTTCTGTAAAAGCTCACTCTCTTGATTTATTCTCTCTGTCTCACGAGCTTCCCTTTACATCTGACTTAATTTCTAGTCGGATATACTCGTGGGATGACTTATATCCTTGCTGATAGCAAAAACTATTGTATTAATGGACCAAATATTTCTCTGATAGCAATCGAAGTTTGTAAAAGCACGCGATAACTTCTTGGAAGCTCAAAGCTTGTGTATCGCGTGTTCTGCCTTCTAATAAATCGTGCAAAATTCATGTAAGTCTTTCCTTTATAGTTTACAGCGTATCGTAATCATCATAAAAGGGAAGGGAAATAAAAGAGAAATTTTTTTAAGGTAAAAAAAATTTATATGAAGTGAAAAAAATAATGCAAGATTTTTTTACTTCCTCCTTTGCTATTTTTCACGCTTGAATCAAACTTTTTATAACTTTTGCATTCAGGAAATTTACGACATAAACTTGATTCACAAATATAATCTCCAATTTAAGAGCTCACTTTCGCTTTTTCACATTTTCTCTTCTTTGGACTCATTCATGTGCAAGAATTTGGTGCTTCTTTGATAGATGTACACACCCGGTCTGGCTTCTATAGGATAAACGAAGACAAAAATTATTTAATTTACCAAAAAAAAAGGGAAAAGATGAAAATTGGTCCCCAAGAAAGCCTAAAAATAGGCAATTTTCATGCGTTTAAAATGATTAAATTAGATTGAATGAGGAAGAACGAACGTAACAGACAATCGAAATTGTTTGAAGCAATTCATTGTCAGTATGGAGCCGTATTTTCTACTATACTTTCGTTATTATCCTTACGTACTGCTCGCTGTGTGCTATGAATTTTCACTATCATCGTCATGATTATTATGAACATCATCATGTGCCTATTTCTATGTTTATGTATTGTATTATAGACATATGAATGAATGAAAAATATAATATTCACATGTTCACACACAGTAAGAGTACTTTTTGAACTTGAGAATGACAATATAAATTTTTTGGAGTCACAGACGGGTAAATGATTACAGCGCATTCATGTCTAATGGAGTCTGAAGTTCAGCATGATTGAATTCATAGAGTAAGTGCTAATATTGCTTAAATTTAATTTTTAACGGGAAAAATTTTCTATTGCACGAAGTTGAAAATGTCATGTGACTCCAATGTTGAGCTTCATTCACAGTCGGTATATTAGCAAAAATTCTTCGTAAAACATCATTTAAACTTACAAAATAATTGAATGCTGATTTTAACCGGCTTTTAAACATTCAAGTTAATGAACTGAAATGAAACGAACTTATTGATTTCTGAACGACTTCAATTAAAGCTTTAAATTCCAAATTGAGAATTCAAAACGGTTTAAAATGATGGAAAATGGTTTCAAGTTGATGATGGAAAGCTCCACAAACCCACAAAGCTCTTGTCAAGATCCGCCCAAAATTTCAAGTCCATAAATATGACAAGCTTATTCGCAGTCATCCAGTTAATCACCCAGTCATTCAAAACGAGCATAAAAACCACATTAGTTGCCACAAATTATGCGCCAAATATATAATATCTTTATTATTTTGCATGTGATGGCATGCGAAAAATATGACAATATAAATATTTTGTGGGGGGGGGGGGGGTTAACTGAAAAGAAAGCAAGCAAAGAAGAAAATGCGTTCATCATTTATTATTCATTTAAGGATTTCATTAAATTTATTTATTATACTTCTTCTCGTCTCTTCTTTCTAAAATTTACATAAACAGTTTTATTGTTATCATTATTATTTTCTCATAGCTCAACAACTTTTTTTTTTGACAAAAAAAAACACAGTTTGATGTTGATAAGTATCAGTATTTTATTTAATATATTTTTTACTTTATTTAAGTTTTTTTTTTCTTCAACATTACTCCTGACAATAACTTCAAACCAATAAAATTTGGAATGCATTTTTAACAAATATTCACAATATAAGGAAGGAGGTGAAATCATCAAGGATGGAAGGGGGGAAGTTAAAAGACACAGAAAGAAAGAAAATCAAAGTTTTTCAATAACTTTCTAGAATATAGATTATGCATGTATTTATGGATGAAATACTGGGATTAAATAACACTAAACATTTATGAATAATTTTTATTATTTTTTTTTTCGTAACTACATCTTGATTTTATCCCATTCACTCGCTTTGTTCTGTCTTCAAAAAACAAATCATCAATGTCTTGTCACGTGTTAAATCCGTTAAAAATTCAAATATTTTTTTGAACTTTAAGTTCAAATTTTTTTGGCTGTTAAAATCAAATAAAATTTGATCGTTAAATTTAGCATAGCAAGACAATGATAAATTGGCATAAATCATGAAAGAAAACATTAGTCCTCTTTCATGTATTTATCAAATATATATCTTGTTAAAGTAAAAAGTTAAGTGTATAGGTAAAATCGACCCTTCGTACGCTTACCACAATATTATTATAATTTTTCTCAAAAAACTTTTAATGACGATTTAATGAAGCATAAACTATATTGCCGCAGAAAAAAATGATGATTTTGTTTTATAACGAATATAAGTTTCTTTTTCTTTTTTGTGTGTCTATATAAATATATGTAATATATAATGTTGCATGCTTAATGACGTGAATCCCTTGGATAGAACTCGGCCAAAATGGAAGCTGGAATACGCTTAAGCATTTCTTTGGGGAAGATACGAAGCAATTGCCATCCAATGTCCAAAGATTCAAAGACTGTACGGTTTTCGTAGTTTCCCTGTGACATAATAAAATGAAAAAATTAATTTAAGGACATTATCAAGTTAGGACTTTAATTAATCTTACTTGTGCAATAAAGTTCTTTTCGAACTTTCCTAAGAATTCCAAGTAGAGCAAGTCATCAGGTGTTAAAGCTTCCTCACCGACGACAGCCTTCATGGCTTGTACGTCCTTACCGATGGCATAACAGGCATACAATTGATTTGATACATCAGAATGATCTTTTCTTGTCATACCCTCACCAATAGCAGATTTCATAAGACGAGATAATGATGGCAATACGTTAATTGGTGGATAGATTTGTCTGTTGTGAAGTTGACGATCAACGTAGATTTGTCCTTCGGTAATATAACCAGTCAAATCAGGAATTGGATGGGTAATATCATCGTTAGGCATAGTAAGAATTGGAATTTGTGTAATTGAACCATTACGTCCTTCAACACGACCAGCACGTTCATAGATTGTAGCCAAATCAGTGTACATATAACCTGGGAAACCTCTACGACCGGGTACTTCTTCACGAGCAGCTGAGACCTCACGCAAAGCTTCAGCATATGAAGACATGTCAGTTAAAATGACCAATACGTGTTTCTCACACTGATAGGCCATGAATTCGGCAGCTGTCAATGCCAAACGTGGTGTGATAATTCTTTCAATGGTTGGATCATTAGCCAAATTCAAGAACAAGCATACATTCTCCATAGAACCATTTTCCTCGAAATCTTGTTTGAAGAAACGAGCAGTTTCCATGTTAACACCCATAGCGGCAAAGACAATAGCAAAATTGTCTTCATGATCATCCAATACTGATTTACCGGGGACTTTTACAAGACCAGCTTGTCTACAAATTTGAGCAGCAATTTCATTATGTGGTAGACCAGCAGCTGAGAAAATTGGAATCTTCTGACCACGAGCAATAGAGTTCATAACATCAATAGCAGAAATACCAGTTTGAATCATTTCTTCGGGGTAGATACGTGACCATGGATTAATTGGTTGACCCTAGTCATTAATTATGTAATTAAAATGCAATAAATTAATGGAGCAATAGAATAACTTACTTGAATATCTAAATAATCTTCAGCCAAGATTGGTGGACCTTTGTCAATTGGCTTTCCTGAACCGTTAAATACACGACCTAACATATCCTCTGAGACAGGTGTTCTCAAAATATCTCCTGTAAACTCGCAAACGGTGTTCTTAGCATCAATACCTGATGTACCCTCGAATACTTGAACGACAGCCTTTGATCCACTTACTTCCAAAACTTGACCAGAACGAAGTGTTCCATCAGCTAATTTCAACTGTACAATTTCAGCATATTTAGGGAACTTGACTTCATCAAGGATAACCAAGGGACCATTGACACCCGACACTGTTTTGTAAGCTGCAAAGAAGATGTAAATAAATTACTTTTCTATACGTCACATGAACGACTCAAACATCTACAAAAACTGATCACATGATTGAAAATTTTCTAAATTATTCAACTCCTTTTTTGCTATCTATTGTGGATATTATGGCAAATAATCATTAGTCCTACTCTTTTCTAGTGCTGTCTATTGATATTAAAGCAGGAACTTTGACTTAATAGTCAAATTTAATGGGATAAATAAAATTATTGATTTTTCAGTATAAAATCTTCTGGATCTTATTTTGACTGTTTTCTTAATTAAATTGGCAATTCTCCTTATCATTACATCTCTAATTATGACAATCTCTTGCTATTTCCTGACTAGCAAGCCAGGAACAGGCCAAGATTTCAAAAGTATAAGAAGTAATCAAAATTTTCCAAATTTGCAAAGTTTTGCAAAAAATTTGAGAATAACTTACTTAAACGCGGCTGTGAGATGAAATCTCTTGATACTGCAAGGACATGCTCCGCAGCAGCTTGTCTAGCACTCATTCCCGATGAATACATCCTTTTTTCTTAATAAATTACCGAGTTTAACAGCACAGAGAATCTTCCACTTATGAAATTTTCAACCAGAAATGTACAGTCGACTCTACACAGTCATGTGACTTCGAATTTTTTTTATCAATTTTGAAAAACGTTCAAAAATTGAATTTATCCGTTAATTTTTTGCAAATATTTATGGAAACTTCATGCTTGATTGATATGATTCGTATGACAATTCCATGATTTAATGAAACATATAGTTGAGAAATCAGTTGGGATGTGAAAGTTGTCACTAGAAATGGAGAAAATTTGAAAAAATGAAAAGCATGATTCTTGTTCGAAATTCGAATATTATTGTAACGACATTTAATAGCAATTGAGCTGTTTGGGTCAGTTTGTTCCTCTAGCTGTCAAAAACTTACTTTGAAAACTTCAAATTTTTGAAAACCGTTGGAATTTAAATGTTTAAAAGTCCGTTACAAACAGAATTTCGGAAGCTTTCAGAAATGAAGCATTAAAAATATTTATCTAGGCAGAATGCGCATAGAAACATCAAGTCGCATATGCTGGTGACCTCGGTGCTTGGTTTTCTCTCTGTGTTTTTTTATTATTATCACTTTTTATCTATTTTAATTTTTTCCTGTCTCATGTGCATTTTTAAATTGTCTTTTAATCAATTTTCCACCAGCTATAGATTAGATTGTGTGATAGTGATAAGAAATTAAACTTGATCTAAAGTAGTAAAAAAAAAACCTAATGAAATGTTTCTTTAATACTAGTTGTGTGTTATAAGCTGTGTGTTATAAGAAAGAAGTGAATTTATTTTTTTCTTGTGTGTTAAAAAGCAAAAAAAATTCCTTAATAAAAGATCATTGTGAGGAGATTTGTTTGTGAATTGAGTTTTTTGATTAGCATATCACGACTTCATCATGTTAAAAACAGCATCTGTAGAAAAAGATACTCTATTGGAGAAATCATTGATTCCAATTATTGACGTTTCATTTGGTAAGTTTAAACAGATGATGATCCACCCATTCAAAAAAAAGTCTTTCTTCCGTATAGTACTTCATACGTAGATTTTACATATGACTCACTTTGTGATCATTCATTCTAAATAAATTCGCTCGCTTAATTGCACAAAACGTACTACATATCATCGTGTGACCTTTAATTCTCTCGTATTCTTTACAACTATATAAAATACGTCAGATGTCAAATATAAGAGAAATATTCGTGCCGCAATTTCATTATTAAATACATAAAAATTTATATTAGCATGTTTTTGGTAAGGCTCAATTAGTAGCACTATTTAATGATTTTTGGCTGGGACTTGTCGCAATTCTATCCCAGTCACGAGTTGAAGTTGTGGTTTCAGGGAATTTGGAATTTCCCGTCATGATTTTTTCCTGCTTAACATGCTATCTTGCATGAGATCACTTGCTTTGTTTCATTTTTTGCACGACAATGTTTTTACCGTTAAAAATAATTTCGAATATTACTAAAGTTCAAATTTTGAACCTATGTAAATTCAAATTCTAAATAGCCGTTTAAATTTTAAAATGACGGATGAAATAATTGCAGTCAATTTCATAGTTTAGATGATTTCTCAATAACTTTTGTTGCCAATTGACAACCGACTCAAGTGCGCGACGATAATTCCCGCTCAAACAACATTCTTTACTGTTTCTATATGAAGTGAGATGAATTTATTTATTAATAATTTTATCTCACAGAAGACATGAGTCTTTTCTCATCTCTTCATTCGGCAAATTTCATATTATTATACAAATATGAATATGTCTTTTAGAGTGAGTCAAGTTGTTAAAAATACGCTTCACACAATGTTCTTTACGATGATACAATGCAAAGTGTCTCGCCGTTATCAATTAATTATCTTTCATTAAACATCAGCAATTCCCATGTATGTCATGTCTTATTATTGTTATTATTATTGATAGGTACTGACGAATGTTTGATGAAATCAGTTGTAAATCGCGTTGCGGTACAACTCGCAAAAGCGATGAAGGAAAAAGGAATGGCAATGTTGGTCAATCACGGCATCTCGGAAGAAAAGGTATTAGCTCATTAAAGGTATTATTTTAAGCGCCTTTGATTTATCATTTATTTCTTATTTTCTCTCGACTGTCAATTTAGTTAAAAATTGCATATCATTATTTTGATGATTTTTGCAAATTGGATGAGAAAACAAAAGAGTTGTATCTGCGAAAGAGTGAAAATGGAAATCACGGTTACGTCAAGGTATTCATCTATTTCTATTTAACTAGATTAGTCGGATATATTATGAATTTTAAGCGCATATTTGCATGTAAAATTTTACTGCTCGTGTGTCTTGGTTGACTGGTTAGATTCCAACAGACATATTTACTACTCGTAAACTATTTGTTTTGTTTTATTGCTTTTTTATGAGCTTTTAAAAGATTATTCAAAAGTTCGTTATATTTATTTTTGAAAATTTTGTTCAGTAAAACTTAATTTTCAATTTAGTTCAGTTCAGTTTGAATTTGAAAATTCAGTTGAAATTTTGTAAAGATCGTTAAAGTCAAATCAACTGTAATTGAATCTCTTAAACAAAAGAAATGATTTATATCCATTGCAATTTTTCATGCTTGCCTTACAAAAAGTAACATTTAAATTTAATTAGCCTGGACAAGAGAAATTCGATGGAAAGACGAAGGATATTCGTCACGCCTTTAACATTTGTACATTAAATGCAAAATTACCCGATGAGCCACTGCCGGGGTTTAAAGAACACATCGCATTATTAGCAAAAGATTTTAAAAATCTTACTGGACTCATATTACAAGCACTAGCTGTAGCCTTAGAATTACCAACAAATTTCTTCGTTGAGAAGCACTCGCATATGCTTGATATAGACAATGAAACCACATTTCGGTAAGAGTATGCTTAATTTTGATCAAGCGTGGAAACTATGAAAATATTAATATTATCCCATATTATCCTGAAATATCCCAAAATTACATGAATTATCCCAAATATCCCATATTATCCCCGTTATCCCAGATATTTTCATAGTTTCCACGCCTTGATTTTGATTGAAAAATGAGATTAGATTAGTTCTTGTTTACCCCAAACAACAGATTGCTGTATTATCCACCACTGATAATTGATGACGAGAAAAATGAAAACTTCACAAAAGGTTCCGCAAAATATTGCCACCAAAACACAAATTTCGATGAAACAAAACTCGGATCATTGAATATAAAGGATGAAAATGATATTGATGAAACACACATCAACAAGAGTGATGTTAACAAAACTTTTACGCGATGTGGCGAACATTGTGTATGTACAATGAGGGGTTAATGGGGTCGTTTACTCATGACGTCTCAAGAATCATTATTATCCGTTATTCTTTTTTTAACTTAAAATTTTGAACTTTCAATTTTCTAATCTTTTTTGACCGTTATTTTTCAAATATTTTTTGACAGTTATTTTTTTAACTTTTAAATTTTATTACAAGTTTTTTTTTCAATTTTCATAGAAATGCTTGACGTCATAAATGAAAGACTTCAATAGAATTATTTACAATAGAGTTATTATATCTTAATTTTTGGACTAATTCTATTGTATTTATTATTTATTTGCTAAAGGATTATGGGACATTCACTTTGCTTGTTCAAGATACAGAAGGTTCGTTGGTTATGGTTTACATAGACCTCAAATTTATTACACAATACTCTCTTTACTGTGAAGATTTATGACTTAAAAATAATATTATTATTTTTTTGTGCTTCCTTTTACTTGGCATTAGGTGGATTGGAAGTAAAATTGCCAAATAGTGAAAAATGGCAAAAAGTCGGTCACTTGGGTGGAGCGATTTTCTTAAATGCTGGAGAATTACTTTCAATTTGGACTAACGGCCTCTATCCTGCTTTGGTAACAATATTTTATCTATTTATTTATTATTGGGTGCGCCAATAGATTCAGGACATGTAAATTTATTTACACAATCCAATATCTCTCTCGCATGACTGTCCTCAATAATTTCTCAATTAAATAATCATAAATTTATGATCCATAAATAGAAACATCGTGTTGTGATTCCGGAGAATTCTGTCGCATGTACGAAAGGTCGACACTCGATCGCATACTTTGTGCATCCTGATAATTTAACTGATATTGTGCCTATCGATGAACCGTCGCCATCAGCTTCTCAGGAAGCTATCAACAAGAAAAAGACAAGAAAAACGTCGTTTAAGGCGGCAAGAATGAAAATTTACAACGCATATCAACATGTTCAGAAACGCTTAAAAGAGACATACGCATCATAAATGAGAAAAAGAAAAAATACTTTGATATTTTATACTGATTTTTATTATTGTTATGATTATACATTTAAAAGATATTTCATCGTTTTTTTTTTCTTTTTTTATTATTATAAATGTAGTAAGAATCAAATTGACAATATTGTTGATTCTTAAATGATTCTTCATCATTTCTTTTGCCAATAAAATTTTTTTGTGAAAATTGAAAAAAGTATAAAAATGTGGCGTAAAAATTGATTTTTAATGTTTTTACATTAGTGATGGCTTTTTCAGTGCTTTTTTGCAGAACCACGAAATGATTGGGTTAGGTTGACTTTTTGAGGTTTTTAAATTTCTGAACGAAAAAGATGTTCAGCAAGATTTAATCTTTTTTAATTCATTTATAAAGTCGTTAAATATTTTGATAAAACCGTTAGAAATAAATTTGAAAATCCTGCTGAATTTCTTCTCATTTCAATCCAGACACTTCATCTGATTTCAGTTCAAAAATCTGTTCAGAAATCCAGACACTTCAGCTGATTTCAGTTCAAAAATCTGTTCAGAAATCCAGACACTTCATCTGATTTCAGTTCAAAAATCTGTTCAGAAATCCAGACACTTCATCTGATTTCAGTTCAAAAATCTGTTCAGAAATCCACACTTCATCTGATTTCAGTTCAAAAATTTGTTCAGAAATCCAGACACTTCATCTGATTTCGGTTCAAAAATCTGTTCAGAAATCCACACTTCATCTGATTTCGGTTCAAAAATCTGTTCAGAAATCCAGACACTTCATCTGATTTCGGTTCAAAAATCTGTTCAGAAATCCAGACACTTCATCTGATTTCAGTTCAAAAATCTGTTCAGAAATCCACACTTCATCTGATTTCAGTTCAAAAATTTGTTCAGAAAACCAGACGCTTCGTCTGGTTTTAGTTCAAAACATTGATTTTTATGCTCAGAAACTCAAAAAAGTTCGTTTCATTTCAGTTCAATTATTCCAAAAGGTTGTTCAAAAGTTCAACTCATTCCAGTTCAAATTTCAAAAAATTGAATTTCAGAAAATAGTTGAAATGTTCATAAAAACAGCACCTCAGCCATCCATCAAAAGCAATTCGCAAACAATTTTTTTATCACACCAACTTTTCTTCTTCCTTTACACAAGACTTTCTTTGGGTGTCGACGATAAATTCAAAAATTTATCATTATCATTGATGTCTGATGAGTTTTCCTTTAATATTCGTTCACACTCCGATGACGGAGCATAATGAATTTCATTTCGATCATTTCGTTTTCTTTTAATAAAATTGTATTGAATTTTTTGACGAGATAAATTGTTGTCGTTAACAGATGAAATTGTTATTGTTACTAATTTATTGACATTCTCACATTCATTTAATTGATTTTTGACTTCAATATTTGTTGTCTCCTTTAGTCGATTCTCTATATTATTATTATGTGACGAACTCAGATTTGTTGATGTCGTATGGAACGTTCCTTTTTTTCTGTCTGACCAACTTGTTGCTCTTATGAGTGGCTTACATTTAAGTAACTTAATAAAACCATCTCGGAATTTAGATGACATTAGATTGTATAGTATTGGATTCATTGCCGAATTTAGATACCACATACAGCGACAGAAGTATAAAAGGGAATAATAAATTTCCATATCTGTAACGACAAACACGTACGTACGTATGTACATCCATTTTATTGAGGATAAATATCTTTGATTAGTGAATTTTTATGAGCATTTTTATGCAGACAAGAAAATTTTGTACAAGATATTTTTAAGGATAAGGCAGCAAGAAGAAGCTTTAAAAACTTCGCAGAATTTAATTTTCAGGTCATTTTCCGTTAGAAATTTGAAAATTCAAAAATTAGATGCAAGAAAGATGCAAACATTTAAATTTTAAATGACTGTTAATTATCAAATTTCTGCAACGATATTTGGATATTAAATAGTATGCCTAAAAATGCTCATCCATTAAGCCCATAGAAATTGCTCAATTACCTGACAATACTTACTTTTTTGACTCGATAAAAACCTCGCTAATGTCTCAGATGGAATCAATATAATCCAAAGTGTAAACGCTCGAAATGGAAGTAAACATGTGAAAAAGGATACAACTACCGCCGCAAGCATTAAAATCACTTGCTTACGATATTTTATAAAATTACTTCTGCTACTATGTGTTGATATTAAACTGGGATTAGCCATTAAATGCTTTGCTATAACCGAGTATAATACTATCAGTATGAATAGAGGTATAAAGAAGAATATGGAAATGCTGCCTAGGAAAAATAATGATGGCCAGAATGTATCAACGTTAGTTAAGCACACCGGCACCTGTAAATGAATATAAAAGGACAATAATTTTTTATCTGATCATCATTATGCTTCTGATAATTAATTTCTTCTTTCTGCTTAGAAATGGCAAAAAGATGGATTGATGTATTGAAAGATTTGAAAGTTGATTGACATTTACTTTACTACCGTCGTAATATTCCTCGATTTGATAGCTCGCAATATCCAATATAGGGCTAGTTGGAGAAAAAAGACAGAAAGAGAAAAGATTATAAAAAGCAAAATTGATTACTGCAACGTCCTTTGGGGCCGTTCACTTATTCCGTTATGCAAAAAACGACAACTCACACCCCCCCCCCCCCTGAACGTTCATAACTTATTTTATTTTGATATTTTTTTTTAAAAGACAGACTACAGTTCGAACGTTACATACTTCTTGACACCCCCCCCCCCCCCCCCTATTTTACATTTTGGTACAATTTTTTAAACCCCTCCTCCCCCCTAAAATGCGAACGTAATAGCTTTTCCGCCACTTTTGACATTTTGTAATGACTGGCTGCATTCAATTTTTTTCAGTTTGTTCATTAAAAGACATCAATTCATTTCAGTTCAACCGATAAAAATTTCAAAATTTTAAAACCCATTGAAAATTTTAAAATCTTGAAAACCGTTAAAAAATCAACGTTTTGAGCATAAATTGCGCTCTGATCAATCCAAGGCGTGGAAACTATGAAAATATCTGGGATTTGGGATAATTCATGGATACATGGGATAATTGGGATATATTTGGATATTTCGGGATAATATGGGATGATACTATTATTTTCATAGTTTCCACGCCTTGGATCAATCAATCAAAGTGAGTGAGTGCCAGATTCCTTTAAAGCATTTCATTTTTCTTATTCTTCATTAAAGACACATTGCATTGATAAAAATCAATATAATAAGAAAGCATTTGGAGAGGAAAAAAAAATAAATGCCACCTAAGGTTCGGAGGTCATGCTGATGCCATGTCACATTTTAAGTCGAGAGAAAAGAAGAGTTGATTATTGTAAGCATATATGTGGGGGACAAAAAAAAATCTATGTTTATCAAATTATGGTGGAATTTCCTTTTGCAGTTAAGGTTTAGTGACGGAGAGTTTCCCTTCATCTCAAGTTTATTTTCGTAATGTCATTGTTTCCCCTTCTAATTAATACTTAAAGTGCTCGATATGTCTTTAATAATTAAAGAAATATTTTCATTCAATTTAAACTTAATTAAATATATTGTAATTAATTGGTCAGCGTGTTAATTTTCATTTATTTACCTTGTAAACATCCCGGCAACTATCCAGCACAGTATACATATTGATAGAGCTCTCGTTTTTGTACAAACATATCCTATATAGACATTAAAATTAGTTTGGAAATTTATGCCAATTTTCGTAACTTACCAGCTTTTAATGGCTCACATATAGCATAATATCTAGTCATTTAAAAACAAATCAGTTCGTTGTTACTCATTAGCATACAATTAAAAGGTTTTTATGACACATACCGTTCGAAAGAAATTGCTAAAATTGTCAAAATTGAAGCGTGTGCTACAACTAGTTCAATGAATGGAACTAGCTTACCTAATCAAAACGGAAGAAAGAATACAGAAATATGAGAATGAGTAAATAATTTTTGTATGTTGCTAGCTTAATGCTTGTGAATTTAATTATGATATCGATGCAGTTTTGATTGGAGAATGTTTAAGGTTGTGAAATTCAAAACAAAGCTTAATTTACAATTTAATTACTCGTGAAATTGTAGGAGTTGATTACGCAAATCAGTCTTTTAACGAAAATTTAAATTTTGAATTTTTTTGGTCTTTCGAGAATTTTTTTTGAACTTTCCAAGATGTTTTCCAAATCATAGGAAACAACGAAAATAAACAAACGAATTTAGTTTCTCAACTTAAACAGCAAAAAAGTCAATTATAATAACTGGTATTATGACAAGGAATTCGTGAGGATCATCATGACATTCAAGAATAATTGAGAAATCAAGAATTTGCATTATAATAAAGAATTTTCTTATTGGTTTTTATTCAATCAAGTCTCGATTAAGAAATGATGATTCATTATTCAGTAAGTAGCAAATAACTTATTAATTAAAATAGATTATTTACAAAGAATAAAAGATACTCCTGCACAGGCAGAGTATCAATAACAAAGTTCAGAAGCAGAAAAAAATGGATCAATTTTCCAGACATGCTGAGAGATATGAGAAAACGTACCCTGTTTTTTCGTTATAAACTACTAGCCTAGTAAAGTTTTTTTGAATTTGAAATTTTTTGTAATCTTTACTAAGCTACTACCAAAAATATAGTTTAATTAATCTTTTTCAACTTTTTAAGTATCAGTTTCAATGTCTTATGAGATTGTCAATGAAATAAAATCGAGAAGATAGCAAACTTTCTTTAATTAAGAGCTCGGTCGAATAAAAAGTTCCATTGAATTTCAACGGTTTTTTTAAATTCAATTTTTGTTCCTTTCCCCTTGAATTAAATGAAAAATTATTTTGCAAAATATCATTTAAATTAATATCAATGTTTTCTTTTGAGCATTGTAATGCATTCAATAAATTTTTCTTGATCTGTTCCTAATTTTTCAGCTTCCAAATATGTGTAATTAATGAGTTTCAAACGATTTTTTTAATTCGCATATTTTTTTGTGATGTAAACAAATGAATGGAATAATTCAAATTTTGACCGTTATGAAAAAAGTTTTTCAGAAAAATCATTAATTTAACTAATTTAAACAATCATTTTGAAGATTTTAATAGCAAAGGGTTATAAAGAATTGAAAATCCAACAATTGATTATGATTTTTGTATCTTGTAATGAAGTTTTCGCAAAGTTATTAGTATTTTTTGTGAAAATTCAAAATAATGGAACTTTTTTTCAGTGTCAGAAATCGGTTGTTTTTTCTGCTTTTAGACTTAATTAAAGTTCCTTATGTTATGAAATTCATGTCAAATAACGCGTTTTTGAAAAATCTATGATACTTACTGATTATTTACAAATATAAATGTCCAGGAAATGAGAAAAAAGTGAAAACTTCTCGATTTCTGATACTTATTCAACAAACGACCAAGCCCTTAAGGGCTCGTTCACTTATTACGTAACGCAAAAAAACGAGTTTTTAGACCCCCCCTCCCCCCCCTGTAACAAAGCGTAACAAAATCTTAGACCCTCCCCCCCCCCCCTCCCATAACGTAACAATAATTTTTTTCATTAAAATTGTTTATCAAATGTTTATTATACTTCCTTTAAGTACATATGTAAAAGTAAATAGAAGGAAAGCAATAAAAAAATATATTAATCGTTTACATCCATATTATTAACTAAACGCAAAAAAAACTCATAAGTTTTGTAATCATTAGTCGTTTTCCCAAATTGGTTGAAAATGATCTTCAACTGCAAATACATTTTGATATTCAACAATAATATCAGTATTTGCACGTTCCTCTTCAATATCCAAGTTCTCAGCTTCTACCCAATCCAAATCCTCTTGCAATTGTACAAATACTTCTTTTTCACGTCTGCATATTACTTTTCTTGGTTTTTTCTTAGTATTAACTATACGTTTGTGAATAATTTTTCGGTGATTCTAAAAAGTTCTTAAGTTAAAATTTAACGTTAAAAAAATTTAAAATTAATATAGAAAAAATATATTTTTTGAAAAGTTACGTAACAAAATTTAGACCCCCCCCTCCCCCTGTAACAAACCGTAACAAAATCTTAGACCCCCCCTCCCCCCCCTAGTGCGTTACGTAATAAGTGAACGAACCCTAAGTTAAAAAAATTCAAAATTTTCATTGAAGTTCAATTTCTTTACTAAGTTCCTACTCGTTACTAAGCTACTAGTGATCCAAAAAAATCACTTTTTTATTCTTCTAAGCTACTAGCTTATAACGAAAAAACAGGGAACATAAGGGCATCTCATTTAAAATGAAATGTGCTAAAAAAAATGTGTGAATATTCATCGAATGACAAAAATTTCTCACATCTGTAATTCGATACGCTATACTTAAAAAAAATATACTAATAGGAAAAAAGATCATATTGATAATTCAAGTGACGAAAACGATTCTCATGAGTGTCTAGCATATTTTTTTTGCAATAACAGTAATGTCATAGACTTACACATTTCTTCGCCCAGCATCCAAACTTCGGGAGCTGAATTGACTTCAACTAGTACTGTCGGTGTGCAAATAAGAAGTACAAGTAAATCGGCAATCTGCAGAAAATAGCATATCATCATGGAATTTTAATAAAATTCACGTAAAATAAATTTATTTCAAGCTACAGGGAGTGATATAGAGGATGAGTAGGAGAGTATAAATGTCTTGTAAACTTACACTGAGGTTTATCAAGAAAATATTTGTTGAATTTCGCATATCTTTCGTCTTTAAAATGACAATGGGAACCTGTATAGTATCAGTGGGAGAGAAAAGACACATATCATAGGTTAAATAAGAATACTTAAGCACTGCTGTATAATAAAAATGATGATCTTTTGCATTTTGACAAGCTTTTATATGCAAAAATAAGAGATTTTTATCTCAAAATGTGTTTTATGTGATTGATTTACGCTGATATTCTTCTTTATCGGACGAAAATTTTATTTCATTATGATTGTTCAGTAATAAATTTCGTGATTTGCTGATTTTGCGTAATTTCTAAAAATATCTTCATTCCACACAAACATGTGTTTTTAAAAACCAAAGGATTTATACTTTTAAGTTGGAAATAAAAAATTCCCTTTGATGTGATTTGCCCACAAAACTCGGTATTAGAAAAATTATTAATTTCATATTCACAGAAAATGTTCTTCTCCTTTTTTTGCGTACGTTTATCATTGTAGATGTCAATGCTCCCTCAAGTACATGAGAGATTTTTTGTGATAGAAAATGTACTTGCTTATTTTTAATCCCCGTGTTAAAAAAGATCATAAAAATATATAATTATAAAAACCAGCAGGAAGCTGTCAGAAATAGAGCTTTTTGAGGCAGATTTGACATGTGAAGGACCTAATTTTTTAAGATTGGGGTGTACTTTATAGTTCATTGATTTAAGATATTTTATAGACAAATCAAACAAAGCTCGGGTTTGAAGCCTTTCAATCACATAATCACATTTATTAAACTTTTGCAAAATCGTAAAAAAAAGCCCAAAAGTAGAATGAAGTAGGATATCGAGGAGTGGTTCTAATCTAAGAATTTATGCGGGGCTTAAAAAGGAACAATAGGAGATACAAAAAAAAGAATATTTATTTACCATTATATTTCCAATCAATCCGAGGCACATAATCAAGATACAGAAAATCATAGAAGTGAGTGTAATATATTCCGGAATTTTGAGTTCATAGTTGTAGGTGCTATTTTGGTCCGTTAAAAAGTCGCTATTGTTATTGAATGGCAATAGCAATTTGATATTGCCATTAGTGTAGTTTAAATCTTTCGAGTCATTTAGGAAAATTTCCGCTGCTGCTTTTATCACATTATCAGTTATAATGTCGTAGTTATTACCATTATCGACTGTTTGCTCAATGATGTTGTTTAAACCCAAAATATCTTTTGATATTTCGTCGCCCTCCTCCCACCCTTGTGAATTAAAAACATGTGTAGAAAGTTCATTGTCGATAACTAATAATCTTGTTTTATCAATTTTAGCTAAAGCATTTTACGCTTCATTCTTTATGCTTCTTATTTTTTACACAGTTAAAGAATTATGGCAGTTTCTAAATTGTTTTTCCAAAAAAATTCTGTCTTTTTTGTTTTACAACAGGAATGATTTATTGATTCTTGTTTCTTTTACTGTCTTTTGACTGTCTATAGTTTTTGGCTTTTGTTCTTATCACTGCTAGGTTCACTTCTTCTTATTGCTACTTTTTTAGCACACTTTTTAAAATTTCATAGTCGCTAATGCACTTTGTCTGTCTATCACTTATGAAGTTCAAATTTCATAGATCATAATTTTCAAATATTTTTTAACCGTTAATTTTTTAAAATTATTTTTCAACTGCGCCATCGACAAAGCTAATTAATCAAGTCTTTACTAGTTTAAACATACAGCAATTGATGATGAAACTAATGTTTTATCATACAGAGAAATGAAATAGAAAAAAAGGGATAATAAATCTTTCTGAAATGTCAATATATTGAGATCATTGATAAAGTTGCTGATGATAGCTGCTTCATAATGATATATAGCGAGATTTTCGAATTAAACATCATTATCACTGCCTCATTTCATTACGATGTAAGGGAGATTAAAATAATGAGGGCAATTCTTTGGACAAATTCACTGAGATCGGAACTGATAATCGTAGTCTCGTTAAGCTTGGATATTTATTCTAACAAAAAAAAATTGAATTTGTTTTGGGTGGCTTATGGTCAAGCAGAACGACAGAAAAGTTTCTCAAAGCGTTTAGATTTTATGTGTCTGATAGATTGAAACTTTCCCTTTTTTGCAGCATCTTTTGGATCAATTTAAGAAAAACTTTAGAGACACGCTGATTTGAATATCCATTAGATTGATTTTAATAGACTGTTTTGCTATCTTTCGGACTTATGTTGTTTTTAACGGTTATTTTCAATTTGAATTTAATTTTTTGAACTTTTATTTATTTGAATATAATAATTCGTTAAATGAATAAAAAAAAATTGCACTGTAAATTACTTGTAAATTGAAGTCAATGCATTGCTCTTCTTTGTCACAGACTAGCAAAGAATGACTAAGAAAAGGGAAATTTCTCAGTATTAAATATTATTTCATTTTAAAATTAAATCAAACATATCAAATAAATCTTAAAGCAAACTCATTCAATTTTCATGTTAAAACATTGATCATGCTTCAAAATTTAAAAGAAAAAATAAATTTCCACGAAAATTGAAAGCAAAATAAGAAAAGTTTCAAAGATACATAAACTGCTGAAAAGTTTGTAAATTGTTAATATAGAGACATTCTGCCGAAGATCTACGTGAAGCAATAGGAAGTCGTTTAAGTAAGATAGAAGAACAAATAGCTAAATTTTCAGATGAAATGAAAAGTTTTTGAACCGTGAAAATTTGAGCTTATTAAAAGCTGCTTTAAAGGGTGAAAAAACCACGAAATTCTGTCATTGAATTATTCATGGCTTAATCTGAGTGATTGCGGGTGTTATTCGTGAATTAAATGTGTGTCCGTTGGAGAGGAAAATTACAGGATTAGGCGAGGATTAAGCACTTTAAATCTTTATTCAAACAATTCAATTTTTTTACGCTCATTTATTGTCTCAATAAATCTCAATTCATCTGAAAAATTGGCCATTATTATCTTGTTAATAATTTTAAGACACTGGGGATCATTCACAAGTAATGTTTATTTTTTAAGACCCACTCCTTATTCGTGTCTCACAACTTTTGAATTTTAGAGTTTAGAACCCTAAGTGAGTGTGGTCGGGTCCATAAAAATCGAACGTCACTTGCGAACGATCTGTCAGGTATTACTTTAATGTATGAATAAAGATATCATAACGTGAGGTAGATATAAGAAGATAAAATTTCACTGATGCACTGATCATAAATTGTGGTATTATACAGATTGTTTTTCACTTAAATCACTTCATTCTCTTTTTTTAAAAATTTTTTTAAGCACTCAAGTTGCAGGATGATGGGTTGAAAGGAATATGATAATTTTTGGATTCATTAGCAAAGAAATTTAAGAATATCCTTTAATATTCATAGACACGTTTTCACTCTTAAAAGTACATTTTAGGTATGAATCCTTATGTTTCACTGATAAATTTATGGAAAACTTTTCAAGAACTTATGATTGCACACAATATGTTGCATATGTTACAATGAAAAAAGTTGCCAAAAGTAGAAAAATTATCCAAAAATTGAACGTTAAAGAAATGAAGCATGGCTTTGTTTCTGCACATCCGATTTGCCGAACTGTTATTTTGTAACTGAGAGAAGAAAATAAATTTTTTGTATGAAAAAAAAGAATAGCATTGTTGGTTGGGTATGCGTCGAAAAAAAAAATCTTTTTATATATACATATATATTTATGCGTCATGTAAACATTTGAGAGAAATGTGAAATGCTATTAAAGAATAGTGAGAAGAATGCACTTGATTTTAGTCTCATGTTTCCTAGAATATAATGTGCTTTTCCCAAAATAATGCTTTATTTTTTGGAAATCGAACAATGTGTGTAAATAAATAGGTATAGTATTATGTTTGTGGATCATGTCAGAATTCTATTGTTCATTGCTTCTCTGGGATTCTCTTCTTATTTCCTCTTTGTTTTACATTTTCTCACTCAATGACTTATTTTTCAAGGTTTATTAAGTTTTTGAATTCTAACGGTTCGTTTAAAATTTGAATTTTATGTTTCGATATTTCCATTGTTTACAAAAATTTGTGAATTTAAAAAATCATCAAAAAGTTCCTCAATGTCACTCAAATTGAGATTCTAAAGGTATAAAAATAACGCTTTTAAGACACTTTATCAAGCAAAATGCTTTAAATCTTGTTATCTAATCAATTTAAATAGAAATTAATCAAATTTAAAATCTTCATGATTTTTGCAAAGAAAAAACCAAAAAAATTCAAATAAATTTTGACAGTTGAAAGAAAATTCCCGAATTATTTCGTCAAGGCCCACCACATGTATAAGAAAATTAAACACACATCACATCAACCGAATGATGATGAATCATCGCCGAATTGTATCAAATATCTTTCTTTTTTGCAATATATTTAGTAAAAGAAAAAATCTCCCAAAGTTTATGGTTGCTCAATTTAAGTGGTCATAAAAGATTCACTATACGCTGCACATCTTTAGCAAAAAAAAAAGGATTCTTTTATATCTCCGATAGATTTCTTCTTCTTGTGCTTTGAAGTTTGCATACAGCATACGGTATATGTGAATAGAATAAGAGATAAAATTGAGAAGCAAAAAACTATGTTTCATGTATGATAGATTTTTGGTCATTAATCACATGCATGATTAGCATCGTCGAAGCACATTGTAGAGACTTTATGATAACTAAAACTATTATTATTCATTTTTAATGACTATCGGAAATAATATAAACTAAAAATGAGGTAAAGACACTTGAAATTGTTTTAATTAAAGCCTTGCCTTGTTGTTGAGCTAATTTTTTGTACTTTCTTGTATGACACATTACTTATGAGCAAATAAGTTCATTCACATTATTTTATAAAGTGAATTTTATTTAAACGCCAACTCATTTACTTCATGAATTCATCTTCGAATCCAAAAGATGCCATCCTATGGACATTTATTATGCCTTTTTAAGAAAATCATCAATTTATTGTGTCGTCTATGCTTCTTGAAATTAACACAATGCCTTTGTAAAAGCTGAATTATTTCGTAGTATTTGCTTAACACCTTTCAATGTATTTACTTAATTTCACTTAACAATTTGCCCTAAATTGATAAAATTGCCATTTCCACTGTAATAAAATTAGGGCTAGTTATTGCTATCTAGCGCCTCATATTATTAATTTGCCAGTATAAATTTTTAAATTATTACAATGTACTTTATATACGCTGATGCTTTAATATGAATTTTATTTTATATTTTATGAATGGAATTTTATTTTCCCAACGTACTTTCTGTCATGTGAGAGCAGCTTCTTTTTCATTTTGGTCTATTTTGGTGTGCAGAGAAACGTGTAAGCTCGTGACAATTTTTAAAATTTAACGGTTTTTATTTAAATTTTGAACTGAAATGAGATGAAATGAACTGGACTACTGAACTGATATAATAACAAAGCGGAAATTCGTTGTAATTCCCCAGTTATTAGTCATGTGTTTTACTCAGTAATGATAATTGGACTTACGCACGTATGTGCTTTGTTAAGTCAAACTCACTTTCTTGCTAATTAGCTGGTAAATTTGATTTTCATTTTCTCACTTTCTGCATCTTTTTCGCTTCATTTTTTGGAAGGATTCAAAATCCTGAAGTCCGTTATAATTCAAATACCCAAAATCCGTTTAATTCGCCTTTATTTTATACTGTTAATTCGCCCCAAATCAAATGAATGCCAGACATTCCATCCCACATTAATTTTATTTGATTAATCTTATTTCTTATTTTCATTTATTAAAAAAATACAAATAGATAGTGCAGAAATATTGTTTTGTTCTCACAGTTGTTTTTGATATGATCCACTTGACATTTCCATACAGCTGAGCACAATGCAAAGAGATGATTTTAATCAGCCTGTGAATGATGAATACAAAAATATAATCCAAGTTTGTTTTATTTTAAAAAATAATCTTTTTATTAATATTTTTCGTACGTAATAATGTTCATATCAGAAAATTCATTCATTCATTCATTGAAGATTTTTTTTTGTTTTACTATATAGGTAATATATCTTCGAGATTCATAGTACTTTTTTTTTCTTTTGTTTTTGCTTACTCAAGAAGGGGGTAAATAAGAGGAGGAAAGAATGATAAAATTACATTTATTGGAATCGTTTTTTTAATTTGATAAAGAAGAAATTAAGATTACATTTCCTATACTGATTATACAATTACAATATAAAATTATACGAGAGTGCAATAACATAAATTCATATTAATATATGCATCTTTTCAATTTAGTCTTTAACAACCCGATGAATACATTTAAGTATTTCTCACTTTTCCTGGTGTATAATTTCGATCGATCGTCGGTTCTTGCAAAAACATGTGCAAGCATCTGTGGATATACGATAGTCAAATTATTGGCAATTGTATTAAGTTACACTCGACTGAATTGTTACCTTTCATTTTGAGCCAAAGGATGTCCAGCAATTTTATTAACAAATATCTCTAATCCTTTACGACGATCTTCAATAAATTGTTCCTCAAAAATTCCGTCATCTCCTCTAAATGGGATTTGCCGTTTCCAAGCTTTTGATGGAAGAGGCGGAACTACAATCTAGATTAATGACAGCGTATAATCATTTTTTTTTTTTGTTATGTCTAGTGATTCATCATTAAATTCAATATTTACCTTGGAATCTCTCTCTAATTCATTGCGTAACCATTCAAAGTCAGAATACCGGCGACGTACACTCGATTCTTTTACCTTAAACACAGGAAGATTTGTCTGAAAGTGCAAATGCGATTAAGAATGTTATGGTCTATGCATGAAAGTCTATTAAATGAATCATAAATATTGATTTTTAGTTTCGCAACAACATTATTTAACATTTTTGTAAAGAAATACGCCATTACGGCTTGAATGGTATATACAAAATAAGAGCGATAATGCATGAATCTCGATAAGCATGAATCAATTTCTTAGAATGTACTCAATTTCATCACATATATATGAAAAGAGATATCGCACTTACCCTCATACGAATTTCATAGTCTGTAAATTTCTTCTTTCCTGCTACAATTGTCGTTTGTGGGTTAATAACATCTATTTCAAGAAAATTAGCTGGAGCACTATACATATCATCCAGACTTTGTTTCTTTGTTGCTAATCTAGAAATCGACTGATTCTCAAAATTCTCTTCTGGATTCATTACTGCTGAAAATTTTAATAAATTTTTAATTAAAACGACTGTTTTGACGACTATTTCTTATTGTCTTTGATAAGACTGTACACAAAGATGCATTTTAATGCCACTTACTTAATTACTGCTTTTGTTCTATCGTGATTTTTGATTTTAAAAGAAAAACAAAAATTAGTGAATATATTGTGATAATTTTTCGAACTTCCATGCGAAAGTCTACGAATCCGAAAGTTTAAATTCTAATCAGGCGTTATTTTTTTCAACCTAGAATCATTAAGTTTCTGATTTTTAATTTAAAGTACTGCGACAGTATTGTTAATTCATGATATTTTCAGGTGGTAGTTTAAAATTGGGCACTTTAAAAGCAATACTATTGAATATTAGCTATAAGTGCATATATTACAGCATAATCGTCGCAAGACAAGCACAGACGACCATTTCGAAATGCCAATACACTTAAGAGTCTTGCATCTTTCATAAGTTGTTTGTTTTTTTTTTCTTTAGTTATAAAGAATCTCTTCTACCATAAAGTTGGTTTTTGACTCCTTGCGTTAATTTTTTTCTTAATTTAAAATTTTCATTTAAACTTTATTTTTTATATTTTGGTGAGTTTAATTAACTTTATTATTTGATTATTATTTAATTTTAATTTAACCTACAACCCACGTACGAACAGCGAATGGATTAAAATAGAATCAGAAATAAATTTTTTGCCACCCACAACCCACATTGAGTTCAGCCTTCTCCATTTATTATTTTTTGCATTCAGACAGACTACACACATTTTTATTTTACCTCAAACCTTTTTCTCTTCATTCATTTTTAAATCGAACATAACTTTAAATGATGTCGCTTGGCCTTGAGAATTTATATATTTTTTGAGTATATACACCATGATATTGGTTTTTATATATTCGCCCGCTCACCCGACGCAACGCATAAAACACCACATACATTTTATTTTTAGAAAGGATGTTAAGAAACTTGTTATTTAAAGAAGAGGAAAAGAAAACAACAATTATGAGACACAAGAATATTATTACTATAAGAGGGCTATATAGTACAGTAGGAGTTCTTACGATGTGGGTTTGAAAATAAGAATGAAGAAAACACAGAAAAAAAAACTCGTTTCTGTCGTTTTTTTTTCTTAATAGGGGGTGCATTGGGCTGAAAGAACATTCTGTTCTCACATATCATGACGGTCGGTTTTTGTACAGACATACATACATACATTCAGGCACACATGAAGGAGAATGACGAAAAAAAAATCACTTTATTTTTATTTTTCTTCTTTCTTCTTTTTTTTCGTTTCCATGAAATTCCAAAACTGTACACATGTATCTCTCGACGACTCAACTCTCGGTGGGTTGAGATCTTTGTGTTGTTGAGAGAAGGGTAGAAGAAACAATGCGGATTGATATTTTATTTTGTGAATGTGTTTTCTTTACTCTTCACTCATTCGTATTATTCATTCGCTTTTGTCCGTGGGTCGGCAAGGTAGATAGATGAGGCAAACGGGTTTTTTTTATTTTTGATGGATACAAAAAAAAAAAGATCACACAAAAAATTGGCTGTTGGGTATTTCGCCTTCGCCTTGTATCCCAATTTTTTTTTTCTGTCTTTTTAAACATTTCTTTTTATTTTTATTTACCAATTTGTGAAGAGCTACTTATTGTCTGTATATGCATGCATGAGTTATAATAGATGGTAGTCTTCTTTCTTGTTACGATTATGAGGGGGGAATGCATTCATAATTTTTGTTGGTGCTGTACATAGCGTGTGCTAAAAATGGAATCGCTGAGGGCACATTCAATAATTGTGGGAGGGGGTCTTAAGCATTAAAAGTCCATAGATAAAAATATTTTAACGAAGAATATTTTTTGACAGAGGTTGGAGGGTGTCTAAAAATACAATTTGTGATGGATGTCATCCCTCAATCTCTTTTTTAAAAGGGGTTGCTTGCTTTAAAAATTTGAATTCATTAACACAAAATTTCAAATGTAAACATTGAGCATTTTTTTGTCCGATTTTAACTCAATTATCAAGGACATAACATGCTTAGCTGCTTTTTGCCACTTTTGATGGGAGAAATACGCTTTTAAACTCAGTTTTAAACATTAAATGACGAATAAAATCTAAATTTTAATCTAAATAGGACTTAAAGTTCAAAAATTTAGAACAGGTTCAAATTTTGATTTTTTAAAGTTCAAAAAAAAATTTTGATATTTTTAAGTTCAAAAAAAAATTAAGTCCAAACCTTGAATATATTCAATCAGCCAATTAGTTAAAGGGTTTTATAGCCTGTCAATGAAGATATAAGCTTGGGGGAGTAAATAATGCAAAACGATGTAGGAATCGTATATAAATCCACGCGTCTATGTCAATATAAAGTATCAATACATGATTAGCAATCTATTGATTCAATGCGAAAATCATTTGAAGGACTGTAAATTCTCTTTTAAATGTGTACATCTATACTACATAATTGAGATATGCGCAGATCAAAAATTTTCTATTTAAATTTGTATCGTTGTATACACGAAAATTGAATAATGAAGCTTTAAGAAAATTAATTGATTGCAATAGAGAGGGATTATTCTACCCCAATACATTAACATACCAAACAAGAAATTTTAAACGAGCATAAAAATATTTTTTTATTTTTTTCATGTACATGCTTCTTTTTCCTTTACGAATAAAACTAAATTGCCTTGTAGTTTTCGTATTACTTCTGTATGTTTTAAAAGAATGAAGAGGAAAATAAAATAAAAATAATAAAAAAACATTTTGTCTGTTTCACACACACACTACCATCTCACTCATCCTTACTTGTTTGACGACGCAGACATTATAAAAAAAGAGGGATGTGCACATCCTATACACCCACAAATTTTCGAATTTTCCATTCACACAAACGCGTATGAAGAAAGAGAGAGAGTATTGTTTGGTGGCGACTGTCGTGAGTGAGTGAAGGAAAAAAAAGCCCAAGCTATTCGGTGGCAGGCGGCAGGCGATTTCACTTTGAGTGAGGGATGTGTGAAGGAAGGGAGTTCGAGTGGTTTTTTTAAATGCACGGAAAAATAAATTTTTTTGCATTCTTTTCTTTTGAATAGCACACGGAGAAAAAAACTTTAATATATCGGTGCATTTAAAAATATGTGAATCAAAAAATTATGTGAATTATGTGTGAAAAGGAAAATAATGAGAAATTTATAGATATAGAGGAACAAAATTTTCGGTGATGGGAACGATATAGAAATCTATTGTAAAATGTGAAATCAAAATTTTGAGGAAAAAATCGATTAATGCTAATTGCAAAATGGCATAAGGATCATAATTAAAAACTTATTAATGGATCAAGACATTTTATACGATTCACAATGAATTTTAGGAGACATAAACTGATACAAAATGAATTAAGTAAATAATGTGAAGATAATTAAATAATAAGGAATAAAAAAGATATAAATAATGTGTAAGTGATTGTGTTCCTTAAGTCCAAGAAGATTTTATTTATTTTCAATGAACTCAAGTCATAAATTATTCTTGCATCTTATTATTACTTAATTTAAGCTACATTAAGTGCTTGTTGAAATCTTAAATCTATGTTGTTCCTACAATGAGACAAGAAATCATTTCCTGCGATGATGTATGGAAAAATGTCCATTTTTAAAATTGTCCTTTAAATTTTGACGCACGCGCAGCAATAAATCTTTCAGTTCCTACACATATTATTGCACCGCTGATTTTATTGCCGCATTTTATTTGATTTTTTTTTTCTCTTTTTATTTTGTGTAATTTTAGATTTACATAAATTCTTTAATGCAAGTGAGGCAATAGCTTTGCCATAGACATAAGGAATAGGATAAAAAGAATGACAACGTTAGTACCTACATCGTCTCAACAACCTGGGACAACATCAGCAACTTCAACGGGTGTAGAATCCTATGAGGATATGTTTGTAAATATTATGCTGCATTTATATTCTCACGTATACTTATTAATTCAAAATTATCTTATATTTGTAGAAAGAGATAACCCGTAAATTGTATGGAGATGAGTCAGCACATGGACTATATCCCATCAATAATGCTCAGGTTGCACAATTAGCACAAACACCATCAGCACCGCCCGAAGGTGAACGTTCATTCACAACGTTAGTGTCTGATAGAAATTTGGCACAATTAGAATATGAAAGTGTAATCCAGACAGATGCATCAAGTAATTTTAAATCAGAGGACCATCTTTCGACAGCGTTTGGATTAGCGGCATTAATGCACAATGGATTTCCTCCTCCTGCTGTTTTTCCTGTTACAACAAATACAGTGACAAAGCAGCAAGCGCCACAAACAAATGGCGAGGAGCGTCAGCAGTGGGCACAACAGCCAACAACACAACAAAATCATTCACAGCAAGAGGAATCACTCTGGAATTCGAATAAGAATACAAATGCATATACACAAAAATTATTTAAGATTAAGACAAAACAGGAACCAATAGCAAGTGAAGCAATTGTCATTAATACATCATCCATTACGACAAATATTAAGAGTGAGGTCCAGCAGCAAATACAAAAACGATATAGTTGTTCAGTGTGTCCATACTCGACTGATAGACGTGATTTATTTACACGTCATGAGAATATTCATAAGGAGGAGAAACCTTTTCATTGTTATGCATGCTTAAAGCAGTTTAACCGAGCAGATCATGTGAAAAAACATTTCCTGCGTATGCATCGCGAAATGGATTATGATATTAATAAAACAAGAAGATATCCACCGTCGTCAAAACAAATCGTTAATTCAAATAACAATAACAGCAATAATAATAATAACAAGAGTAACAACTTTTTTTATAATCAGCAACAAACGGCGGAAACACAGCCAACAGTTACAACAACAATCAACATACCAACATTTTCTCAACATCAGACCACAAATTCAACGCAACATCATAGTATTGAACAAGTTATTCAAAATAGTAATGCCAACAATCAGCAAAATAATAATAATAATGTTAATAATAATAACAGCAACAATAATAATGCAGTGAATAATCAGTCACTTGGAATTAATATAAATAATATTAAAAATGAGAAATCTGTCCAGGGAAAATCACAGAAACCAAAAGGAGAGAAAAGATTCATGTGCTGTTATTGTCCGTGGTCAGGTGCTGATAACTGGGGATTAAAGCGCCACCTCAACACACATACAAAGCCTTTTGTTTGCCTATTGTGCGATTATAAAGCGGCACGATCTGAAAGGCTGACAACACACATATTGAAAGTGCACAACAAAAAGGCGTGCAATAAATGTAGCTTCTTTGCTGATGATCAGGCACAATTAACACAGCATCAAATTGATACACAGTAAGTTACCTCTTTCATCTCACTTTATATAGACTTAATTAAGCATGTAGAAACTTACAAAAAAAAAATAACAAATTTCTCCCATAACTAATGCTTACCTAAAGCCAAAATGAAACCCGTACTACTACCCGAGTTAACAATACTACTAACAACCACTCGACAGTCCAACAGACTGTTTCAACTAATCAATCCATAAATATACCTGCATCATCAACTAGTGTTAATCCTACTAATATAGCAAGTACAGGAAATGTATTGCGAACATTAACAAATACTTTTGTGCCAAATATTCATACGACATCATCAAATCATGTTTTCGGGTGAGCAAATGGTGTACAGAAATTTTTCACATTAAAATAATAAGATTTTTAGTGATGAGAAAACACGTAAATTTAAATATTGACATTTTCTCTGTGTCTTCTTCCTACTTCCATTATCTCGTTTAATTAATCTCATCTTTCCCATTCTCTTTACTTTACTTTCTTCCACCCCTTTTAAATTAATGCTTCCACCCACCGCAGCACTTTAAATTCGTCATTAAGTAATGGTGTTTCAACAATCTATACGACATCTAATGTTAATACTAATATTGTCGATCAAATAAATCACCATTTAAATACGAATAATTGGCGCACAAGTAATAATATTAATACTTCATCAAATAATCAGAATGTTATAAGAAATCAACAATCAACAACTAATACATTAACATTTACTAATACGTCATCGGGGACGCAAGCTAAAAGAAAGTCTGGCGCAGAGCGCTTGTTTGCTTACTTTGAAGCTGATGATAGCGAAGATCTAGAATTAGATTATGCTCGGTAATGGGATATGCAATTATAACTTTTTTGCTATATTGTTTTACCAACAAACTTATTAATTCTCGCTTAATTTTTTTTCCTATTCAACTCTCAACCATTTGACATTTTAGTCAGTTGCAAATGCAAGCACTAAGCCGAAATACTGCCTCTGTAGCTCAGGATTTTCATAACGCGGGAGGTGAAAACCTTACAAAAAGCATCATTCAACCACAGAATAAGATAAAAGGCGTTAATTCGGTCACATGCAATAACAACAGCAGCAACCTGAATAACAATATAACAAACAATCATGTTATCAATGGAACAATTGGTCAACAGCAAGAATTGAAGAAGAAATTCAAGGCGATGTCTCCAATTGACCATTCGCCTCCCGCGACACTTGAATTAATAACAAATTCAATAAAAAGACGTCGCAAAAGTTCTTCCTCGAATGATAAAGAAAATGTTAATGAGCTTCTTACCAAACAACTTACATTCTTAAAGCAACAGCATCAGATGTTCTTACAGAATCTTAATGCTAGTATGATGTCTGATGGTGAGAGATTGAAGGCGATTTGTGAGATAAATGAGATATTTGAAGGAATGTATCGCAATTCATTAACAATCCTTTCTTCAATGGAAAATGAAAAGTTCAGCTTTCTTCAGCAACAACAACAGCAACTGCCTCAAGTGAAAATTAAGAAGGAGTTTGAAGACAACAATAATGAAAATGATTATGAAAGCTGTAAGAGTGATGAGAATAAACCAATCAATAATGATTTTACGTTACCGGCATTCTTAAGGAATAATAAGGAAATTACCGTGATTATGGATCCAAAAAATCGTTCAAAAATACGAATCGATGATAGTCAGTATAACGAGACACGTAAGAATCGCAAGCAACTTAAACCAAAAAAGATCGAAAAGGATATTGGTCCGGAACAAGAACCCTTGAATAATAATCATCAATCATCACGGGTAGATCAAGAAAATGACAAGGAGAATGATTATAAAAATTCAATAAACAACATTAACAACCTTCGTGATAAACATATGCTAAAGCTTGTGACAAAAAAGAAGTGTTGCTATCTATGCCGTAATAAATCAATAGATGCCAATTCATACTACTCAAAGGAATCGCTTCTCTTGCACAATATGTGGCGTCATAAACCAAAAAAGCTTGAATGTCATCGATGTGAGATGAAATTCAATAAAATGTATAAACTCAAGCTTCATAAGACACTTAAAAGGCATTAAAATCATTTGTACAAATATGGAATAAATAAGTATATATGTATGTATATGGAAGTGAAAAGGCACAAGGCACTCTCACACACTCTTTACCAATATGACTAAAATATGAAAAACGTTACAAAAGTCTAATGTCAGAGATTTCATTAAAGAACCATCATCACCAACAAACACTGCTCTCTATCTCTATCATCATCGTCAGAACAATGCATGATAAAACAATTTTGAACAAACAATGAAAAGAAAGTAAGGGAAAATTAAAGAATATACACACTCACACACACAAAAAAAAGCAAGGAAGAGAGAATAAAATTTTCCTCCAGACATACAAACTCAATATTTTTTATACAGAAAAAGTTTCAATTTCATTACACATTCAATAATGAAGAATTTTGCATTTTATGCATTCTATATATTAAAAATATAACTATATATATAAAATTTAAAGTTTTACGTCTGTATACTTTTAGCATTTAACTTAAATTATCAAGGTTTCCGTTCATACGGAATGGTTTTAGCGCATTTTCATTTCATGTGATCCTAGTTTTGTAGTTCTGAATCCTTACTAGCTTTGTACCGTGATTAAGTATCTGATCTAGATCTGACTCTGTGTAAAAAGTGAGTGATTTCCAATAAAACATTACTTTTTGGTCAGAAAAACTTTAGTCCAGCTTTCGAATATTCCTCCCAATATGGTTCGATACCTAAAATTACACATCGACACAACAGCAAGCTATATATGCAAAAATTTAAATCAGATTCCTTAAAATTCATTGACTACGCAAAAAACAGTTCCTTAATATTCAGCGATAAAATCAAATAATTCATTTTGTTAGCTATTGAGCTAGCGAATCCATTTGAATCCCCAAAAAGGAAATTTCACATACCAATAGACAGATAAATATTGTACAAAATCCGAGCATCCCATCCATGGGAAAGTGCGCTAAAAACAAAAACAGCAAAGAAAAGGCAACAGAAGTGGTAAGGCATTATTTTCTTCCTCATTCCAACTCAATCTCTCCTTTCAATTATTAATTTCCTTATCATTTTCTTCCTGCCCTTACCATTTTGCTCCTGCTTTGAATTCTTCCACTTAGTTCATGGCAATATTATTATCAACTTTATTTCTTCGTGCAATTTAATTCCTTTCGCAAACTCAAAAAAAAAAAGAAATTGATTAGAAAGTTATACATATTTATATACGAGGATGAATGAAGAAGAAGAAATGAGATTGTTTAAAAACATGGAAATAAAATGTTTATTTTTCATTCAATCAATAAAACACAAAAGTTGTATTGCGATACGATGAGCTACTTATTGCGATTGTGAGCCATATAAAAATATGAAAAACCATTATTATTATTATTATTATTTTTTATAAGCAACATAAGTCTTAAGTAAAATAAAATGCTGGAAATTTTTTTTTCATTTTTAATTTTCAAATAAAAGAAAAAAAACAAAATATTTACAATCATAAGTGTAAAGAAAAGATAAAAAAAAAATTGGAATAAAAAAAGTAATTATCTGTATTCAAAAAGGATATGCACAGCTTTGTTGTTTCATTATTCATTCAGTCCAATTTGTAAAATTGCAGGACACATTTTTTTAATCTGTTTGAATGTTGGATTTACATGAATGGTAATTAATATTCGAGTGGAAAAGTTGACGCAATTTTTATGCTGGTTGTAGAGCATTTTATAGTGATTAACATACACGGAATCAACGGGTCATCAAATGATTGAGTTTTAAATGGAAAAAGTTTGAGATTCGTTTGGAAATGATATGTTCCTACCCGAAAATTTAAATGATTCAGACCCTCATCTTTAAGTTTTGCATAATATTGAAGTATGTCCCGTAAAAGTTTTGGGTGATGCTCCACCTTTTTGTAGACTAATCTATCCTTTTTGTTGTATTTAGGAATGTTGTGTTTGTTTATGTAAGAATGACTTTATTACAGATGAAAACTGGACACAGTTTGGAATGAGCTATGACTCATGGGAACTACCAATCATTTCTAGTTGTTAATGTGGGTCAATTCAGATTTTCTTTTTTGCTTATCTAGCAACATTTTGTGACATGACTTTTTCATGGTCAGATTTGCTCACAAATGATGTTCTATAAAATAAAACATACAACTTAGGACTTACCTTCCTTCAACTCTCAAATATATAGAATCATTGTATACCAAATTGTTGGACGACATGTGATATTATGGAAAACAACTCATTAACACTGTCGTCATGCAAAACCTTAAGAACCAAGTAAGTGTTAATGTCTGGAAAATCATATTATTTCTTGTCGTCAGAGGAAGAACGAGAACTTTCAATTAGGGGACTTAAATTTATTCACATTCAAATGTAAATTAAACTTTTTCTCAAAACCTTCAATTTTATGCCAGGGATATCAGAAGCCACCCCATTTCCCCATTAAGTTACGCATTTTGCTTGTCGTGTGCATGAAGCAGCCATAAAATTACGATAATTATTTGCATGAAAGAATCGCCTGATGTAATCATAATTAGGGTAATGATACACAAGTGACTTGACTGTCAATTTACTAATGTGCATCTCGGGAGAATTGAAATTTTTGAATTTCCTTATAACATCTTGTTCTCCAAACAGGACATTGTAACTTAAAGTCAGATTATCTCGATAGAAAAGGTTGGTATGCAGCACACAACTCGTAAGAAATACAGAACAAACTTAATTCTTTCGAACCAATTTAAAAATTTAAGACTAGGAAAAGACATTTTATTTGCAAATTTATAAAAAGGTTTTCATCCACACCGAACATACTCGTCTTTTGTAATACAGACCAAAAAACATAAGATCCGTACTAAATTAAACGTAAAATGTGGTAGACAGAATATTATTCATGTCTTATTCAACCGAAAATTGTTTAACAACCATCACTCGTTGTATTGCAGACGGAAGGCAAAATGTTTAGGGGCCTGTTCAATTATGACGTCCACTGGATGAATTTTAAAAGCTTTACTCTTATTTGCTGAATTTTTGAATCAAAATTCAGAGTCGAAAAATTTGTACTGATTAATGACCGTAAACCTTGAACATCCCCAAACATTATATTTTACGGCAACATTTTGGCAAGCGAATCTGTCATAATGACCCAACTTAAAAGCAACATTTTGTGATAATTCCTCAAATTAGTCAACTTGCTCAACCAAACTGACCAGAACAATGTAAATTAAAATGACAACTTTTTTTCATCTCTGCAGCAATATTAATTAAGAAAAGAAAAAAAGGGCAAATATCTCATGCTATATATATGTACTCGAAATTTTTCTTTTTATTGTTTATTTTAAGTAACATATAAAATTCACGTAGAATACGTGAGAGGAAAATTAATAAATAAAGTTTTTAATTTTTCAATTTTTAAGGATTTTCATTTTCATCTTTTTGGTTTTTATATTATTTTGGGTTTTGTTCTTCCTAGTAATAGTTTCTTCATGTTTTACAATGTGATATTTATGAACGTGTATATCATGTATTATTTTATATTTATAGTTGAAAGATTTTTGTTTTTAAAAAGGAATCGATAATTTATGTTATTTTAACCGAAATGCTCAAATATTCTCTTTTAAAGTTATCTACTTCTTTATGTATTGCTTTAAGGAAGCTACGTTATCTCATCATAGAACGTTAAGGTTTTCACAATTTCTAAACTTTGAGTCCTCTTTGCCAAAAATCCAAGTTATCATCTGACGCGCCTTCATGCTCGCTCTGACTACATTTCTATTTTTATACCAACTACGTGAGCTTTCTTTTGGGCCCTAGAATTAAATAATAATAAAAGAATTGTGTGTCATGTATGAAGTGCAGCACATGTTCCAGAATGGATGGAATATAAAGAAAAGGAAAAAAAAAAGTTATTGTGAGATTAAAAGCTTTTGACATGAATGATATCGTTGCTCTCATCCTATACCTGTAATTCACAATGTTCCTTCTTCAAACGGATCTGTGTTAATGTACCAGCTAAAAGTTCATCAACATTATGATTTATACCGACAGAAACTTCTATAAATTTCACTCGATAAGTGCACGCCATACATTTTCCATCTGTAAAAATAAAAGAGACAGAGAGGAAAGAATAACAATAAATATAGAAAATGAGTGACTCGTGATGATAAATGCATTCACATTTCCAGACGTTAAAAAATTAAAATTCATTATTGGGCCTCGACGGAGAAACTTTATTCGTGACGGCTGTATTTTTACTCGGTACTCGGTGTATTTTCTTTTTAAGGTAAATAATTCATCCAAGGGGAATGGTTCAAGAATTTTATTCTTAATGTGGGTCTTGAGAATTTTTCGGTAGTTTGGATGATGCTGAATCTTCAGCAGACCCGAGCAGCACAATGCTTTAAATAAGTGGTAAACTGTTTATGATTTAAGGATGAAATCAGTCTAGACAATAATTGCTCTCATCAACTGTGAGACAGAAACGAATAAATAAAGTATCTAGACACGACCATGAAGATTCCAAAGTTCAACTCTGAATGGTTCGGTATTATCACATGGCAGCACAGTCACAATACAAAACAAATAAAAAATGACAAAAGTCTTGTGACTACAAAAGTCATTCAACCGCATCATAAATTTGCCGAATTTCTACGTCGAGGCTTCTATATCCTATATTTTTTTTTTTATCTTTTTATACATAAACAAAAAATAAAATGTTTTTATTTTAAACGAGCTTACGAATATTTTTTTTTCTTCTTTACCTTGACTAGATATTGCTCGTGATCTTGCAAGATCTATTTTATTGCCAACTAAAATGCAACATCTTGATCTGACTAAGTCCATATCTTGTAAGAGAGTTAGAAAATATTCGGCACGTGTAAATGATGATTTGTCTACAACCGAATATATGATTAAAAATGCGTCACAACCATCAATTTGATCCTATAAATGAAGTATGTGATGTTTTACTATTTCATATGTTCTTATCTTTCCATAATGAATTATGTATAAATCCCCTTACCTTGTTTCCTTTACTATCTGTTAGAAATTTCAATTCAGATTCAATTCCATTGAGGATAATAGAGATGCTTTGGTCGCATGGCGAATCTATTTTGGAGAAATGAACAAACAATAAAATTTATTTGTTTTTGCCACTGTTTTCATCTTCTCAATACATATATTATTGATGAATAATATGAGCAAGTAACATCTGTACGCCCATTAACATAAAATGCCAAAAAAAACAACAACAATAAGAATAAGAAATAATGGCAGAAAGGTCTCTAATGACATGAGAAAATTCATTATATAAATAAATATGATAGACTGTTTTTATAAAGTCGTCCTTTTTAAAGCCTATCAAAATCACTCTCATTCATTCCATCACCCATAATTTCTATCACTGTATATGTATGTTCATATATGCTCTACTCTACTCTGTATGTATGTGACCACAATTTGAACCAAAATCATTATTGATTTATTAAATTATTAATCAATATTTTTGATCAGCTTCCAAAAATAATTTCATTTTAGCGCTGAATAGGATGGAAAAAAATGAATTAAATTAATTACTGGACCCGAATGAACAACACAAAAAATAAGAACCATGGATAAAAAATTGGATTTTAATGAAATCAATTTTTGACATGATTATAGTCACGAAAAAAAAAGAATATATTCAATACATATTTTATGCCTCAACATTGCAGAAAATTCTATTTTTTTTTTTTTCATCCACATCATAATAATAGTATATGCCGTTTAATATGTATCAACAGCAGAATATCATCATCATCTATCAGACGGCTTTACATCAATCACTTTATTGTTGGATATAATTGAAATAATCTTTGTCATGACAAGCATGTTGTTCGGATATGGTGAAAGCAGAAAAAAGCATCAGCAGCACTAGGGAAATAAGGAGTGAGAGAAGCGATAAATGACAAAAAAATTATATTTTTTTCCTTCCATAATAATAAACCAATTGCTGGATGGATGGCTTGATGGAGCTAGTCTATTAAGGATTATAATGCATTTAGACTTTTACTAGTCATTCTTTTTTGCATCTAGCTGCGTATATCCCTTCATTCCATGGAAATTGAATTTTTCATGAAGTTTTTAATCAAACATTGAAAGAGATCCCAATGTTCATCAAAAATTCAATCCACAGAAACAAGGAAGCTTTGACACAGACACACATACATACATTTAAAAGCGAATGAGGAATGAAAAAGTATGCAGCACAGAAATTTGTTTTGGCGGGATAATCAAAGGCGCACATTTTTGTCATGTAGGATTTTATAAACTAATCAAATGATCCATATTAATGAGATAAGGGATTATAAATGTTTGTACATCAAATAAAACCCCCACATCACCACATAAATTAATAAAATTGATAAAGAGCCAAACAGGGAATACTTTTTTTTTCGCTCGAGTGAATTGTAATTGATTTATAAGGAAAATGTTTATTTATGATGCGGAAAATTCTGGTTTGGAGTCATTCGCAAATGTTGTCCATTGGGAATGTAACCTCACTGCCTTCCCTACAAATTATCTAACGTTATTTGTGATTCTTCCTCCATCGGTTGTTCCAAGAAGTATACTTGCCAAAGGTTAAGCACTTTATGACACTTCAAAGTATCATTTTATGACTTTTTGAAGATTTTTAATGACGAGAAACCTTCCGAATAACATAAATTGTACTTTGTTAGGTTGAAGAGCAAGCCGTTGTTATGAATACAAAGTCCAAAATTTTCCCAAAACGTAAATATAAAATTTCCATTGTTTGTACACAAACGAGCAATTTTCTTAAAGAAAAAATTTTAATTGAAAATATTTTCACGTACAATACATAAAACTTGTACGTTGAGCTAATAAACTTCATCTTCTTCCACATTAAAGATGCAACATGTAAGGGGCCGTTCACTTATTACGTTCGCATTTTAGGGAGGAGGGGGGGGGTTGAAAAATTGTAACAAAATGTAACATTGGGGGGGGGGGGGGGGGGGTGTCAAGAAGTATGTAACGTTCTTACTGTCATCTATCTTTTAAAAATACGAAAAAAATTTGTTTACAAATTCTCACCAAAAACATTTTGTTTAAAATTTTCCACCTTTTTAATGATTTATGAAAAATTATCAAAATAAAATAAATTATGAACGTTCAGGGGGGGGGGGGGGGTTGTGAGTTGTAACATATTGTAACAAGGGGGGAGGGGGGGGGGGGGTGAAAAAGTCGTTTTTTTGCGTAACGTAATAAGTGAACGGCCCCTAAGGAATAACCACAATTTCCACTTAAAATACAATAGAATCAACAGATATTTTCGTGGATGGAAATTAGTATTAATGTGACTGACAGATGGATAGATCGATAAAGTGTGGATTGGTGCACTTCTCTAAAGAAAAGTGCTAAAAACTGAGAGACAGAAATTTTTTTGCTGTTTTCGTTTTGCTACAAGCTCATTTGAGTGAACAACATAAAAAGGAATGTAAGTACATAGTAAAAATTTATAAGATACGAAAAAAGAAAAATTGTGTGTGTGGGTAAAAATAGAACAGAAACAACAATGAGAGTACCTCTTCCGCTTTCGTAAGCATTAATGCACTCGGATGTTCTGAATTGAGATAATAGTGCTGCTTTTCCAACCCCTTGAGCGCCCATCATGCAGACGGAATATGAATCTGTTGGTCCTGGACTTGCTGATATTTCACTTGCGGCTGATGATTTCATTGGACTTGCAGGACTTGGTGGAATAAGACTAGAGCTTCTGGATCTACGACGTCTAAATGAATCACCTCTGTTTACTATGCCTTCATAGATAAATATAGATATGGAAAAATAAAAATAAAAATTTAATTTATTTAGGTAAGCAATTATCATGCTGGCAACAGCGGTTTAAAGTGAAATAAAATAAAGTTGTTTGCCCGTTTTTGCCATTTTATAAAATTCAATTAAGCTACAGGAGATAAAATTGAGTTATCATTACCTTTATTGGAAGTACTGAATGTTCTTAGAGTTACAGTATCATCTGTTTCATTTACTCTTAAATAGTTAGAATTTTGACCGGGAACATCTAAATATATATTTGACTTTCGACGTACTGTAAATGCAATCAAGAAAGAGAGAATGAATAAGGGCCCGTTCACTTATTACGTTACGCAAAAAACTTTTTTCACCCCCCCCCCCCCTTGTTACAATATGTTACAACTCACACCCCCCCCCCCCTCTTGAACGTTCATAATTTATTTTATCATTAAAAAGGTGGAAAATTTAAAAAAATGTTTTTAGTGACACCCCCCCCCCCCCCCCCCCCAATGTTACATTTTGTTACAATTTTTCAAACCCCCCTAAAATGCAAACGTAATAAGTGAACGGCCCCTAAGATCCTAAGATGTATTAAGAGTATATTGAGTGTTGTACACATACATATAGTAGATACACAATCAGGTACTCAATAAGTATGTATATTCAACAAAATGGAAAATCATGAAACTGAATTAAAAGGAAAGAAAGAAGGAAAAAAGTCGATTTCCTACCGGAAGCATTTGAAGACACGTTATTTTGAGCAGGCCTTCGCTGAGAACCACGTCTTACAGGTTGATGAAGAGTTTCGCTTTCATCCATTAAATATGGTTCACTTGTAAAATGGGTTTTATTGTCATAGTAAAGCGTTGGTGGTTGCTGGGATGTTGTTGAAACTTTTTTGCGCACCTGTATGATAATTAGTCATAACATATGTGTGTTAATTTCATTTTACTCTTTTGTTCATGATGGTTCAAAGCAGTTCATAGCGCAAAAAAACTTATTAATTAACTTTTATAATATTTTTTTTTTGCATGTCATACCGTTCGTCCGCTCGGAATTCTAGCACTCTGTGAACGAGTTGCAGGCTTTCGACGCCTGTAATTAGGAGTACCACCTCCATCATCTGGTGTATCAATGTCACACTGTGAATTTATTATTGCTTCTAAGCTCGAGCTTGCCGGAGCTGATATTGATGCACTTCTCGTTTTGTACTGTGGCTTTGAAAAACTATCCTCAGCCATGCTTAAAGTTTTATCTCTTCTTTCTTTTCTTTACTCTATTCTACTTTATTGAATAATAATTCTTATATTTGTAGATATCTAAAGGATAGAAAGAAAAACAATAGAAAAAGAAAATCATTATTTTTTTCCTTATTCACTTCCTTTTTTGATAGCTGTCATATGTACAGTTCCCAACATTTGTCATTCCTTTATTCTTGATAGATCTATCGAAAATCTATGATATATTACAATAGATATTGAACCCCTTGACCTGAGAAAAGACTGTCAGCAACTATGGCGTGTATTAAACTCTAGAACAGAACAAAAATTGAAGCTGTCTTCAAGTCATTCCCAAAAGACAATCGTATGTATGATCTAATTAATGGATAGGATATACAACGTGTTTCCGAACCAAAACTATTCTGACTGCACTTTCGAACAAATCTTGCGTGATTGTGGCCAATAATTTCACACGAATCTAGTCAGTACAATAAAGAGTTTATGAATAAATGACGTCTAACTTATAAACATAAGGTTCTTGACTGTTTCAGCACTCAAATCAAATTTTGTAAAAATAGAGCTTGTCATCACTGGACGTCATCATTAGATAACCCCCATTAGAGTCTATAAGAAATATTTTATGTAGGCGGGAGTAGACGAAAAGGTGTCAGAAAGTCAAAGATATAAAAAATCTATGAACTTTTTTAAGACTCTTCAAGCATTAATTGAAACTGTTTTGGGAATTCTAGAGGTGATTTCAAAGGATACTGCTACTTCCAAAAATAATTTCTTGTTCTCATTTTTTTAAAAGCTGAATTTGAAAGAATTTTCTTGTATTTTAATTCTCTAAGTATCTCTCTAAGGGTTGCTATACAGTAACATGCATAAACGTTCACAGTAAGTACATTTGCAGAGGCTCAAAATGGATGTACTCTACATTCCTTATCATAAAACATTACATTTCTAGCTTGAGTAACGAGTTGAATTCCTAGTTATTCAATATTAATATTTCTTTCTCATATTTTATGTTCATGAAATCATGTTTCAATTGTTCACTACTCTCTTATCATTTTGTGAACACTCTCGACGTATGTTATATTATGTTGATGACATAAATTTTCCAATTTTCAGTGCGAAAATTATATTGTTGATGAAGTGATGGAAAATAATAAGTTTCAATTTTTTTGCCTTCCTCATTTTCCTTTTCCTTCTCATTTTCCTTTCACAATGTATTATACCAAATATGAATTAGTGCCAAACAACAGCAAAAGCAAAAAAAAAGTTAAAAAATATATTTTCGTATTTTTTTCATTTAAGTTTGCAAAAGTAGCCTTAATAGACATTTGAAAGAGGAAGAAAGAACTACAATAAATAGATAAAATAAGTAAACAGCTTTTCTTGTTTGAAAAAGGTATGATGATGATGTTGAGGACGAGGGAGGTGGATGACGAGGCGCAACGTTGAATATATTTTTTTTGTATATAAAAAAATTTGATTCTTTCTTCTTTACACAAAAAAACAATTTTTTTTAAGAGGCATGTTGCAGAAAGCACATTTCGTTATGTATCTAAATATACATAAGACGAATAAAGGCGGAAGAAGAAAAAAAATCAAGTCAACTAGTGTATCGGGTAGAAACCCAATGCGGATATATTCACACCGTGCCATCAAAAGTCTTATGGATAGACCAAGATTTGCTCAGCATAAGTTTGAAGGGTGGGCGTGAATTACGGACGAGACCCATATCGACACAGTTCAAAATTTATACCTAATTTATGTCATAATTATGTCATAAATGTTAAAATATTATTAAAAAGTAATTAATCCTGAATTATGTCACTATTTTGTCAAATGTTTTAAGATAAAGAATTGGTTTTTTGGTTTCCACAGTGAAGAGTATGAACAAAATTCAGATGGGGTAGTCGAAATTTTAGATTTCGATTTTTTTTAAGCTATGCATTACAAAAAGTAATATTGGTATGTGATTTATGTCAATTCAAATAAAACATCCAAAAAATTTTTTTGAGCAAAGAACCAAGTAGGAAATTTTAGGATGTTTTATTTGTATTTGTTTTAAGCACTAGAATATTTATGCAAAGTGTCAATCCATTTTTCATCTATAGAGCAGCACGGATCAAATGTAAAAAACTAGAAGTCTCTACAATGTCTCGTTATTGAGATTTCTTGCTGATTAACTTGCTTGCTTGTTTGCTTACAGAAAGCGTATTTTGCGATTTTCTCAGCAATGCCACAACCAATTTGAAATCAGTTTTTTGAAAATGATGTAAAATTTCAAGCACAAACTTTTCTTCTGTGACCTTTTATAACCAATTTTGCTTTGTTTTCTCACAAAATGCGTGAAAACGATGTGAATATAAAAAGATATTTGTGTTTGAAATTTTCAAAAGCGAATTTTTCATGCAATTTAGATGACTATATTAAGTTATATGAATGAATTAGCATAATGTTGAATAAAATATCAAGTGTAAGATTGTTAAAAATCCGCAAATGTTATTGAACGTATGCTTATATGGCAAATCAAAGTACTTAAAGTATTTCCTTATGAAACTTTGAAGATTCAATATTTTTATCTACTTATCAGTTCCAACCCAACTCCAAAAATGAAAAGTAAATCCGTGTATAACTCGGTGGGTTTAAAAGGAAGCAAATTTTGACGTGTGAAGCATGCTGAGATAGAAATTAAAATTGGCATTTACAAATTTCATCAAAATCTAAATGTAATTGAAGCTTTTACAAGCTATTGTGTATAGAACATATGTGAACTGGTATGGAGGATGTGAACACATCACTTCCCTACATAAGCAACATTTATCAATGCTAGAAAATGTACGAGAATTTCTACGTTCATTCTTAACAACAGAATTGCAATGACAGTGATCCGCAAACCAATCAATATTGAAACTTTATTAGAAATGTCGTTGATCGATCTGATGGTTCTTGAGGCTTCCTACTTCAAATTCAACCTGATTTATTTCTACAGTCAATATGGAGAATATGAGAAGCATGCATAATAACTTTCTAGGGTTATTGTTTTGGAGCATATCTCATTTCAAATTAAAAATGGATACAAATTCATTGAGATATTCACAGCAAAAAAAAAAAACATGAAGCAAGGCACAAAAAGTCTACATTTGCAACCAATCGTCAAACAATTGTTTCATCGATTCGAAAGATTCTCTTAAGAGCCTTCATTATTTTCGATTGCGAAATAATGAATTCAGTCGAGTCAAAGGAAATGTGCTTACAAGAAATGTATGTTTGGAATGGCTCAATGTGTAGCATAGACGAAATACTCAAGATGAGATCTTTATTCGAGATGAAGCTGTGAACATTACAATAATGGAAATAGAAGGATGTGGTTTAAAATGCTAACGGGAAAATATTCAATTGACATGTTCTCTTCAAGGAATTGTTTGAAGGGTTATTCAACATTGATGTCCATTACTTTAGTGAATACTTAAAGTTTAAAAAGATGTTGAATCTATATAATACTCTAAAGAATTTTCTATTTATTGTTAAACGTCATTTTTGAAGCAAGCCTTAAGTACTCGTTATAAAAAGAAATAATGTCACCATTAGATAAAAGCAGGATAATAAGATTGTTATAGGAGTGAAAAAGGTAATTTGAGTGATAAATTTAAAAGTCATAAGGATTCAGCCAAGAGTCGTTAAATGCAAACGGTGTTCTATGTAGCAATTACAAGAATGCTCATCATATAAGACATGATGATGAAAATTGCTCTAGCTTTTAGAAGAGAAAAAAAAACTGTTTTCAAAACGCTAATTTTATTCAACATCAGCATTGAAGCAATGAACGTTAAAGGAGGAATTTCATTTTATTTTTTGATAAGATATAAATCGATCGAACACGATGCCTGAATCATTTACGGTTTACATCAATTTATATATTTATATATATACATCGATATTAAATTCCTAAACGCTGATATGTGTGCATATACATACTTTTCTCATTTATTATTACTATAATTTTATATGCGAAGCACCCCCCCCCCCCCCCCTCACCCTATTGAAACAATTTTATTGTTTTTCTCAATAGCTGATAAAAAAATATGCGGTGCCGAGATGCTGTTTGAGCAGGAATGAATGGAAAATGTACATATTGTTTATAATTGTATTAATAAGTATTGAGCAATAAACGAAAGAAGTGCTACTTACCATATATCCGATAAAATATTTTTTTTAATTATATATTGTATATTTTGTCTGCTTTACTTCTATCTCTTCTTTTTTTATTACTAACAGATTCTTTTAACAGCACAATGAGTTTTTCATCTAGATATTATTCGCACTTTACTCACTGAATTTATTTCTCTAACAAAAAAACATTTTCATTGCTTTTTCTTATTTAAATTACAAAAGACACCAAACACTAAAATCATTTTATTTATAGCGCATTTTTTTCCTTTTAAATATGTTCTATTTTTGTATGTTGCTTGCTCACTGTAGATGTAGGAAAGAAGTGAAATTGAAATGTGAAAAAAAAAAGAAAAATATAGGTTGAAGAGATGAAAGTTTTCAAGCTTTTCTTTTCTCCGTCTACTATAAATTGTATAAAATATAATACTAATAGGTACTACACAATACGACACGACACGACACTCAATGAACGAAATCAAAATTTATAGCTTTCTCTCATAATATTCTGTCTATAAAAGAATATCTTTATCCATATATCTTTGCCATTCCATTCTCATCGATTTATGCCTCAAATTCCAGGATGTGCCAATTAAAAAATGTCTGCTGTATCTCAGAGATTACTGAGATTTTTCCGCTTTAATTGTAATGAAAAGAATTCTTTTTTTTTGATATGATAATTTTCATTATTATGCGTTGAATACGCTTTACTTATTTATTATACAAGAGTGTTGCTATACAGATGGATTTAGCGTTTTTTCAAAAGTTGCTTACACAATTGCTACTCTTTTACTGAAATCAATCGAAATTTTAAAATCTTAATCCAACTCAAGATATTCTTAATCAAAGCTAATGTTATATTAAATCATAGAAGCAGAAAAAGTGCTCTAATTATCCTAATTTTTCTTGTTCCAGCTTGTGTATGATTTTAAGTCATAAATGAAAAATTGGCTCAATCTATCGTGGTTTAAAAATTGAAGCTTTATTTACAAAAAGTTGTCTAAACATAATTTTTCTTAAGAAAGATGAAAATAAAAATTTGAATTGGAATTAAAAAGAAGAAAGATTTGTAAAACAAATTAAAGTCATAAATCGCGAAATTTAATTTTTAATAAACACAATTATTATTATGGTCTGTTTGAAAGTCGGTAGAGGCTCTTTTTAATTAAGCGATTGTTTTCATAAGCGGAATCATATTTCTTTCAGAATTCCAACTAAAGAGACAAAAGAGTTGAATAAATTTATTCGAATTTTAATTTGGAAAGGAACAATATAAAGTTGTAAGAAATGCCGCATCCTTATTTTAACTTATTCGAGGCGTTCTTTGATGTTTATGACTTTAAGGATAGTTTTGTGGTCGATTGGCACACCCTAGCTTTAAGATAAGTGTTTAATAATTCCCATATTCTCTCCTAAACACATAATAGATGTGCATTGGACATAGATTGCTACAAATAAAATTTCTAAAATCAATATGTACACTACGATTATGCAATGTCAAAAAAAGAAATGAAAACAACTTGTTGCAAACCCGTTTAAAATATATAGAAAAGAGGTAATAATAGCAATAATGATGATAATAATTTTATGAGGAAAGAAGGCAAAAAATTATTGAAATTAAAACAAAATTTCACAAACAAAAAATAGATTTTCTTTTCATTTCACAGATTTTATATTTTAATACAACATGCTCTATGATGATATAAAGAATAAGAGTGATTTTCATATATGCGATGCCTTCTATGTATCATCACCGTCATCAAAAAAATCTTCTCGTCAAAGAAAGAAAAAAAAAACAGTTGATGTGAAAAATGAATCAGCGGAATTTTAATTCGGAAAATCAAAAAAGAAAAAAAGAATTAAAATGTAGCGAGAGAATTTGCCCGTTGTGTATATGTCTACAATCCGAAATGTAATTTTATTTTATATATTTTTTTTTTACACTTTATATAGTAAAGTTGAGGAATGAAAGTATCGAGCAGGAGTTCTTGTGACACATTTTTACAAAAAGGTAAAAAAATAAATATTTATATATAAATTTTGCACTCAATTTACTACTACTGATAACAAATATTTTTCTTTTATATCTTCAACATTTATTTATTTATTTTTATTTTTGAAATTCGATGAAAAAGAAAAGAAATCAAAAATAAAGTATGAGAAAATGTGAGAAAAATTTTCTTCGAGCACACAAAACACAAAGCTTTCAACTTTACACTCAAAATGAAACTGAGTATAGGATAGAAAATTTTCTGTGTTAAGAAGGGAAAGAAAGAAAAAAAAAACACAAAATTCATTCAAATATACGAGGGAAAAGTCGGGAAAAACTCTCATTTTCATGCTCACTCAATGCTCATCAGTGCTCTCAACTCTCTTCAAAAACACGTTGTGTGTACTCGTCTCAAATGTCAGTGAAAAGAACATTTTAAGCGATCATCATTAAGTGACAATTAATAATTTATACAGATACATAGTCTTAAACCTTCGTAGGGCAACAAATTGTTATTACTATTTTTTTAATTATAATTCTATAAGGTCTATAAACTTTCTCATTGTAACAAATGTTTTTCGGGTGAGTGGAGGCATGATAAAATTTTTTTTCGGTTGTCATTAGATCACTTTGACGTATTTATGGAAAACATATGTATGCGAAATGAGATCACTTTGATTTCTTGACTGTGTTTTTCTTTCTAAAGTAGCACTCGAATATTAGAGCATTGCTGAAATTAGTCGTAAAATATTTGTACATACTAGTGAAATGCTTTCTGAGATGAAAAATTAGTAATCTTATTAATATTTGTAACTTAATCTCACAACTATTCATTGTTTAAATAATTTTACTTTATTAGTCACAAGTCGGCGATTTAATTGCACAATCTGAGTAATTTGATTCACAGAACATCTACCTACCACGTTTTAGATGCTTCCTCTTCAAAATCTGAAAATGAACAGGCTAGTAAAAATTTGAAAATCTCGTTAAACTTACTAAATCATTCGATTGAGCTTTAATTCTCATATTGACATTAAAACCAATTCTAATTTTGTATCCTAAAAGACCGCTGGAGCTCACAGTTGGTAAAGTCAAAAGAGGCAATTAAAATAAAAATTGTTTGTACGATTCTGTGAGATTTTTAATTGCTTTCCTGATCGGTATTTTGCAGATGCGCATAAATCATTTACCTCCACTGACTTTTAAACATTATTTTAGAAAAGACCAGGACTGAATGAAATATAAAAAAGTTTCATGTCTTGAACAAATTTCATTCCTCCATGTTTTGCATACTAATCAGCTTAAATAGTCTTGATTACGCTTTCTTTGCCCTTTTTGCAAGAATCACATGGTTCAATGTTAATGATGCCAATATGCCAGATTGCGTCCTTTCTCTCCTCTTCTTTTCCTTGCTTTCTTTTCATTTCATTTCTTTTTGATTCGACGAAAAACAAGACAATTAATTGTCGTCATCTTATAATCTCAATACCATGTGATGATGATGCTATCTACTTTTTTTTTGCTACTGAATAAAATATATAATAATAAAAAAGACACAAGTAGTAATAATAATAGAAGAAGAAGAAATCGACGAGAGGATGTAAAACATGAAATTTTCACACAAACATTTTTATATTCTGACTTTTCCTCTCATTAATAGGTTCCTTTACATTCGTCTATAATTTTAATGGATTGATGAAGTCCCATCACAAGTGACGTAAGAAGTCAGATGAAGGTTTTTTGAGGCTGAGCATAAATTCAACCTATGAGCCAAATTTAATTCAGCCATGCCTCTCAACATGGCCAATGACACACATTTGCACACACGTCACTAGCTTTATCAATTTATGACATCATTGACTAGCAACCCCAGAGATAGATAGATTTTTTCAAATGCCTTTGCGGGATTGCAGATCGTTTTTTTAATGTATAAATTTTTTGGGTAAGAAAAAGGAAAGAAAACTCTTTAAAGAAGCAATAAATCGAGAAATATTTGACACATGTTTAATTTTAAATTGATTGTACTTAAATGAAACGTTTACGCGAAATAAAAAAAACTCTTCGCTCCCTTGATTTAAGCAATAAATAAAATTGGGAGTAAGAAAAGCAGATGAAAAGACTTAGTCTTCGATTTCCACTTTAAGGTAAACATAATACGATATGTATGATGCTTTTCAATTGTTCCGTAATTGTTTACTCGAAATGAATGATTTACGTAAATTTTTTTTTTATGTCACAGATGAAAAACTTTATTATAAACAGAAGATTTATGACGGCATTATTGCTGTAGTAAATAGATAGAGGCGGGTTGTTAAAATTATGTATTGATCAATCATAAATAGAGTGTTAATTTTATTATATTCACACCGTTTTCACGTATGAATCTATTGGTTTTGTTCAGATTGAAAAATCAGTTTTTCGCATTTTGTGAGAAAACAAAGCAAAGTTGGTTATAAAAGGTCAAGAAGAAAAGTTTGTGCCTGAAATTTTACATCATTTTCAAAAACAGATTTCAAATTAGTTGTGGCATTGCTGAGAAAATCGCAAAATACGCTTTCTGTAAGCAAACAAGCAAGCAAGTTAATCAGCTAGAAATCTCAATAACGAGACATTGTAGAGACTTCTGGTTTTTTACATTTGATCTGTGCTGCTCTATAGAAGAGCTGTATTGTTTTTGGGCAAGGTAGGAACAGCCGTTGCTTCAGAAATGGCAAAAAACTTTCCTTTCTTACGAATTTTTTAAAACAAAAGTTGACTGTGATTTTATAAAATTCAACTTTGGATGAAAATGTTTTTTAAAAAACTTTTAAAGAATATTTGGCATATTCGTCAAGCTTTATACCTTCAAACTTATGCTGAGCGTAGCTCAGCTGACTCGATAGCTTCATATCTTCAAACTTATGCTGAGCGTAGCTCAGCTGACACTAGCTTTATATCTTCAAACTTATGCTGAGCGTAGCTCAGCTTACGCGATAGCTTTATAACTTCAAACATATGCTGAGCGAAGCTTAGTTGACTTATCAAGCTTCATACCTTCATACTTATGATGGGCAAATCTTGGTCTATCCATAAGACTTATGATAGTACGGTGTGAATATAATCCGCATTGGGTTTCTACCCGATGCACTAGTTTTTATTACTTTCTATTTTCGCATGCATTATGTCTTAATTGGATACATTCCAAAATTCATTAGTAAACGATAATTAAGATTTTTTCCGGGCTTATGGTGTTTTAGGATATACCCGATCGCCTCAATTTACGTCACTCTCAACTTTATTTTCTCGTTTTCGATATTTTTCCTTATTGATGAATGAAAAGTTTATTGACTTATGAATGAAACTTATGACAAGTTAATATTTTCAAATTAATAATAATATAAGTTAAAAGGATTTAATTAAGGCTGAAGAGTTAAATTAACTGAGAGTTGTTGATATAACGGTTTTTGAATTTTCAAAAAGCAAAGTACACAAAATTTTGAAAACTTTAAATCTGAAATAACCGTTAAGTTTACAACTGAGTGATAGCTTAGTGAGAGAGTTTCATTCATATTTGAAATCTCATCGAATTCACATCGAAAAGTATTTTTGATTAAAAAGTGTGTTAATTAATTATTATTTTGAAAGCTAATTGTCATATTTATCTTATAAAAACCTTAAAGATGGCAATGACTACACGTTTCCGTACAAAGAATAGAGAAGAAGTGAGTAAATTAAGTTTTTATATTTAACGCTTTTGTTTTTCTATTTAACGGTTTTTTATGGTATTCTTGATCATTAAATTCTTCATTATTTACCATTTAAACCTTAATTAAACTATTTAAAATGATGAAATCTCATAAAAACAATGTAACTGGATCTTCACAGAATAACGATCCCGCCAATAAGTTAAAATTACTCGATTCTAAGTTAAGTACACAAAAATCCGAGTCTGGATTATTGCTAGATGAGAAACGAAAGGCATTTGGTGATATTCATAATCGTAGAGAAATTGTAGCCATTGATTCCAAGAAATTGGGGTAAGTTAAAGTTTTTAATGCATGTGTTTTGATAAATAAAAGATTTCAATACAATAACAAATTGATTTCTTTGATAGTGTTGAGAAGGATATCAAGAAGGGAATTACTGGAGTATTTAAGGATGTTAAGCCTCGTGTTGACACTCGCTGGAAAAAAGCGGAACCCACGTTGGTCCAACAAAAGCCGAAAACTACAGTCATTGCCCCAGCAGCAGCTATATCACGTCCACTTTCTCGACAAAACTCGATCAAAACCAATGATGTTAGGAAGGAAAAGAGTACAAAGACTATCACAGAATCCATTACAATGCAATTAAAGCAGACTACTACATTAACATCACGCATTGATTTTAAGAAATCCCAGAAACCAAACGAAGTTCAATTTATTCGTTCACCGCAATCTATTAAAAAGAAGGAGAAGCAAGTTAGTGCCAGTGGATTTAAGTTCTTTGAAAGTCATTCAACACACTTACTTTCTCAGGTAGATATTCATAAACTATTTGAAATCATTAAAAATCCTTTTGTTTATCAATTAATTGTCTTTTATAGGTTGACAATATTGATGAAAATGACAGCAGCAATCCACAATTGTTGTCCGAATACGTAAATGATATTTACGCATATATGATGAAACTAGAAAATATCTTCCCGATTCGTTCCAATTTCTTGGAAAGTCAAATGGATGTAACACCAAAAATGCGATCAGTTCTATTGGATTGGATTAATGAGGTACATCATCAATTTAATTTGGAAAATGAGACATTCCATATGGCTGTATCGATGATTGATCGTTACCTACAAGCTGTCCACAGCACTCCAAGAAAATATCTTCAACTCGTTGGTGTCACTGCTCTTTTTATGGCTTCAAAATATGAAGAATTAATGCCACCAGAAATCGGTGATTTTGTCTACGTTACTGACGATACTTATAGCAAGGAACAAATTCTTCATATGGAAACAAAAATGTTCAAAGCTCTTGACTTTCAATTGTGCAAACCCCTTCCAATTCACTTCCTCCGACGATATGCAAAAGCTGCAGGATCATTAGCTGATCGTCAATACATAGCTGCTAAATATTTCATTGAATTAGCCTGCATTGACTACGAACTTGCAAAGTGCAAACCTTCTGAAGTAAGTAAATTATGCTATTTATCATTTCCTTTGCTGGAAGTCGCTTCCGTAAATATACGTACGTAAAATTATACAACACAACTTTTCAAATATTCAACACAACTTTTGATTCGTTTATTTAAAGATTGCTGCTGCATCATTATACCTATCTTTGTACATTATGAATGGAATGAAGAACGATAAAGACTTATGGACACCAACATTGCAATTCTACTCAACTTATACACTTAATTCGATAATGCCAATTGTAAAGCGCTTAGCAATGATTGTATCTTCAGCACAGGAAGCAAAACTTAGATCAATTTACAACAAATATGGAAATGCTCATTTCAAATTCACATCTACAATTCCTGAAATGACTGGCAATAAGATACAAAATTTGATTCGAATGTTGTAAGTGATTTTAAGTCGTTATTCCATTGTTTTCTTTTTCTTTCCTCATTTATGGCATATGCCACAAATCTGTTTCCATCTCTGTCTCTCATTTCTTAAGCCTAATTTTTTAATTAAGAAGATATATACAATCTATTTTATAATGAAAAAAAAATGTTTGAACCTCATATATAGTATGTAATTTATTTCATATAATTTTTTACCAAGACTTGCTTTTATACTAAAACAAAAAAGTAAAAAGAATATCTAGCTAGTTTAATTAAGGTTTCTTTGGGCAAAAATAAAGCAATTATTACTTGGATATAAATCTTTACATTCACAAAAATTTAACGAAAGCTCATTTAACGACCTTTTTGAAGACTTCAAGTTTATAGTGACAATCAAGTTTACAAAAATGAGCTTTAAAGGAACAAATAAGTAAAGATTACACTATGCATGTAGATTTATGATTATTTTATGTACTTTGTGTTAATTACCAATTAACTAGAAATTTGTCTCAATAAAACAAGATTAAAAGTTAATTGTATTATAGTAATCCCTTCCACGTTTTATTCTATCCTTTAAATTGAATATCAATTGAGGCTGCTTACTTAAGACTCCTCAAAATTGTCAATGTCGTACTTAAACTTTCATGCTGTAATTAACAAAATTAGGCTATGAAGTAAAACAGCTTCCTTAAATCTCGACCAAGTTTGATAGACGCATTTTTTAATTCCTTTTAATATCGTTTTTTTCTCATCTTTATTTTTCTCAGTAATTATACTTTAAATTGACATTCATATTCGATTATTACAAAACTAATGAACATTTACGGGAAAAAATAATGAAACTTTGGATCACTAAAGAATAATGCAAGGCAGAAAAAAATAATGACAATTACATGACTAAAATAAAATTACAATTATTTAAGATCCGATTGCTAAAAAAGCTAAAACTAATAATAAAAAAATATTATAAAAACTGAACGTAAGTAGTTAAGAATCTAAAAACACAAGTTCATGTTGATTCATCTGTGCTGTATACAAATTACTAATATTCACTGTTTGGTTCGGTTCCAAAATATCGATCCCCGAAATTCCCAATACCAGGAATAACATAAAATTTATCATTAATCTCCGGATCAACGGCTGAGGTAACAATTTGAACCTGAAATAGAAGAAGAAAATGTATTATTAGAGTTTTAGAAAATGGCAGAACAAAGAGGAACACGATGAACGTGACAAACAGGCAAAACAGCACAAGTTTGACAATTATTGGTGCTTGTTGTTCCTTAAACGATTTTTAACGGATTTTTGAAATTTTAATTTTTCTGTCTTTGAGTTCAAAATTTGAACCTTATTTGTCCACGATTTTAAATTTTAAATTTCCGTTATTAATCAAATTTACTAATTTCTTTTATTGCTTCAATTGTCACGACAGCACTCAATCCAAGTATTTGCACCAGAGGTCGAAGCGAGCATAGCGAAGCGAGTTTTTAGCGAGCTCGCTTCGCTAAAAATTCAACTTGCTAAAGTTGACCTGTAGCGAGAATTTTTTTTTTCTTTTCGCCTTAGCGAACTATAGCGAACTCAATTTTATTTTTTTCGCTTTAGCGAACTATTAGCGAACTAAATTTTTCAAAGTTCGCTATAGCGAACTATTGGCGAACTAGAAAAATTTTTTTGGCTTTATATTAAGAGATGTTGCGTTTGTGAAGTATGTAATTTCATACAAAATTGCAAAAAATTATAGTTCGCCAATAGTTTGCTATAGCGAACTTTGAAAAATTAAGTTCGCTAATAGTTCGCTAAAGCGAAAAAAATAAAATTGAGTTCGCTATGGTTCGCTAAGGCGAATAGAAAAAAAATTTTCTCGCTACAGTTCGACTTTGGCAAGTTGAATTTTTAGCGAAGCGAACTTGGCGAACCAAGTTCGCTTCGACCTCTGATTTGCACACATTTTTGACACAAATTTCGAGTGAACTCGCATAGTCATTGAGTCTATTTTCTGTACACATCAGCAAATTCAAGTGAAAATGTCAATGTGCTCATTTATACTATAATAAGCAGTACTCACCTTAGGAAAAGCATATGCAATAGAATGAACACCAATTTCGGCCATTAAAAGAGATACTAATAGAATATTTTCTTCAGGAACGTCATGATCAAGCAATACTCGAATTGCCATAATTGCAGCAGCGCCAGTTGCCACTAAAATAATTGAGATATGATAAAAAAATTGATGAGTCATCAGTTACATAAACTAGTATGTCATAAAAATACCTGTAGCATCCATTAAGATTACACGATAATCCTTGATATCTTTCGGCAAACGTAGGTAATATAACTGCGCAAATAAAAAAAGAGAAGCATGAAGATTAAAAAAATACATTGTAAGTGTGTCAATGTCGAGTGATTGATAAGAGCAAATTTTCGGTCAAGTTTAATAATATTTATTATGTATGTATATGCTTATGATTACCTCAGGTTCACCAGTTGACTGATTTGTTTGAATAAGTATCTTTCCTATTCGAATATTCTTGCAGACTTCCGAAACAGCTTGTTCCATTGTCTCGCCAGCTCTTAAAATCGACACGCCACAAATTCTATTACTAGCCATTCTCTTCCCGTCATAGCTGATTGCCTGAGGTGTTTCTATAGCTACATTTTTAAATGGCATTAAGCTTAAAGCATATTCTAGAACCAGTCGAATGAGACGATTGGAATAAAAGATAAATTCGTCTCTGGATGTATTTGCATTTCGTATAAATGTATGTAAGCCTTTTATCTGAAATAAACAAGAATTGGATGTTATAAAAAATTATTTACAGGCACACGTGAATGATAAGAATCGCGTGTATTTTTTACCTGAGGTGTTTCTGGCAGTAAAAATAATGAACTTGGCATAGGTAAATCTAGCATTTCCGAATGTGCTAAATGTTCCCTGACTTTAAATCCTCTCAATTGTAATTGAGTATTCACATGCTGCACAATTAGCTGAATGGCAATAATATTCTCACCACCTCTTGGAACTATAATATCGGCATGCTGCATTGTTGGTGCAATATAATTGGAATAGCTCGGTTTCACCATTGTCGAGTACTGCTTCAATACTCCACCTAAATCTCTACCTCTCTGTGATATATCACGTTTTAAACGTCTTGCTAATCTTATATCAGCATCTGTATCAACAAAAATTTTCATATCCAACATCTCTAAAACTTCAGCACTATGGAACGTTAATATTCCTTCAAATATAATGACATTAGCACCATACATAGTCTTTGTATGAATCTCTCGCGAATGTGTCACAAAATTATAAACTGGCACTTCCACTTTACGTCCTTCTTTTAATTTCTTCAAGACATCAATCATGAGTGAAAAATCAAAGCTGTCTGGATGATCGAAATTATATTCATTACGCTCTGCTGCTTCGTGCTGTTTATGATTCAATATCTGATTTGAGAAATATGAGGAATTAGTTGATTATTTTGCAATGTTAACGGCTTTTTTGTTTTGTAAATAAAAGTATCCAATGTCAACATACTTTGTAAAAGCAATCCATGGACAAAAGTGTGACCCATGGAACATCCAGACTTTCAATAATTTTCTGAGCAACTGTCGTCTTTCCAGAAGCACTTCCTCCACAAATTCCAATAACAAATGGCTCCACTTGCTGTCCTTGAGTGTTATACCACGGCTATAAGCAATTGATTTTCAAAAAATATCTAATTAGAGATATTTTATAAGGAAGCTTGACATTGTCATTCATTAGTGACGTTCATACACCTTCAAAATTTCATATCTTAGCCTGAGGTTCAAGATATGATAAAATAGATTGCCAAAAAAAATAAATCCCACAATATTTCGTGACGTCATAAGTGATTGACCCCTAAAAACATAAATTATTTATTACTCACTGGACGGCCAGCTGTATAAATTGTTCGTTGATTGCATCTAATGATTGCTTCATTAGCTCTAATAGTATTTTGACTCGTAGACGTGGTCCGTTGACGTCTCGGCTTATTAACAGAATTCAAACGTGGTCTTAAGGATGGCACCGTAATCGGGGATGCAGGACAGCATTCATTTTCATAGCCACTATCATGTGAATAAACAGTTCCATTTTCAGTTTCAGGTCTTTCATTTGTATCACTACGAAAGGGGGATTTTTCATGATTGTTTACAAGATGCGATAGTTTATAGGTAGTAAGCAACAACATGCACAGATTAGTAATAAGTGGGCAAAGTAATGAAATCGAAAGTAACTTTTGTGGTGAAATTAGATTTATTTAAAGCTAATGTGAATCAAGCGAGCGAGAGAGTCTATACGACTAACCGGTATATTGACCTACAAAAAAAATATTTTTTTTTTCTTTCATCATTTCCTACGTGAGAATAAATAGTGAGCAGCTAGTCACACGGAGTATGTGTATATAAAGATGGAAAAAAAAAATAATTCAATTCTTTTTCTTCCAAACCTGTCTAATTTGCTCTATTCTCCCCACTAGCTATTGACTCAATAGAATGTTAAGCATAAGATGTTTATAAGATTCACATCAGTACATGCATTCATTAAGGAAAAATGACTTGACTCATCCTAATATCTTTTATTTTTAGAATTATTTTTTAATGACGAAAACAAAAAAATTTTCTCATGTGTTTCAGGAAATGTGCTTCGAAATGAGGAAACTTAATGTAAGTGATAAAAAATTGGACATGCGGTTATCAAAAAAGTTCACTTTATGTTGCCAAATTGTCACTTTTTGTCGATAAAATAGCACATCTTATTTATGCGTACTTATTTACGTCAAGAGTTTTTTTATCTCAAAAAATTTTTTTTTTGTTCTAGAGACTTTTGCGACTTTCTAATTTACTACAATTATTCAAATGATAAATTGAGTAACTCCGCACCTTTCTGATGAGCACGAGGATGGTACATCGATTGATTGTGGATTCTCAGACATTTTCACTTTATCAACTCTATTTTAATTCACAAATTCTTAAAACCACGAATGTTCACCTTCATCGAATTCAATCAATCTACAAGATCCAGTTGTGCGACATTTGGCTATATAACTGAATCATCGTGCTGCTTGAAATTCTTATAACCGTTAAAATTATTTACAGGCTTGAATCATCTAAAGGAATAGGACTGGCTCCTACAACTGTTGCCCATTCAAGCCTGCTTTTATTATCAAGTTTTGTGTTTTCTAAATGCATTAATTCCATAAGGGGCCATTCACTTATTACGTAACGCTTTTAGGGGGGGAGGGGGGTCTAAGATTTTGTTACGGTTCAAACAAGGAATTTTTTTTTCATACAAATTTTGTTACGAGGGGGGGGGGGGGGGGGGTCTAAAGTCATTTTTTCGCGTTACGTAATAAGTGAACGGCCCCTAACTCATCTTACTTTCTCGTAACAGCTATGCTACCTAAATGATATAATCTCTTTATTCTTTTTCTTTTTGGACAAGCTGAAAAGCTTTTTTATTCTTTAATAAGACATAAATAAATTATGACAATTATTATGTATGAATTCTAAGATCCAAGAAATATTAAATAAATTAATGCTTAAAGACACATCGTTAAGTCAACAACCATATCACACAACATTTCCATTCATAAATTTTGTAGTTCCAACAAAGAAATACTCTTGTTTAATAACACAACCGTCAAAAATATATTTATGTGCTGTTTTTTTCGGGATGATTTATCAATTTAGTCCCGTGACGCTCCAATAATCATCAGAATATACATGAATATTTGAACGATATCAAGATATAAATTCAAAGCTATTAAAGAAGTAATGAAAGACAGTCGTGTGATATTAATAGTAAAATTGTCAATTCTATCTCTTACCGGCAAAGATGTATTCTTCTGGGCTGATAGAGTACTTATGATTTCCACCCATCATAAGTTGTGTATCATATATCAAGTAAATACAGAAGATCAAAGCCCCAACAGACGCATAAACGAGAGTAATAGTCTTTCCGGGAAAGAATATAGTAATAAGACCAAACAGCATAAGTATGATTGCAGCTACGAACAAGATACCTGTATATAATGCATAAATAAAATTAAGAATATTGCTGAAATTTCACACGTCTGACTTCTTACCTCCCATTACAGTAAAGTCCCTGAAATAAAAAAAAAAAAAAATTTATGACATTAAGGATATAAAATTCATCATCTCACCATTTTGTCTGGAATGCAAAAATAGTAAGTCCAAAGCACACAGCTGCTGTAATTCCAACAGCCAAGAAAACTTCAAATTGAGCATAAGAAGCGGAAATCATTCCAAGTAAGAAGCTTTCAGCTAGCGTAAATAAGGCTAGGAAAATAAAATTCATTGGGAATGATCGACGGACGCTTTCACAACATGCCATTGCTGAAAATTTAAGAATTGAAACCTTCAAATCACAAAAATAAATCAAATTTTACCAATCATGGTCACTAAAGTGACACCAAGAGCGATAAAGAACATTTCAGGATGTTGCTTTGCCCATAATCGAGTGCCTTCATGAAATACAAATAATGAAATTAATCCTAGCGTAACCAGTAATTGAACCTGTTGATATTGAGTAAATAAAATTGATTAAGCATTAAATTCTTATTGATTCATAAGGTCAGCTTACGCATAGAATTGAGTAAACTTTGCGTATAAAGGCCCTGCGAATCGACTGCTCAGAAAAGTCAAAATTCTTGTCAGCATCTTCGGGATCGTGATATGGTGCCATATCTGGTTGATTGTAAGGTGTTTGATGTGGATATGCTGGATTATATCCTGGCTGTGGCTGTTGTTGAAATCCTGGTTGCTGTGGATATCCTGGATTTGGTGGATAAGGAGCTTGTCCGTAAAATTGTTGATTAGGATCTACAAAAGTTTCATTTCTCAGATCATTAAAGTTATCATGATAAACTTGAGAATTTCTATGTAATTAACAACGTGATAATAAAGCTAATAAATCAAATGTGAAGTGCTTCTTTATGTGATTCATAATATTTCATCTTTAGGTGCTTTTTTTCATGTGCTACAAAAATTTACACACTCGACTTATTTACGTCAAATGCAAGCTGTTTATTCTTACCTGGCTGTGGGGGTGGTGGATAGTAAGGTTGTTGTTGCTGTTGTTGTGGATTTTGCCACATGTCTTCAAGTAAATAAATAATAAGTTATCGTCAGTATTGCATATTAAAGTCTTGTGTCTGTGTTTTGATAAAAAAACAGATGACATCAAACAGGCACAAACATTAACGTGACAAGCTTTTTGTTTTGTTATCATGAAACAATATTAAGCATGTCAAAGAGTCATATTGAAGCGTTTACATGATATGAGTTACATAATGATGGAAAATTATAAATTCTGAATAGAACAATTATGCAATGCAGAGTTATCATTGTCCTCAATATCTACGGTAATTTGCATGCTTCCGTCTTTTATGAATAATAAATTCTAATGTGAAATTTACAAATAGGTATTTAATTTATGATAATAGAGTAAGGATGATATTCAATGTTAATGACAGATTTTAATGAATTGTGGATACAGCTTGCTTTCACACATAAAAAGCTTTAAATGCCCTTAACATAAATTAAACTAGCACACAAGCACCTCATATAGTTATTCAAATGTGTTTACACGATCGTAAAGATAAGACAATTTAAATAAATAGTAATAGCTAGTGCTTAATACAATTTCAAAAATGAGTCATCTGCATGCAAACTTTCTCGAATCATCAAAATTTATCTCGAAATGTTCTAGACCAAACCACTTGTTGTGGCTTCATACTTTATCATAAAACATATTTCTGTCAATGTCAATGCGTAGCACTCGATGCATGTACACAATTGAACTCACTTTCAATTTCGCAATAGTTGGAGGAGAACAATAATGTTAGCACAGCTATTATTTCTACATTTATGGGGAAATCATGTGATAATTATTTTCATTTGAACAAGCCAATGAGAACCGCAAGATAATATTAATCAAAATTTAAGTGATTCACACAATAATTGAAAAATCGATGAAGAATATGGAATTGCTTAGTTGATGTTAATGGATTGTCGTAGAAATGTTTTTAAGGAAATGATATCGATTTTTCTCGATATTAAAATCGAGTTTATTCGTTCACTTTTTATACGCATGAAGTACAAACAATTGAATACTCACTTAGTTCTTAATTGTTTCCTCTTACTTTTAATTAAGTATACGTCACTATCCACTGATTTAAAAGTTTAATAAATCACTTTAGCTGATAATTCTATTATATTAATACAATTTCCTAATTTTCCAAGCTTGTCTTGCTTTTGTTATTTTACTGAAAACGTTCTATGGTGAAATTCGATGTGTAAAAAATTTTATGATGTGTAATTTATATTCACCACTTATTGTATAATTCTCATATCTAGCATGTTACTCACTCAAAATGTTGGAATTGAATTTTTAAAGATCAACTGCTATAGAAATTTCAAAATTGTAAAGCGGGAAGTTTTTCGGAATTCGTTTTCTGACAATTTTAGAAAAACTTGTTTTAATCTTTGAATATTTTCCAAATAACCATGAGGCTATGTTAAAATAAATTCTTACAAGCTTACCTGTATGTTATCTGCTGGTCTTGAGGTCCTCTAAAGTACTCATTTATAAATTTTAATATTTCAAAATTTCAAAATCCTAAAAACCGTTAAAAATTTAAATTTGCAAATCTGTAGCATAATCAACATTTAACCCTATCTGTCTTAAAAGTTATAAAGTATCGGGTAAAAGGTAATCACATTTAAAGTTGACAGAACGCACTGCTAGTACTCAAAAGCTTTTTTTTCTTGTTTGAACAAATTTTTATCTTTATTGTATTTTTTAAGATTTTTTTTATAAAGCATGTCATCTTCCAAAAGTAGTAAATCCTCAAAACCCTTTCAAAAAAATTCCGGCGATTGGTTTTGTCCTGATAAGTCGTGAGTTGTTTGTATTAAAACACTAATTAATTCTTTGGTATTGATTTTCTGCAATTTATTGTTCACACAATTTTTCTTCTTTGTCCAAAAGATGCAATAATTTAAACTTTGCACGACGTGATAGCTGTAATCGGTGCAAGAAACCTCGGGAAGAACAGAAAAAAGGAAGCATTGGCATTGGTTCAGCTATTGCTAAAAGTAGTAAGGGATTATTTAGGTATGACATTTTAAGATGCATATTTTATTGCAATTTTATCAATCACATGCCGGCTTTTTATTCTAATTCTAGCGCTGATGATTGGGCCTGCACAAAATGTGGCAATATTAATTGGTTGGTTCTTATCTATTTCTCTTTATTAGCTTTACAATAATGTTTGCTGGATATCCTTATAATCATATTTAGGGCCAGAAGAAATCAGTGTAACATCTGTAATGCAAAAAAATTCGTCGGGTTTGAGGATGAAAGAACCGGTAATGTTTGGTATTTTATGGTATTTTTAGTATGTATTTAAACGCTTTTTCTAATTTATATTCTTACTGAAAGTGACAAGCTTTACAAATTTCATTTAATGCACTATAATCTTTTTTGATTAAGCTTTCAACTTCAGTGATTTACTGGATCATACATATTGACAGTTATAATTAATTTATCACCATAATTATAATTTCTTAAAGGACTCGGAGGTGGATTTAATGAAAGAGAAAAGGTAGAATACAAGGAGCATGTATCATCAGATTCAGACGAGTATGATGAGTTTGGTCGAAAGAAAAAGAATAAACGTAAGAAAACATCCAGTGAGATGGATTTAAAACGTAAAAGTCGCCGTGATAGGTCGTCGTCAAGAAGCAGTTCAAGCTCAAGTAGCGATAGTTCAAGTAGTAGCAGCACAAAAACAAGTTCCTCAAGTTCCAGAAGCAATTCCCCAAAAAGGAAAATATCTCGAAGGATGAGCAGGTCCCGAAGTCGATCAAGGTCACGATCACGAGATGAAAGGAATAGGAAATCTTCAGAAAGCTATGAGCGACATGAAAAGAGCCGAGAAAAGTCCCCAAGTAAAAGCAGGAGTGAGTCTGAGGACGACGATTCAGAAGGGGATTTATCAAAATATAATTTATTTGATGATGATATTGATATTGAAGCTTTAAAAGCAAACAAATAAGCAAGAAACACAAAGTTATATACATTGAAGCTAAGTAATTATTATAAATCAATTTATTGAAAAATTTTGCGCTTTTAAAAGTTAATTTCGAAGACATTTTTATCAACTTAATCTTTCCTTTCTCCTCTTAAATACAAATTAATTAATAATTAATTAGAAATAAAATGAAGCATGTATAGATTTTCAAGAAAAGAACTACCTTACTCATTCGTATTGTATTCAATTAGTGTCATACCATTGCTTCTTCATCCATGAACTTTGTTTGACTTTATTAGCAAGCTGTCGATCCAATACAACAAATGGTTCATTATTTCCAAGACTTTCTCTGTAGCTTTGCTGTTTATCAATCTCATAGTTTGGACGATAATTGTTAGCAAGTGAATCAGCAGGAGCTTGAGCAAATTGAATTGCATTGGAAGGCGTTAAATGGTAAGAACGTTGTTCATGTTTATTTGGACAATAGTCTCGTGAGTATGTTGTATTTCCTTCAATCACATTAGTTTTCTTTCTTATTTGATAATCCTCTTTCGGCAATGCTGCTCTCCGTCCAAATTTTGGACTTCTCCTTGGATATTGAGGACGTTGATAATTTTCAACCTTCTCTTCCGCTCGATATCTCTGCTGCTGCTGCTGCTGTTGTTGTTGTTGTTGTGCTGCCATATTATTGTTTTCAATGTCAGAATCAATAAAATCGACAGTCTGCATCCTTGGTCGTCCAATTCCATTGTCCTCGTCAAATGACACATCATAATTTTTACGTGGTTTCCTTGACACTGACAAATGTTCACTGAACTTTTCCTTTTGAATCGGATAGCTCGCACCGCGACCTAATGTCAAGTTTGTCGGTGAACGTGTAGGAATTTTGAAATTTGAAGGTGGTTTAATCTGCTCAACGATTACTTCATTATTTGCATCAAACATTTTCTCTTCCGGAACATTAACTTTATTTTCCGTGAGTATTTTTGTGACATTATTATGGTCGACTTTTTCTTTTGCCTTCTTCTCCTTCTCTTTTTCTTTCTGAATTGCTTCCGGCGATGGTCCTCTTGATGGCGAACGCTCCTTAATCATATAATTTCTCATTGCTTTCCTATACTCGGGTGTAGATTCTATTGGAATTTCATCGCTATCGAAGCTTGCATTTCTGGAAGTTTTCTTGACAGAATTAATCTGACTAATTGGAGGAACATTAATTGGCAAATTTAAATTATCAGGCTTTCTTTCTTGGCGTTCATTCGACGATAATTGTATATGCGTTGCTGGTTTTTTCACAATGGGTCGTTGTCTTGGAAATTCTACATAGTTGTTTCGATATTCTGGATCATAATCCATATTACCATTAAGGCACAAATAATCTTCACGTCCTTTAGAACGTTCAGGCATGGTACTCGAATCATAGCTTTTATATTTTTCACTATATTCAGGCACTTGTAAAGGATACTGTCCATTTGAATGTAAATTATCTTGTTGTTTAATCGACTGCTGTCGACTATATGACTTCATGTCAATTTCTTTATAACGATCGTTATATTCTGGTCTCATTTGAGTGTCTCCTTTAAGGTACAAGTTATCCTGCTTCTTAATTGGAGCACTTTTAATGAATTGATCATAACTTTTGTATCGATTATTATATTCAGATACTGGATTATATCCATTAGTGTACTTTTCAAAATGACTTTGTTGAGGAATTAGTGCACTTTTCTCTCCTATCACTGCCCTATATTTCGAACGATACTCCGGAACGTAGTTGTTATTTTCATAATCAAGTTTTTCATGGTAACGGTTCGAGCAACTCACTCCATAATTATTATTAAGGATTTTCGCTTCCTTCACTTGCCTCGAGTCTTCCATAATTTGTTCTTCCTGTTGTCTCCTTTCAACAATATCTTTCCTTTCGCAATCAACTTTTACTTCCTTAGACTTTCGTTTCTCGTGTTTTGAGTGATAACAAGGTATCTTATTAGAGCGATTAATACTGTCCACAGAATATGGGATGTATTTACTTCGATATTCAGGAAAGAGTTCAATATTTCCAATTAAATGTAAATTGTTAGGCTTCTTTATCATAGGCGGACGAGCACAACTTATCACATGATCAGGATATGCACGAAATTGAGATTTCTGTTCGGAACGAATGTCCATAATACCAGCATTCAATTTAATATTTGTAGGCCTTCTTATCAGACCTATTCTTGGTGAATAAGGACGTGAATGGAAGTTTGTGTCATATTCTGTGCTGTAGTTTAAATGATTCAAGGACGTATCTGATCTATAAAGTCCAGTTAAAAATGGATCTGTCGGAAATATAACATAATAATTTATTCATTAAGGAAGTATGGAAGGTCACTTACATGCATCAACTTTTAAATTTGAGGGTCGATTTATTGGAGGTAATTTTCCTATAAGCGTCTTTTCAGTATATTCTCGACTGTACTCTGTACTATTACTTTTTCTATTAAGGAGCGGTTCACTTCGATTATTATTGCACTGAAGACTTAAGTTACTTTGGAAGAGATCTAGAACAGCACAATAGACATACGTCAATCAAAGAATAGAATGATAATGAGAGTGAATTAGAGCATGCAAGTGAATTGTTAAGTACGAATAAAACAGATACTACACTCTTCTTGCAATTACATGGCTTTCTCCTTCGATAGTAATGCAGATCATCAACAGGAATATACTCGAATGGAAAATGCTTTGGCTTAAATCGATTTGTACAGATTGCTGATTTATCTGTGGATTAAAATTTATGTTTTTTATGCTTAATGATAGAAAAAAGAAATGGAACTAACCAAATGAAATTTCAGGCTCAGAAATACTTCTAGATCTTAGGTATATATCACCATCGTAATTCCTGTTTGTTTGTTTGTGTATAAAGGAATTTTGTTAGAATTTATAAACGAAAAAAAATATTAGGTTCGTTGCTATAGGAAGAGTTCCTATATACTGATGTAAAGCAATTTTTACGGTCGAATGATTCAGGCATAAACCTTAAAAATCAATTTTATGATGACCATGTGCCAGACGAAATATTTTCACGAGAAGCCAATTCATTCTTTCTCATTAAAACAGTTGCTGTTGATAAAAATCTGACCTCCAAGAAATAGCATGAAAATGACCTTAATATTTGATTATCACTTAAGCTTGCGAGAAGAAAAAAAAGGCAAAAATTTTCCTTTTTTTGTCGACAGAAGTTCCACTGAATTAAATATTAATATAAAGTCACAGCAAGTGCTTCTAAATATTCATTGATATAAATTCTTAAAGAATACCTCAATTACTTTTTAAAAATACTTTAAATGAGAGAAAAAAATGTTCTTCTTGCTCCTTTGCAGACTTGTTACTTGGTCGAATACCAAAAATACACTAAATAGCATGCAACCTAGGCGAGAAGAAATATTCTATTTATTTACTATGGAAAGGAATTCCATTATAACATTATAAAAGTGAATATTGTTTATTTCCATAATTCATGTTTTTGTGAAGTTTTCTCAAGTCTTGATGTTTGTGTACGAGGGATATAAAGCTTTAATTCTCTCTTTACATATTCTTCGCATTTCTTATTCATTGGGGATGTCTATGTGTTGGGAATGCAATTATCAGGTGGCACATAAATTTTTATTCCCATCAAATCACCGAAAAGGAACCAAAAAAGAAATTCAACTTCATGGAACTAAATCTCTTGACTTATCTGATTTACATTATCCATGGATTTTATTTTTGTTTTTAATGTCTATGCTTATTTTTATTTTGAGTGAGGCATTAAAGGTCATTATGACTATTGAGTTGATGTGCAAGAAGGATATATTTAAAATTGATGGAATTAAATATATTTAAGGTGATAATGATCCTTGCATGAATCCTTGAAGAGTGACAAAATTGAGGTTGCATGAGTTGAAAATAGAATGGTAAATTTCTAACGGTTTTAAAACATTCAACAATTTGAGTTGAATTCAAACCAATTTAAAAAAATTGAATTCCAATAAAAAATATACGTTAGAAAATATCTAAATAGCACATTTAAAGGCTTAATGAAGCAATAGAAAATTAAAATTACTCAAGATACAACAATTGATAAGTCAACATGTGTTGAATTCCAAAATATAGGATAACTGCGTCTAGATCACACAATAAGTCACCCAACAATTTTCCAACCTGTTCCTTTTGTGCATAAAAATTTTTGGTACTACCCATTCAATGGTACGATACTGCGATTCAACTGTGTTTGTTGTTATAAAAATGACGACGATAATCGCACAAAAGCTCTTCGCTTTCAATACACATTAAAAAGTTTCATTCAGATTGATTTGAATGCTACCCGCCTATGTTCACCTTATTCAACATCACATATATTGAACATAATAATTTAATTTGACAATTAATTCAATGGAACTTGAAAACACTATGTATAAAAATAGCCTAGTTCAATACCACTCATATCATCAAATGGCACTTGAAGGAAGTGCGTGCTTGAGAATAACGGAAGAATGATTAACAAATAAACAAGTTATTGATTATTCACGAGGATGATGATTAGGCTCTTTAAAATTAATCGCTTCTTCTTCATCATCCTGATTCGCGACCACAAAATGTACAGCACAAGCTGAGTTAATGAAAATTTTACCCCATTAACCTTCACAAAATCAAATTTATTGTGTAACACAAAAAAAACTGTTTAATTATCACTTAAAAAGCCTCAGTAAATGAATAATGCATAAAATCTACATCCGGAATGGCCAACAAGTGTCCTACTTTTTCGGGATTTACAGCAACACAACTTACTTTCGATTACTCATGTTTAAGACACTTTAATTTATTGTTTTAATTATTCTTGAACTAAATAGGATAGACTTTAATGACTCCCATGCGGCAACTGAAATCTCTTAAGGATTTCTCAACACATAAGGATAGAAAACTTTCTTCTCCTGCTTCCAACCATGACTTAATATTCTCTTGTGAATAATTTTCAAATTTCCACCTTTGCAGCTTAAAGTCTGAACGATACTGAAATTCTATTTTATTAAATGAAATGCGAATGAATATATTTTCGTACAACGATATTCTCGTGTCCTTGATCCACATTTACAGTATGAATGGCAAGCTTTCTTCAAAAAATAGTATAGAAGAGAGGAAAAGGAAAATTGAAAAATAAAGCTGAGCGATGTGAAAAACAAAAAAGAACGAAGTTCCATTGTATGTGTGGTAAATATTCATTGTAATTTCACATACAGTAAATGAGTGAAAGAATCTTGCACTTGATAGAAGAAATGATTTATTAATGACTTGATGTGGAGGGTATTTATGTGATGAAAAGTTCTCTTCATTTCCATTTTTTTTGTTGCCTTAAGTGAATAATTAATGGGAAAAGATTCTAGAGAGTTTATGAAAATTTTTATTTTAGCATGCTATATTGAGGATGAAGGTTGAATGAGATTGTAATTGTTCCTTGGTAGCGATATAAAGTCAGTTTTTGGCAGATATTATTTGAAGGTTAATTAAGGAAATGGAAATGAAATAATTTTCGCCAATTTTCTTTTTAAGCTGATTCTTATACAGTAGACATGAGAATAGTCAATTGACTTTAGCTTGTTGATTTTTATGCGTCAAAAAGTCCTTGAATTGAAGATTGCTTAAAGTCATAGAATTTATCTATTTCAACCAAGCAGAACATCATTAAGTTCATTCTGAAACAATTTCAATTGATATCCAACCGATATCAACAATATAATCGTTTTTCAAACAGAATAGGCTTTGAAATAATCAAGAATCACCAGAAGTAAACAATTTCTTACCAAAGAGAAATATCCCAACAAGAAAAATCACCTCAAAAAGGATAATAAATGATCTCAAAAAGCAGGTAATCCAAAAACTTTATTAATAAATTACAAAGAAACTTGAAGAAAAGCAGAAGTGTCAAGTAATTCACATTAAAAACCATTTGAATTCCCACATAAATAAATATGATTTACATAAATTCCGTTCGACTTACAAACTTATAAAGTTTATTATCCTATAACAAAAAGAGCATCCTAATTCTGTCATAGATTTTCCTTTCGTGCTTATGCAATCATATATATTGCAACATATTAGCAGTTCACTTCCGTTACATTTACTTTCACTTTGTAATACAATGTGAATGTCATATAAATTTTCATGCTTTCATAGAAGCATATCCACTCAGCAGGAGTGAAAATTGAAAAAAAAAAAGGTTTCCGTTGATAGAAAATAATGAATGAGTGCATCAGCTCCATCTATCGTAAGTACATTGGCACTAAAAGTATCAACGCTCGGTTCATGTTGATTCGCTTCCGGAATATATAATATTTAATGGATAAAGCTAACGCGATAATGTATTTGCATTTATTTATAGCCAACGAAAAAGAAAAAAATATTTTTGTAATGACAATAATGATGAAGGTAGTTGGAAGTTATGTATGAAAATTATCAGGTGTCATAAAAGGATTTTGTATATATGTACACACATGGACATATATGCACGAAGTAAGAATGAAATGAATTGAATTTAATGTTTACAATAGCACACGCGTGACAAAGAAAAATCTGTGAATAGACATAGAAAGGAAGGGAAGGGACAACAATATCTGATGGCATGTAATAACAACGATGATGTGTTGACAGAAACTATACACACCAGAAATCATTTAATTGAGGGGGGATCTCTAATAGCAAAGCATTATCGGGAAGCTTCTTGTAAAAATAGTAAATGTTTGAAATATAAACAAAAAAATAAGTTTTGGATAAAGAAAGAGGAAGAAGCTTTTTCGGTTATTTACTGCGCATATTCGTCAAATGCTACAGGAATCTGCTTTCGGTTTTCTTTTCTATATTATACTACCAGTTTGCTGATAACTCTCGTTTCGTTCGGTTTAATATTATAAAGTTCATAAAGCGTTCGCTCAATTAAATTAATATAATTAATAAAAGTGAATATAAAATTAATAAATTTAAATTGCAAGTAGATTGTACAACATCCTTATTCATCCATCGTGTGCATATACATACTGGATTACTATAATTTAATATTTTTTTTTTTAAAAAAAGTGAAGCTTTCAGTTACGAGTGCAGAGAAAAGAAGAAAGAAAAAAAAAATTTTGGGTGTTTTCTCTTTATCCGAAAGATGCTTTTTCCTTCTTCCATCCAGCATCTGTGATTTGCTAATGAAGCGCTTTATTTAGCTTTCTTAATTTGATTATTAAATAATTATTCCTTGTAGATGGAATATAAATTATTATCACATACTAGTATCCCATACATCCACCACACAACGAACGTGACTTTTCACTTATTTCTCTGTAATATAGTGGATGGATATACATAATAATGGTGGAGAGGAAGAATGATGATGACGTTGATGATGGCTCAGTGATAAAAAAAAGAGTTCTTGACTCGCCGTAGTGGTTTTGTAATATATTGATTAGGCTGATGAAAAATGAGCGGTCGTTGTAGCTGACTGAGATTCCCGTACAAAAATGTAGCACTTTCCATTCATTAATTTACAATATCTAGTTAATTAAAATTTGAGCTTAAAAAAGCTAGCAATTGGATACAAAAAGAGAGCGAGAAAAATCTTTTATCAGCGTATAGCGAAACTATACAGCACTCAACAGAACAGAGATAAAATATATATTATAAAAAAATTTTTTTTTGCAAGATTTCAAAGCGCATGGCTGTGAAAACTATATCATCATGTACCAATGTACCACTTTTAGCATTTTTACATACAAATTTTTTTTCCTTTCCTTTGATTTTTCTTCTCATCATCTTTCTTCTCTCGAATTTCCATTAAGCGTTCTTCAAATGAATTTCTAAGAGCTTTTATGACATCATATTTCTTATTATGCTCCTCTCCACTAGCTGTATATGATTCTTGTTGATGTATATTATTATACAAATAGAGGATAAAATTGCCAGAAGCAATCAGCTTATAATGAACCAAGCTTTCTTCCTTTTTCATTTCTATTTCCATAATATGTTTTTTTTTTGCATTTCCTACAATCTACTTCCTTTTATGGATATCTTTGTCTATCTCTCAAAACAAAAATCTCCCTTCTTTCCATTCCAAAAACTATAATTTAGAGCACCTCACTGAATTAACCAAAAAAAAAGGAACCGAGGCAAGAGCAGTGAGCAAGTGCATTGCAAAGTGAGAGAATTTTCGTAGTCAAAAAGTTTGATAAAAGGCATCAAGTTGGGGAATAAGGCAGGAAAAACCTCAGAGGCTGCAGCCGAAGCTGGTGACGCACCACCTATGGATAATTCTGTATCGCCAATGCCAGAAGCACCATTAGCTATGATGGAAGTTGAAAAGACACCAAGCTCAACACCAATGCATGATTGTCCACCACCACCAGACAAGTAAGTCATTTAATCTGCAATTCATAAATGTTTAATTATCTCTCATTGTGTCAACATGAAAAAGTTTTGATTATCCAATTAGGATATCTGTCTTATTTCCATTATTATATTTGACTGTTAACATGCTGCAAATGAAAAAGTTACAAAAGTTTTAATTGATGATTTGTAAAGTCTATTTATTCTGTTCTTCATTGTTGAATATGAAGCTTGAGTGTCCTTAGAGACTGAGTTTTCCGGACTCTAACACCTCACGTGCGACAATTTTGAGATACTCAACACTTTCCGATCGTGCTTATTTATTTTAATTTATATAAAAGATTCTCAAATTTGCAACGGTTTTTTAAATTTTGAAAAATTATTTCTAAAAATTTCAAATTTAAAAAGTCCGTTTAACATATGCTGAATGTAAATTTAAAGCATTCATGAATGCCTGCAATTTTTCTCACATGATAATTTTATGAACATTTTGACTATAAAACTCACATCCCCATCAACATACATTCTGCCCTTAAAATATTAAATATTGTTTATAGCTCGGATATAAACGATTAATAGACTGTTCCAATTTCCACGATGAGAATTTACAATAAATAAGACGAGCCAAGCAGGTGTTTACGGAATAATGTAACGCATTCCTAAACTTATAAATTTTTAATACTTAAGTCAATCGATAAATATCTATCTATATGATGAGTTGCAATGTACACGATATCTACACGTAATTTTATCCAAAAGTGAAAGTCCATAAGTAGCATTAAGGGTAGAAAAAAATCAACATTGGCTATATTGCATAAGACACGCAAAATTGAAATAAAAGCTATTTAGAACAATCAGTAATTTTAAGGCTTTCGATGTCCTAAATTAAAAGCGATTATTTGGTTCCAAAACAACTTGTTGGGCTAGTTTTTCTTCTTTTAAGGAAATTGTAAGTTCAATGAACTCGTGAATAACAAAAGCGGCGTGCGTACACATATTAAGTGATTTAGAGTAATCAATAGAAGCATTAATGTTGACATTATTTATTGTAATTCTGTTACGATAGGTCATGAATATTTAGAAAGTATCATTCTTGATTCTTTTTTGATTACTCTTGTAAAATATCGGCATTGTTACGTGATATCTGTTTGAGCATGTAATATAATATGAATAATGATCATTAACGTACATTTATGATGACACAATTCATACTTGTAACCTCGTAAAGATTATAGACTGTTTGGAATCGAGTATAATTCATAAAGTATACTGATTGAATATTAAATGCTCAATTACATTCTAAACTTATTATTAAGGCATTAAATGCTATTAAAAGGAAATAGTTTTTTTTTATTTTAAGGAACTATTAAGTCACTGAATAATGTATGAAAGTTGTTGCGTTCTTGGCATTAAATTATATTCTTGCACATTTTAAAAATTCAACGGATTTTAAAAATTTAAATTAGATCAAGTTCAAACTTTGAACCAGCGGATATTCAAATTTTAATTTAACAGCTTTATGGGAATCATGTAATAATCTTATGAATCAAGGCAGACAAACAAAATAAAGTGCAAGTTATGCAATGATATTCATTCACACCATTCCTCTTCCTTCTCTTCTCACACAAATTGCCATCATACTCATATCATATTTATGTGTGTCATTTATATGATGCTTCTAGTTTTTCAACTACACAGAGGATATCAATCAACCCGCAGAGGAAGCATTTAAGAGTATCTTTTTATATTCTCTGAAATTATTTAGAATTAAATAAATTAAATGAGACAAATGAGCAACACATGGTGATGTTCAAGTCGATCTATATAAAAATACATACATTAAATGATTATGTAGACACAAAATAAGTCAGTGAATGTGTCATTCATTCTTTTACAAAATCTTATAAGATATTTTACTTTCTAAATTACAATGCTTTATTATCATCGTTTTACTCTCACATTCATTTAAGGTATAAAACGAAAGAACATTCTTACTTCTTCAAGTACTTGAAATATTTTTCTCATTGAATCGTTTACCATAAAATCTTGTAAGAAGCAGTGTAAAAAATAAATAATTGAACGTGAATCCACAATGAATTGTAAATGGAACTATAATCACTCACTGTGATATATAGTGCATTAATTCCCAATCGACAATCTGGTTTTTCTCTTACTTACAACCGATGTGAGACCTTCAATTAAATAGGTAAAAATCAATTCGCTCTTGTGATACATTTTCTCGTATGTGAGCCTTTTTGGAGTAGTATGGCATGTACGAAAAACGGCAAAGCAATTGTAATGAAAGACCATTTTGCGTGGATGGAATAATCGAACGTCATTTCCCGCCAAAATTTTTCAATTGTTTACAAAAAGATTTTATCAAAAGATACAATATCTAAGCTGATTGATCAGCTAATGATGACAAAATCCTCTTTGCTCACAAAAGTTCAATGATATATAGTCATTCAAATGAGAGTTAAGTGTTATATCCATTAGAAATCAAAGAGTAAATATCTCAATTGAGAAAACAAACAAACAAAAAAAAGAAATTGATTTGAATTTTCCGGCACTTGACAATAAAGTAAGTGCCATCGACAATAGTAGTTTGTAAGAAAAGAAAATGTATCATGTCGATGGACATAAACTTAAGTGGCCGATACAAAACAACAACGAAAAAAAAAATTGAGCGAGAGAAATTTTTTCCGCTGTTCTGTGTATGCATGCATTTAATATCACATACAACAAACAGCATATATAGACAACAGACATACGGGACGGGAGAGAGAAGAGATATTTTTTTTTTGAAACTCACTTTAATTACATTTTTGTCTTCTCCATTTCTTTCCGTTTTTTTTGCGACTGCTACTTTCGATAATAAACTATTTTTCCATCACACTCTCAGTCGTGTTTTGTACATGTTTCGCACAAGAGATCTAAAACAATCACTTACTGTCTGCTTATTATCATTTGACTCGCGCGTGAAGGAAGAAAATTGAGAAGAAAAATTTAATATTTTTCAAATAGAATAAAAATTTTTTTTTCGCACGTTAAAAACAGAACTGATTTACCTTGTAGATTATATATCTACATGTCTACATAAGTGTATTGATAATTGATGTAGAGAGAAGAGAAGGGCGAGTGAAATCAAGATAAACGAAAAAGTTCTTGCCATTTCCTGCGAAAACGAGAAGAAAAAGATCAATCTGTCAAGCTCTAATTAATGCTAATTGAATCATTTATTTAATTAAAGTTCATTCCGAAAAACACGAGAGAGTATGCGATAGCCTAAAATCAATTTTTAGCAGTTCTGTGACAAATCTAGTGTGAAAAGCTGTTTGTAATACTTATCTTAAAAAGATACAAGAAACATATAAAACAAATTTTGAGTTGCTGTTCAATTTTCTGGCCTCAAAGTGGATAATAAACGAGTAAAACAGTCAAGAATGCCGCGAAACGGTGCTCAAACGTAAGTTCGACACAAAATTTTTTTTTTATCAATGTGTTTGCTGTTGAATGACATGGGAAGAAGCATAAGAAATGAATTTTCTTTTGATGTCTGTCAATGGTTACATTGCAGATGTGCGTAACATGTAACATGCATGTCAAGGTGTGGTCACTGGCTTGTGAATTTTTTTTATTATGGAGATTCATTTAAGAATGTGCTTTTGGACCTATGATGAGACATATCGGGCTATTTATCCATAACAGAATCACCCATCGAATGTTGCATAATTATCAAAAAGTCATGTGACTTTAAACCCCCCCCCCCCCCCCCCCCATCCCCATTTTTTAACCTGTTTTAACCATTGAATATAAAAAAAACCGACTCCTGTCAAGTGTCCACATCTTGATGCACGCATATTGACATATTATTTTGTGTGTAGAAAAATAAATGCGCTTAAACTTTCATTAAGAAACTAATATATTTTATTATCATGACAGGTGTGCAGCTTGACTATAGTAAATGAAGAAAATGAAAGTTTTTCTATCGCCTGCCACCCAAGTTATTCTTACACTAAGAAAAGTTTCTTGGTAATCTCTAGGTAGCATGAAGTCTAATTTGATTTCAAAAGGGCACGAAATGTGTAGTGAGAACTTATTTTTTCTGTAGCACTTCCATCTTCTTTTTTTTTCATGAGAATCTGTAATCATTAATTTGATTTGGTAAATTGAATGGGAATGTAATACGTGAAAAATTACTTTATTTACTTGAATAAGGGGAGAATGCTGTGACTATAAACTGTGTGTCTTAATATACTTAATGTTAGTTCCAGTGTAAAAGTGAATCAAGGCAAGATGAAAGGGGACGGAAGGTAGTGAGAAATTGCTTTATGTAAATTACAAATTGAGTCTACAAAAAGGGTGAAGCTTTTGAATATGCACAAAGAAGAAGAGCATCTTGAATTTTTTTATGGAGGATCACGTGCTTAAAAAGACTACAAGACATCAATTTTTAAAATTGCTTCATTTGGGCCATTTTGATTCAGGAATTGTAACAAGTACTGTTATCTGAATCTCAATTTTTGGCTGACAATGTTCGTGCTAGATATGACTGTGTGTACCTGATTTGGGCTGGCATTTTTGGCTGTCTCAGACATAGTAATTTCCTATTAAGCATGATTTGAATGTAAATTAAACGTTGACTTTCTCAACACACGAGTCTCAATGAATCATTAATTTACATACTGAATTTATTAATTTATTCTCGACACATTAAATTGGAAGTCCTCTAAGCGTACGAAATAAGAGCAATTTCCATTTAAAATTAGTCTTTTTATTATTATTAAATTTAATTTAATAAAACTTTTGAATTAAACTTCATCATCAGATTAATGCAAACATTGCAAAGAAGCTACTCATTTCGTTCTTTGAGAAATGGAAAGAAGTCATTTAAGTATTAGGTGACTTCGAGTTTGAATAGTTTAGAACAAACTTGTTATCTATCGAAAGCTTTCTTTATCCTTACAAAATGCAACTGTATCAATTCTTGGGTTCGAATCTTACTTAAACCGACTTGTTTTACTTAAGTTTGAACACGGAACCATTTTGTCAAAACCAGCTAAGAGTACGGAACTGATCAATCTAGTTTTGGTGAGTATTGCACCTTTGGAGCCAATACTTATGGACCAGATCTTGTGACTAATCAATAAAATTAAGAAAATGATTTGAGAATCATTGAACTATAAACAGACCTACTCAAGACATCACATCTGCTCCAAACGACCCAAAATGCTCATAATTGAATGAATGTTCTTACTTTAATAATATGAGAGATGCTTCTTCCTCTTAGCTGAAGTACGTACACAAAGTTTATTCTCAAAATTACTTCCTTGTTAATTCAATTAGTTAAAAAAAATCAATTTTTATCTCTGCTGAACTTTTTACGATTCCCAAATGAAATCATTTCATCTTCAAGGAACGGAAAATGATTTTTGCTTCCCCCTAATTTTCATTCAAGCTTGCCGTGTGCGCGGGCACATTCTATTATTATTTTGATTGTTGAATAATTGATGAAATAAAATGTATAAGTGCCTCCCAAGTAATAACAATAAATCCAACGAAAATTAATCATTTTCAATTATCGAATAAAAAAATCCAGTTCCAGTAATGACAATCGTCCAAAAATAATAATTTTTTATTTCTTTGAACAACAAAGGCAATAGAAACAGAGGGAAGAATACATGAATTGGATTATTTTTATAAATAAGAAGTAAAATTTCATAAATTGATTTTCAAATACAATGATGCTTCCGCTATAAGTTTAACAATCAATACGATGATGTTAATGTGAAGAAGAGCTTAAATATTATTCATGTATTTTCATAACATCTAGCTTAATTATTGCTTATTTAGTGAATAAAGAGCTATTTGTGCTTGTAAATGTGCAACTTTCTACAACTCATTTATTGCACAAAAACCTTCTAATCATCGAAAAGATTTTCGTACAGCAACAGCTCTTTTCATTCATATGATTTTTTTTTCGATTCACAGCACATGCTTGTCAACAACAGCATGAATACGTGTTTATATATAGACATACATACCATTATACATTTATTGGATATAGATAATGTAGAGAAATGTTATTGCTGCCGACTGCGACCATGATCATGAAAAAAAAAAACGAAAGTAAAATTTCTTTGCCTTTATGGATTCATAAGCTCTTGATGGTAAATTATGTTGTTGGAGGAACGAGATGAAGCGAGAGTCATTTAAATCAAATTATGCTAAATCATCAGAGTTTTGTGGCTCAATTTATGCAGTAGAAAGATTTTTATCGCTGATGATAAAGTGAAATGACCGTGAGAGTCGCTGTTTATGTTGAAAATATATTTGGGAAAATTTAATTTACTTTAAGTGTGAAGATTTTCTAATGTCTTTGCTTGGTATTTTCTAAAATTTAAGCTATAATTTTGTTGGATGTTTTCTCGTGATTTATTAAGTTAAGTTTTTTGGGGTGTCAAATATTTTTTAAGCTAATTTGATAATTAAACCTTCGTATTGTTCTGGTTAAACTTGTTAATTTGTTTTAATATTGCGAATTTTTAGATCTTAATAGCTTGTTGTCTGTTGATTTACTTGTTGCCATTGGTGACAGCATCTTAATTTGTGGATCTTGAAGAAATCATTGTTTCATCTTTGAATATTAATTTATTTACTTTCTAAAATCTCGAAATTGAGTTCAATTTTAGTCAAATCGTGAAAAATTGGCGCCAAAAGTCAAAATCTAATTTTCTGAACCTTTAAAAACTCTAGATTTTACAAAATCAAGCTGAAATCTTGAAAAAAGTTGATAAAAATCATTTGTAGCCATAAACAACAGAGATGACAGCCACAAAAACAGTGCTTCTCACCCGCTTCCCTTTCTCATCTTTCTTAAATGCCATTAACGAGTATAAGTTTGCCAAATCTAGATTTTCGCACCATTTTTTTTTTCATGTGTTGTTGAAATGAATGATGCATTCATGCATGTCAATCAATTTGTACATTTTGTAGCTATCTATCAATTTGAAAGCTGTATGGAAAATAAAGTCGACAATCGTCATAGAAATGCTTGTTGCCTTTTGTGATGATGTCAGCAATACGATAAATATATTTAATTTACCAACTGACTTACTTCTCGTATATGCTTTCATGTAGAATATTGATATGTATATACATGCTTAAATTGAAAAATTGGTTCCATTATTTCGAATTTATAAATTGTAAAATGCAAAAATAATTTTCATTTAAAAAGAAATTTTTCTTTCTTAACTTTTTTTTTCCTTTATGGAGAAAAATGGGTTCAAATTATTAATGTCTTGATCTCAAATAACTTTATTTACTTTTGTACGAAGTAGAATAGCAACAGCAGTTTTAAATGAACAAATATTTAACAAAGATAATAATAAGATATGCAATATCAGACGAAGTTAATTAGTACAAAACGGCAAGATTCTTTCTTACTTGAAAATTATCAGCCACATGTCAAAAATGACGTAAGGGCTGCGGGAAAAATTTCCTCTCATCATGTGCTAGTGTCATCTTTCAACCGTCTGCTTGACACTATTTTCAACTTATTTTAATTGATCTTAATTATGATAGCTATAAATGCTGAAGTACTAATCATAAAATCATTCATGATAAACTACTCTGCAGCATACTTAACACTCTTTTTTTTTTTGATAACTTAGCGGAACAGATTCATGAGCTTCATAAAAAAATATTAAAAAATAAGTTTCAAGGGCAATTAAAATTTATGTCGTGCACTATAAAAATGTATAAATCTTTAAAAATATACTCAAATGACGGAGAGTGAAGCTTTTTTTTATGATAATTTATAGTTGTGTATTTTACACGAATTCTGATTTAGTTGTGCAATTCTCATGTAATTTTTTTTATGACTTTCATGTCATTCTGAATTGTGCTTACTGGGTTACATATCCGTTAGTCTGGGTCTTTTTGAGCACTATAGAATGTTAAAGTACTAGATGATACTAGGATTAGGTATTAGATTAGGATTAAGGACTAGAATAAAGTACTAGATTAGTTTAAAATTCAACACATCTTTCATTAGCAACTTTCTAGTACTTGATTCATTTTTAAGTCCTAGATTAATTCAATTTCTAGTACCTGTTGAGATGGTACTAGATTAGCCCTAATGATTTATTCTAGATTGGTTACAAACCTTCTAGTACTTCATTCTGATTTTATATTTATGAAAACTCATTGTTTGGATATATTGAATAGCTTGGCCCTTCAAATCATCAATTAATACTCAGAGATACATAGGAACTTATGGAAAATTATAAATAATTACTTTAATATCCTGTTGATAATGGAATTTTGTATGAAAGCATTAAAACAATGATCATTCCAGTTTAAACATTAATTTCTCTATTTATGCATAAAATAAGTAATTAAGTTCCTACATGGAAAGATAATTAATGCATTTAATATGTAGATTACATAACTTTCCTGTCCTTTAATTGACTTTAATGCACCTTACGAATTCACCAGCCTTTTCATACGCTTTTGATAAAATCATATGCTTAATCCAGCATATGATCAATAAACTGACATGAATGCACATCACAAGGGTCTTAATTAAGTCACATTACGAGAAATTTTTAATTGTCTTGTAAGCGAAAATGATGATGATCTCTCTTTTATGTTTCATGTGACAATTAAAAAATATTTATCAGTAATTATGATATGGCTGAACATCATTTTACATGTCAACACCAATTCCTTTATATTATCATATTTCATTTTTATTTACAGACGTTATGATGATGATGAAAAGTCGACATGGCAATGTGGATCATGGTGCGAATACATTTTTGTTGTGGTGACGTCAAGCATCCTTCTCTTATCTGCAATCGTGATGACTGTATTCTGGGTTATTTTCTATCGACAAGGATATAGTCTCGAGGATCCAGGCAAAGAATTTAACTTCCATCCGACATTGATGATTGCTGGATATATCACATTCGCTGGATTTTGTAAGTCACAGACCATTAAGCACCATCTGCTTTCGATTTTCATACGCAATATTTTTCTTTTTCATTTAATTTAGCCGTTCTTCTTTATCGCATTTGCCGATGCTGCTCAAACTTGATTGTGAAACTTTGTCACACTTTCTTCCATGCATGTGCGATTCCATGCATTGTTCTCGGCTTTCTCGCCGTTTTCGATTCCAAGAATCAAACAGCAACACCGCACTTTTACTCATTACATTCCTGGCTTGGTCTCATCTGTATGGGACTTTTTGCATTCCAGTTTGTCATTGGATTCTTTAGGTTAGTGCTTAATTAATGGATATATGTCATAAACTCTTCATTTTTAATTAATTATTTAATTAATAGCTTCCTCGTTTTGCTGTGCTGCGAAAATGCCACATACAAATTCCGCTCGACAATGGTTCCAATTCATGCAAGCGTGGGGGTTGCTACATTCATGCTTGCCATTGGTGCTGCAATTACAGGATTCACTGAAAAAGCTTTGAACGATATTGGGTAAGTAATCATCTATTGTTGTTGCTTAATTTGAGAATTAACTCAATTTGGTTGTACTTCCAGCCGAGACACATACTCGACAATGGTTGAAGAAGGCATCATAATTAATTCGATTGCAATTATCTTAATTGCTTTGGGCATCTTGGTTCCATTTGCCGTTCGTCGTACAAACTCTCCAGCCAGCTTTAAAGTTTACGTCACAGAAACCATATGAGGCCAGGTTAAAGTGCAAATGGTGAAGGAGGTTACTGAAATTACGGTAACAGAGCCCGAAGAACCTGCACCAGATGCTGAAAAGTATTAAGCAAAAAAAATTTAAAAAATTTGTCGATGATAAAAGAAAGAAAGAAAAAAAAATTAAAAAAGTATTTTAAAAAGTAAGTAGATGTGTCAAGCATAATAGTAAAAGGATTGATAGGAATCACTGTTTTGCATAACAATATTTTTTATTAATTAAAGTTAATTTAAAGAATAATTATTTTGTTCAAATGGACTAAAACAAGGATATATGCATAATAATGATAAATTTTATTTCTCAATGAAGAACTGAATAAGCTCAACAAAGTATAAAATGAATGCCGTTAAATGTTCGTCAGGTGGTTCGGGTTGTTGCTTAGCAGTCGAATGAGATGTGAATTTGGCAACGAAACGTGACATGTTTATTAATAGCTGATGAGATATGAAATCGATGATTGAGGATGTAAAGTACTCGATTGGATTTATTAAAAATTGATGGAATCATGTCGTGGGTTGAAATTTGAGCTTTTTAAGAGAATGTTGAGGAATTTTAAGGTTAATGACCTGAATATTTGATGTATTGACAGATGTTTGACTTTGCTCATAGATTGAACTTAATCTTTGTTTGTTTAGGATGAACAGAGGATTTATTTGAGTGATTTGAGCTTGATACTCTATGGAAATTGGACTTTGTTCGTTTTAAGAGTTCAAGATTCTTCTGGATCTGATACTTTACTAAGTTTAGATTGTTTAACATAGAAAGATCAATGTTACGATAAGCATACAGCTTAGTTTACTGGAAAATTTCAAGAAAAATAACAATTTCAATTAGAAATGTTTGTAAACAAAGATTTGGAAGCTCAAAATCAGTTTTGAACATAAAAAGTCAATTTTGAACTTGAATACTTTACTTTGAACTTAAAAAAGTTCTTTTGAACTTGAAAAGCTCTATTAGTAAATAAATCCTCGAAAAGCTCAAATTAACTTGAAAAGATCTCGATTAAAATTGGACAAAAAGCAACAACAATTGCCGGCGAGGAGTTTAACGGCTGTAAAAGTAGAAAACATGAAAAAATTTCTAAAAACAAAAAACAAAAAAAAAATTATTCATAAACATCGCCAAATCTACGTTTAATGATTCATTAATATAGAGAAAAATTCATAAAATTAAATGATATAAAAGAATTAAACATTAAAAATTTACATAAATGGTCATTAAGCATTAAAAATACATAATAATTAGATAATTTTAAAATTTTACGATGCTATAAAAATTATTAAAAAATTCATTTTTAAATTCAAGCTGAGTGAAGTGTTGATTTATTAATTATAATAAAGAATGTGAAAGAGGTAAAAGCAAAAAGTTTTTGATGTAAATTCTTTTAATTATTCTTGATTGACGCTTTTCGCAACAGAAGAAGATGTGGAGGTGAATTCTAGCGTAAAAAAGAGTTTCTTCATTATATTATGCGCGTATATAAAACATTTTATAATAACATAATATCAAAATTGAGCTATTATGCTGCGAGAATTTTGTTAAAGATTGTACCAATTTTGCAAATTTTTATACCTATTTAAATAGAATCAAAAAAAAAAGGGGAAAAAGATCAAATATATTTCTTATTATCTTTTACTAAGTAACGTATTTCAGACACTCGTTTTGTTAAGTTTGTTATTAAAAAAAGATTTCATAAAATTATATACAAAAATAATAAATGAATTAAAGTCATGTCTCCGTTAGTGGAAATGTCTAAAGTTTGAGAACTTTTCTGATTTTTATTTTTTGATAAAATGTTGAACTTTTTTAAATTTTTAACGTACTTTTAAATTTTGAAAGTCTAATAAGCTTCGAATAGGGGAAAAACAACCTGAGGAGCTTTTTTAAGGATAGAGGGGAGGAAGAGTAGTTTGACTTAATAATTACACCAATAAGAATGATTGTCCAAGCTTCAGGTTGTTTTTCCCCTAGTCACTATAACACAAAACCATACAACAGCTTTAAACATTTGTAAGGTTTTAGAACACAAGCTCAAGAAGTAATAAAAAAAAGCTCGAATTGGAAAAATGTCAGATAAAATTAATGAATTTTGAGTTCAAATGTGACACCGACCAATTGAAACGATAACTGATACCTAAAAATAGCAGAATGTAGATAGATAGAATAACATAGCGAACTCACCAGGAAATAAGATCAAATAAATTGTCATTTGAATAGCAATAATTCTTGCTCATCAACATCACTAGTTAAATTTGCCAATACCAATCCATTAAACCTTACATGTGCAACAATTAGGCTTTGAATTTATTAATCTCAAAAATACGTATGAGCTGCAATAATTCCTTTTGATATTTTTTTAAATCTAAAATTAAATGAAATTTCAGGTTGACTGTAAACGCAAAGAATGCCAATTTTTGTATCTAATTCTAATTAATCCTTTAACTATCCCCAATTTAGGAGAGATTTAATGAGTTTTCAAATGAAGATAGAATACACGATGGAAGGCGTAGACACAAACAAGTTTATTCATGATATAAAAAGGACATACATTTAAAATTAAAAATAGAAATTCATGCGAAGTTTTAAAGTAGTGAAGATAAAAAAAAAAGTAGATTAAAAATGTTCAACTAAGAAAATATGGTAAAAAAATATATTAATACACACATTTTAATAAAAAAAATCCATTTATCATTCCACTAACGATTTCGAAGTACCAATTTATTAAAAAATGATGAAAAAAAAACAAATGAAACATGTTTAAAACAAATTTTTTAAAGTATTGCTACAAGCAGAACATTACCACCGGGATTAACGATGAAACTTTTTTGATACAAAATGAAATGGAAATTTTTTTTGGCTTATTTTACCGGGAAAGAACCATCCTGTTTTCGGATTTTTACAATTTTTTAATATAAATAAAGAAATAACAACAATCGTTTACAATATAATAAACATAACAACATATAGGAATGTATCTTTTGATGTTGATTTATGCATTTACATGTTTTCGGGGGTTGCATGATGTGTACATCCAGTCACTCAATCAGAATGGAAATGTTCATTTGTTTTTTGTTTATGGATGTTGAGATGAGTTATTCAATATTTGATCAAGTTGTTGGATGTTTGTAAAGCTATTCAAATTGTTTTATTGGCAAACAACCAATAATGGATGAATATTGAATTTGTTATAAAAGATTTAACGGATTTCAAGAATTCAAATTTTAACAGCTTTTAAAAACTTCAAAATTTCTGATTTCGAATTTTTGACGAAGAAATTCAACGGATCATTTAAAATCCAAAAAACCGTTCAAACATTATTCTTGCTTTTCTTCGATAATTGTGATTCATTAAGCTCCTAAACATGTCAGTCATACTTCATGCTTGAAATTCACAATGAAGGAATATCAAACAAAATCGAAATTTTACTCTAAAGTATGTCTCAGCATCTTAATAAATGCAAAAACATGTAAATAACGTCAGTTGACCCTGTTTCATGGATGCATAAATAACCATTGATATCTTGTCTTGAATAATAAGGTTGATGTGAAAAAATGTGACAAAAAAAATTCATAAATACATAACATAAGAAAAATATTATGTGTTCAAATTGAAAGAAAAGTTTAAAAGTTGGAATAAAAAAAAAAAAAAATAATAACTCAAAAAATACTGTAAAAATGTTCGATTGATATGTTTGTTATTATGATATGAAGTTCACTCAATGTTTTATTCTGAAATAAAAAAGGAAAAATTGTGCAATCGATCATTCAATCTTTAAGAAGGAAAAATGAGCATAAACAGAAACACAAGATTTACAAAATTCACAACGAGACGAAAAATTTCTCTTAAAAATGATGAAAAGAAATCATATAGCTTTAGTGTGTACTCTAAAACTTTTTAATAAACAGCAATGGAAATAAAAGAAATTTTCATAAACATTCAACATATAAAATTCAATTACATAGCATGAAAAATCAAAAAAAAAAAGATCAATTTTTACGTCCGCTCATCTTAGTAAAAAAAAAACATGATAATCAATTTCCGGAGATGATGAAAAGAGATACAATTATTATAGTATTTGTTTTTAGCAATAGCGTATGAAGACGTTTGTTTTTTAAAAATCGACATAAATTAAGTATATACAAATTTTTATGAGTTTTAGACATGAACTTTTGTAAGACGATTGACCACAAGAAATTTTTTTCTATATAACATTAATTCATGTTATTATTATTATCATTATAACAGCAGAAGAAGCCACACACATTAATCGTAAATAAAAATGAGTTCAAAAAACAACCAAAACTATTTTAATTTTTCAACAGTTTTTAAAAATTTAAACTTTCAAGTCTTGAAAATTTTTCGAAAATGAGTTTTCAAAACTGAAGAAGACGTTAAATTTTGAATTTCAGAAATAAGTTACAAATCCCTCGCAATCAAGATTAGATTGCAGTCTACTTACTTTTGTTTGTTGACAAACTTGAAAAACAGACATATAACAAAGAAGCTAGTCACATAATCTGTGTATCTATTAATATCGTCATGAATCAAGCAAATATTTAGTCGAGCATAACATTTCAATCTTTAACCGTTTGAAAAGCCAATAACAAATAAGTCAGAAACTTGATTTTCTGTCCTTTTCTTTAAAACAATTAATAAATCATCTGTTTTATTATAATCTTTATAGTATTATTATAGTGTAAGAATTGTTTAAAACCTCAAAATAACATTTTTCAAATAATATTTTCTTTAATATTTCCCACATTTAATTATCTTTTTCAGTAATAGATTTGTAGCATGTCTCGCAGAGCCTTACTGGTGGTTGACAAGCTTCATTTGGTAACTGAGCAAAATTGTCACTGCAATCTGCACAAAATATCTCCTTGCAGAAACGGCAATGATGTTTCCTTCGTCCCAACCAGAACTCAATTTGACAAATTTTGCATTTATTTCGTGCATGATCGGGAATCCAAGGCGTTATTGTAGGACCGCATTTCTCTTCTACTGCCTCCCACGAACATATCGAATTCTCTGAATTACATTCCGGATGCTAAAAGAAAAACTATAAGGAATCATCGAAATATTCATCCACAATCCACTAAGCTAGTTCTTACCGCATCTTCCGACATATTTGCACTATTCGTTTTAGTATTTTGATTATTGTTGCACTGACAAGATGTGGTTTTTAGTAATGCTAATCTCATTAAATAAAGTTCATTCTGAAGTGCTTCCTCTTTGAGCTGCAAGTATAAAGGATTTTCATTAGAATTGTCACTAAATCTACAAAGTAGCGATTACTCACTTTATGTTCATAGACTAGTTGCTGTAGCCGTAAATTTTCTTGACTCAATGCATGTGATAAACCGTCAGGAAGTATAAAGTTACGATCCAATATTGCAGGTGTCGCTGAGCGCAATGCAGGCGTCGAAAGTTGTGAATCATTTGATGATGTGCTAAATAAAGTAAAGTCATGACTTAATTTAGATGTACAGCAAGTTTTAGGTACGAGAATTACCTTTCTTTCTTGCTTTTCGTATCACTTTCATTTTTATGTCCATTGACGCTTGGATAGTTTAATTTTGTTCTTTTCAAATGTTGTTCTAAATTATCAATAGTTATTGGCATTGTACATGCTTTCACATTCATATCACCACTAAGTTTAGTTTCAATTTCGATTGCCTAGAATTGGTAAAAAAAAATGTGGTAACGATTAAAAAAATATTCAAAAAATAAAGTACAAGTTCAATTTTGAAAAATTTGGTCAAATTTTTTTTCAAATTCAGAAAAACAAACGTTAAAGTGCAACAGAAAGTAAGGAACAAACAAGTTCACAAACCTTTACGCTATCTACCTCATCTTTATTACAGTCATCGAACGGAACATGGTGTCCATTTCCATTGATTTTCTCGTCCTCAATCTTATCATTTATAGTACTTTCAGTAATTTTGTCATTGTCAGTTCCATTTTGGGCATTTTTAAAATTATTTAAATCATCATGATGATTATTTCCATTACAATTTATAATTTCCTTTGATTCCACATCACATTTTAATTCACTACTGTCTCCATTCACGACTTTACTTCCATTTTCCATTATTTTAATCACGTCAATATTATTAATAGTATTATTGATGCTGTTCTGCTGATTAATATTGTTATGATGATTTATATTATTGTTGGTTGCTGTTGTTGCTGATGACGAGGATGAATTTTCTTGAAAAATGCTTACTGTTAATGGCATATTATTATCGCCAAATACTATTGAGGGATCACTAAGTCTTCGAGTAGAATTCTCCTTACTTTTTATTTCCGATACTAAATCATCGAAGCTTCTCGTCTTTATTATACCGTTCTCTGTGTAAATTGTATCATTTGAAATCTCTAAATTTCCATTATTATGCGGCGTATGAAAGCTACCTAAATAAAAGTCATTCCAGAATATCAAATTGCGAACATTATGTGATGGCCATAAAACTTTGTCGCGATTCGCTTGATATAATGGATTCTTATAGATTGGTGATGATAGGAAAGGCCACACAGAAAAAGTCCGATCGAAAATTGAATTTTCTATTCTCTCTTTGTATGTATTGCATAAGAATGTCCCAAATAAGCACGAATGAACATGCTGGGCTAATTTTATGAGAAATCCCTTTGAAAATTCAAAATTACACGGATACTGATGATGTATTTGATGAATGCAATCTATCCATTGCAAAAATACTGGACATCTCTCATTCGTATCATCACTTCCAACACCATGACCGATACGATCACCAAACTTGTGTCCAAAACTCAGCCATTCTTTCTCTACTAATATTTTAAAGCCTTCAATTGTCCGATAAAATGGATCTAGACATAACTGAGCTGTGGCCGATATCTGAGGGGTTCTATCCCATCCATCTACAATGATATAATTATATTTAACCCGTTATTTAAAATTTTGAAAATCCAAAATGTTAAAGTTCAAAAATTGAACCAAGAATTCAAACTTTCAGAACCCGTTAAAATATAAATATTAAAAATCCGTTACCTGAGCAGTGAATTAAGACTGGACGATTACTTTTCTCAATTGCATGACATACAATATTTGTGGCAGATATGAGTCCGGAAATGTGCTGAAGCCAGTTTGTCTTCTCTAATAAGCTATACCAATTTGGAATATCCATTTCAAGTGCACATAACTGACGAAGACTTTGAAAGGATTTTCTAATAACATGAATATTTCCTAAATTCATAAATTGTATTTCCGCTGAAGGATAGTACTCGGCACATTCTACACCTCCTCCACGCGCCCTAAAAGATAATTTCATTTCCAATTTTATATCATTTCAAAATTTTTATAAACGACGACGAGAAGAAAAAAAGATATGCAGCAATATGCAGTATGTACATATTGATTTGTGAAAAGACACACAAAAAATAAGAACGAAAATAAACGAACCTGTTTGTAACAGCAGAGGCATAAGATCGTGCATCTACAATTAAAATTTTCTTAGGTTTATCAATATCTACATTTTCTGTTTGTGATGTATCGGATGAATCTAGTTCTAATTCTGTCTTTGGTGAATTTGTGCCATTATCAAACGAGCAAGCATCGGCAAGTGCTTTCAGTAGCTGTTCATCCTTATTATTTCTCCATCCAAGCCATCCAACTTCTGGCTGTGATGAACGGCAAATAATTGCACCTGAACGATGTCTCCAAGTGACAACAGGAATGCGTTTGGAGCTTCTAAAGCTAGAAACTGAAGTAAGTGTTTCATCGGATATACAAGCAGGAACAATCATTTGTTTGGGATACGATTGACATAATTTAAAATCAGAATTAATTGTTGACACTCGCCAAGCTCCTTTTAAATCAAATTGTAAGCGTTCGAGTTCACGTTGAAAATATTCATCGTAGTCTGTTGCATGCTGTAATCGATTAAACCATTCTTGATCGAGGCAAGTTGTTGATTCCGATACCCATGCATGAAATGGAAATGCAAAAAGACTTTCAAGTTGATCAGGCACACCCGTTGCAATTGCAATCCGATTATACCACTCAGCGCACGACTCATTCGATGAGAAGGAACAAACGTATGTGACCGAATCTTTACAGCTTATAATTAATTGGAAAATTTCTTTTATCTGAACTGCCTCAATGACACGCAATGGAATTGACGTTTCAAACGATTTTGCAGAATTTGATAAATATAAGCGATAATTTGATATTGCAAGCTTTCCATTTTCACATTTTCCTATGTATTTCACTGACTCGCCAGGCACTACACAAATGTATATATTAAATTAAAGTTATTTAGCAACAAAAAGAAGTCAAACTTTTATTTTTTGCTTACGTTCATTAAACGGAATTTGCAAATTAGCGTCTTCTTTTTCCGTTCTTTCCTTTGGAAATAGCTCTGCAGCTCTTATCATCCATAAAGACGTTGGTGAATCCTCGGTCTCGTCCATTATTGGCTATATATATGATTCTGGTGGAAATTACATAAATTTATAATTTTATGGAAATGATAATGATCTAATAGTGTGGCAAATAATCTGCACAGCACATTAAAATGTACTTAAAGTATGAATTTCGCATCAGAAAACACAGAAAAAAATTCTGATTATAAAAATGACCTCGATTTGGGACTAAAATCATTTGAAATGCAATTAAATCCCATAAATATAGCAAGATAATAACACCTGCAATGATTAATGCTATCAAGATAGCAGTTATCAATATTTTTAATACTTTTCACTATTTTTGTTGACTTTTTACAAAGATTTTCATGACGAAAATTTTTTAAAACAAAGAAATTTTTTTTATTTCTCACTTTATTTCACCTTTCTTGCTGTTTATCCTGTTTATTAGCCTTCCATTTAATCTCTAAATTACTTCCAAATTATTTACGTCTCTTTGTTTCTTGTTAAATTAATTAAAATAATTTTTTTTTCTTTACTTGATCTGAAAATCAGAGTAGTAAACAAGGGCTTGTGAGTAAATGATGTCCAACAACTTTTTTTGTACTATTCAGCTATGCACCTAATATATAAAGCTTCGTACCTTAAATAGCTATTGATTCTTATTGACCTACTATACTCACAAAATATGCTGAACATCACTTACGAACGATCCCGGCGATTATTGAATAACTGAATTTGAATTTATTTGAACCGTTAATTATTTTTCACATTTTTAAATATTTTTTGACTGTTATTCATTGCTTGGTAAAAACTCGATAAATATGAAATATTCCAGTATAATTAATGAATTAGTAGCTTCTTCCAAAAAGTGTATAGAACTTGGGCTTATTTGTGCAGGCTGGATGAATACATTTATCGGTATCCTTAATTTCTGCAGGTTGATCAAATGGAATACAAAGTGATTTTGCCCCCATAGCTGGTCCTTGAGCATCACCATCTGCATCCTCACGAGCACTTTCAGCTTTAATTCTCTCTTCGCATGGAATATCACCACAGAATGGAGCCATAATGATATTTTTTGTGTCAAGGAAATTTGTAAATTCTTTCCATTCTTTAGATATCTTCAAGTGATCATTCATATCCTTTGTAGCCTTAGCAAGCATATTTTCATGGATCTTTTTAAGCAATTTTGGAATTTCAACCTTTGAACTTGCACGACTTATTGTAACTTTCTCGCCAGTGTCACGTCTTACAGCCACAAATTGCTGTGATTTAAGATCTTTTGGTCCCAATTCTATTCTAATTGGAACTCCTTTTAATTCCCAATGATTATATTTCCAGCCTGGCGAATAATTGTCACGATAATCTCCTTCAACTCTAACGTCACATGATTTTAATTCACTTTCTAATTCCTTACAGCTATCAATGAGTGTTTTTCTATCGTCTTCAGTTGTTGTTGCTGTAATTCCACATGGAACGATTACAACTTGAGAATATGCTACATTTGGTGGCAAAACGAGACCTTGATTATCAGCATGTACCATGACCATGACACCAATTGTTCTTGTCGTAATTCCCCATGAATTTTGGAAAGCATATTGCTTCTGTTTCGTTTCTGGATCATCAAAGACAATTTCAAACATTTTAGAGAAGTTTTGTCCAAGGTAATGGCTTGTTGCTCCTTGAATTCCACGTCCACTAGCTGAAATGAAAGCCTCAACTGTTGTTGTGAAATCACCGCCTGCAAACTTCTCCTTTTCAGTTTTACGTCCTTTAATTACTGGAATTGCCATTAAATCTGTATAAATTTGCTTGTACAATTCGAGAATTGCATAAACTTCTTCATGTGCTTCCTTCATTGTTGCGAAAGCTGTATGACCTTCTTGCCACAAAAACTCGCGTGTTCTCAAGAATGGTTGTGGATGTTTAAATTCCCAACGCTTAAAAATTAATTTTTGTTTTAACGTATTTTTGAGATTTTAAATATTCAAGGTTCAAAAATTCAAATTTTAAATTTTCAAGGTTCAAAAATTCAAATTTTAAATTTCCGTTAAAAAGCAAATTAGTTTTACTTACCACAACATTATTCCATTGATTAAGCCGAATTGGCAAGTCACGATATGATTGTACCCACTTGCTGTATGATGGATACATGACAGTTTCAGATGTTGGACGAACAGCAATTGGTTCTGCAAGATCAGAATCACCAGATTTTGTGACCCATGCAACTTCGGGTGCAAAATCTGCAATATGATCTTTCTCCTTTTCTAAGGCTGCTTTGGATACAAACATTGGAAAATATGCTTCCTTTACACCCATATCTGTGATTTTGGCATCGAACCACTTTTTAATATTCTTCCAAATAGCAAATGACCATGGACGAAGGATATAACATCCAGAAACATCATAGTATTCAATCATTTCACCTTTAGTGATAACTTGTGCGTACCAATCTGGCAAATTCTCTTCTTTCTTAGCTTCAACACATAATCTTGTCTGTTTCTTCACACCGCCTTCATCTTTTTGTTCAGCAACAGGTGCCTTTTTCGGTTCTTGCTTCTTTTCTTTCACTGGTTTTGCTTCCTTTTGTGGTTGTTGACGTTGTGCAGTAGGAAAATCTTCTCCAGTTACAGATTTATATTCAGCTTTAAGTGCCAATAATGTTTGAACAGCTGAATCAACGTCAGCTTTTGGAGTTGCTTTGTTTGATTTCAAAGTACGGACGACATTTCCTTGATCATTAATTTTTTTCGTTAATTCATCTTTCTTATTATCACTTGATGGAGGGGCTTTATCAGCTGGTGCCATATTTTCCTTATTTGTCTAAATTTAACAGGAAATTAAAATGTTGTGTTAGTAAAGTTAATTAAATCATAAAAAAATAACGGTTTCCAAAAATTTGAAATTTAACGGTTTTTGATTTTTTAAAATTTATGTTCAAATTTTCTTCGAAAATGAAATTTTGAATTTTGACGGTTGGATTTCGATAAAATTTACAGAACATTCTTCAAGCCAATTAAAGGTAATTAATAGTGTTATCATGTATTTTTACTAAAGAAATACAAAGCAAATCAACAGATAACACAAAAACTGGCCTGAAAATGGAACAAAATAGCATTTTTCATCGTCAAAACATTAAAAATGTCAAAAATTGGATATAAAAATCATTTTATTTTGCTTACTTGTGCCTTTTTAGCTTCAACTTTTGGTGCTTCTTGTGGCTTCCAATCTTGTCCAGTTATTTTTTTGTATTCAGCCTTCAATTCTAAGAGAAGTTTTACAGCAGCGTCAATATCTTGCTTTGCAGCCTTTTGTGACTTTAAGTTTCTAACAGAATCGCCTTGTCTAATGATTTTCTCGTTCAAGTCACTAGTTTGACCTAATGATGGCTCTTTCTTGACTTCAACTGGAGCTACGAGAGTGCCCGGTTTCCAATCCTGTCCGGTTAATTTCTTGTATTCAGCTTTAAGTTCTAATAAGATTTTCACAGCTGCGTCAATGTCTTGTTTTGCGGCTTTTTGTGATTTCAAATTTCTGACTGTATCTCCTTGAAGATTGATCTTTTCGTTCAAATCACTTGTCTGTCCAACTGATGGCTTCTTAGCTTCGACTTTTGGAGCTTCTTGAGGCTTCCAATCTTGGCCAGTAGCAGTTTTATATTCTCCTTTTAATTGCAACAAAAGCTTCACAGCAGCATCGACGTCTTGTTTAGCAGCTTTCTGAGTTTTTAAATTCCTAACTGTGTCTCCTTGAATAATAATCTTCTCATTCAAATCACTTACTTGTCCAACAGAAGCTTTGACTTCTTTTTTTACTTCAACAGGTGCTGTAACTGTGCCTGGTTTCCAATCCTGTCCTGTTGCGGCTTTATATTGAGCTTTAAGATCTAATAATGTTTTTACAGCTGTGTCAATGTCTGCTTTTGATGCTTTTTGAGTTTTTAAATTTCTTACAACGTCACCTTGTTTTGTGATTTTCTCATTTAAATCGCAAGCTTGTCCAAAAGATCCTGTGCTTGCTGGTTTAATTTCTTGTTTTGCTGGTAGAGCAGCAACAGTTGTGCTTGGCTTCCAATCTTGACCAGTTAATGTCTTATACTCAGTTTTAAGCTCCAAAAGAATCTTTACAGCAGCATCAACGTCTTGTTTAGCTGCTTTTAATGATTTCAAGTTTCTGACACACTCTCCTTGCTTGTTAATCTTTTCGTTCAAATCACTGACTTGACCAACCGATCCAGTTGATTTTGTTTTGGTGGTTTTAGTCTATAAATTTAAATTAAAATGTTTTAATTTAAAAATCGAATTTAATAAAATTATTCGTGATCACTTCTTAAAACTGAAAGTTCCAATGTGGCAAAAACGATCACATTGACGAAAGATAAATGAATGAAAAACATGACTTATACTAACACAAAGATATGACATGAGTAAAGAAAAACATAATTTACAATTACACGCATATGGTCGAGCTTTTAATGCGTTTAGAAAATTAATTGAAGCGCTTTTATGATTGTTTAAAAATAAAAAAAAAATTCAACGGAATCAACAAATTAAATTTCAACGGTTTTTGAAAATTCAAATTTTTTTACAACAGTTTTCGAAAATTTAAATGAACTGAACTTTGAAAAAACCGTTGAATTGCTAAACGATATTGATAAAATTCTTTGAAATCTTTGGAACTGTCAATATACATTAGTTTAAGCTAAAAGACAATGACCATCAAAATGATTCATAGAAAACTCATTTATGATGAAAAGAAGCATCAAAAGTGCCGAGTACATTTATTTTTGTTGTACTTAAGAGAGAAAGAAGTGAAAGCTTAAAAGTTCCAATACAGACATAAATTTATACAGCATGTGAAATAAAAATGTGGTGAAATAAAATAAGTAAAACTCACCTCCGCAGCTTGTGCTTTCTTTGATAATCCAGAAGTAGGCATTTCCTTTGTGTGACCGTCAGGAATAAAGAACAAAACAATTGGACGTTCAACTCCTGAAAATTCACTGGCTGGAGCATAAGCTTGATCGACTTTAAAGAATCCTCTTCTTTGTAATTGGATAATGTCACCTTTTTGACATTTCTTTAACTCTGGATCGCCAAGCATTCTCGTTTCAGATCGAGTTTGATGTCCAATATATTGTTTAAAATCTTCATCTCTTCCAAGAACAGCCTTACTGATAATATTCTCGAAAAAGACACAATATGTTGGTGGATATTCTGTATCATCTTGTTTACATAGCCATGTCAGTTTTAATGTTTTCTTGTAATCCTTATCATCCAAATTTAAATCTGCATCAACTGAAGTGATTTTACCATTATCTTTAATAATTTTCTTGATTTTCAAATTTCCCCAATTAATGAATGTAGCATTTTCGCCTTCCTTCATACACTCAGCATCAGCATAATCGATGTATATTTGTGGACCAAGCCAAATTGTCTTCATTCCAACATCATTATTCTTTGGATGTTTTGGGACTTGAACGGATTCTAATTTTGCGCCATTGACATTAACAATGACACGATTAGTACTGTCTAATGCTGTATATCGTGGAGCAATTGGATCAACAACTTTTTTATTGAATGCCCAAATCTTATCCCATTCCATGAAAACGACAGACTTGCTTGAACCTTGTGCAATAATGAATTGTTTTAAACCTTCAACAGTCATCCCTCTTCTTAATACACCTCTAACTGTTGGGAATCTAGGATCGTCCCATCCATCAACTAAGCCTTCGTCAACAAACCAAGTTAATTTTCTCTTCGATAAAACTGTATTTGTCATGTTTAATCGAGCATATTCCCAAATGTATGGCTTTCTTAATTTTAAAGCATCAATAAACCAATAGAATTGATCATCACGATCATGATATTCCATTGTTCTCAGTGTATGTGTCACATCTTCAATAGCATCAACAATTGGGCATGCGAAATCATATGTTGGATAGACCCTATAATAAAATATTGAGTAAATATTATGAACTTGCAAAGATGTCATCACACGTGAGTAGAAAATAAAATCAAAAAACTTAAAACATTTGAAAAGTAACGGTCAAAAAATATTTGAAAGAAAACGCCAAAAATTATTCGAATAGTAACGTCTTAAAATTGTTTGAAAAGTAATGGAAACGTTCAAAACAAGTAAATTCAACTTTTACATAGGTTTGCAACCCTTGGAATCATAAAATATCGTCGGTTCCATATTCATGAACAGCAACTTAACCTCCATGCCAATTACAAAAATGCATGGAAAATTTTACCATAAAACATCATTATCTATACCTCAATCTAGAAATCCTTAAAATCAAGCTACCCTAAAATGCAGATAGTACTGCCAAGATGCAGATGGCACTGCTAAAGTGCAGATGAAATTTATTTTCCCTAAAATGCAGATGAAATGCTGTTGCTTTAAAAAAGGTATAATGCATATGATTTTTTATCGTATAAAGTGCAGATAAGCTGCTGCCCAAATGTAGATCGTATAATTTTATTAAAATACATCATATTCGATGACTTTTTTTTTTGATACGTGTTAATAAAAAAAAAAAAAATCCATACAAATTTTCACCTTCAAGTGATTTAAAATCCCAAAAAAAAAATCCCCATACAAAATGATTTAAATCATAAATCAAAAATAAATCACTTGGGTAAAATGGTTTAAATCCCCTTCTAATTACATCAAAATTTCGTGTAGCAAAGTAATTTGAAGTCATAAAGTTTGCAATGTATTCAAAAATGCATTTTTGTTTTTCTGAACTTTTTTAATAACAAAACTAGTGTATCGGGTAGAAACCCAATGCGGATATATTCGCACCGTACCATCAAAAGTCTTGTGGAAAGACCAAGCTAAGCTCAGTATTAATTTGAAAGTATAAATCCTGACGAACCAGTTGAGCTGTGCTCAGCATATGTTTGGAGGTTTAAAGCTAAACGAGCATTTTTTAAAGTTTTTTAAAAACATTTTTCATTCAAAGTTTAATTTTATAAAAATCACAGTCAACTTTTGTTTTAAAAAATTCGTAAGAAAGAAAAGTTTTTTGCTTTTTCTGATGCAACGACTGTTCCTACCTTGCCCAAAAACTATACAGCTATTCTATAGAGCAGCACAAATCAAATGTAAAAAACCAGAAGTCTCTACAATGTCTCGTTATTGAGATTTCTTGCTGATTAACTTGCTTGTTTGCTTACAGAAAGCGTATTTTGCGATTTTCTCAGCAATTTTTGCAACCAATTTGAAATGTTTTTTGCAAAAGATGTGAAATTACAGGCACAAACCTTTCATCTCTGAACATTTTAAGCTATCTTGATTCCATATCCTCACAAAATTCTAAAAAATGATTTTTCAATCTGAACAAAACCAATAGACGTGAACACACGTGAATTCACACGTGAAAACGGTGTGAATATAAAAAGTTTCAGAATTAAAGTTTGTGCCTGAAATTTTACATCATTTTCAAAAAATAGATTTCAAATTGGTTGTGGCATTGCTGAGAAAATCGCAAAATACGCTTTCTGTAAGCAAACAAGCAAGCAAGCAACTTAATCAGCAAGAAATCTCAATAACGAGACATCGTAGAGACTTCTAGTTTTTTACATTTGATCTGTGCTGCTCTATAGAATAGCTGTATAGTTTTTGGGAAAGGTAGGAACAGTCGTTGCTTCAGAAAAAGCAAAAAACTTTCCTTTCTTACGAATTTTTTAAAACAAAAGTTGACTGTGATTTTTATAAAATTAAACTTTGAATGAAAAATGTTTTTAAAAAACTTTAAAGAATGCTCGTTAAGCTTTAAACCTCCTATGCTGAGCACAGCTCAACTGGTTCGTCAGGATTTATACTTTCAAATTGATACTGAGCTTAGCTTGGTCTTTCCACAAGACTTTTGATGGTACGGTGCGAATATATCCGCATTGGGTTTCTACCCGATACACTAGTTTTGTTATTAAAAAAGTTCAAAAAACAAAAATGCATTTTTGAATACATTGCAAACTTTATGACTTCAAATTACTTTGCTACACGAAATTTTGATGTAATTAGAAGGGGATTTAAACCATTTTACCCAAGTGATTTATTTTTGATTTATGATTTAAATCATTTTGTATGGGGATTTTTTTTTTGGGATTTTAAATCACTTGAAGGTGAAAATTTGTATGGATTTTTTTTTTTTTTTTTTTTTTTATTAACACGTATCAAAAAAAAAAAAGTCATCGAATATGATGTATTTTAATAAAATTATACGATCTACATTTGGGCAGCATCTTATCTGCACTTTATACGATAAAAATCATATGCATTATACCTTTTTTAAAGCAACAGCATTTCATCTGCATTTTAGGGAAAATAAATTTCATCTGCACTTTAGCAGTACCATCTGCATCTTGGCAGTACTATCTGCATTTTAGGGATTTTTAGATTGAGGTATTATCTATTCAAAAAGTGTAAAAACGAATTTAAAAAAAAGTTGCTCGTTGTGAGGGTTCAATACCAGCGACCTGAGGATTGTAAAAAAAGTCACCTTTTTAAGGGCTGCGTAAAAAATACGTACGTAAAACGTAAGGCGAAATTTTAGAACAAGTTAATTTAATTAACCTTCCTGTGCTCAAATCGTTCTGATTTTTTTGGAAGACCTTGCCAGACACAATACAAATATTATAAGCCAAAATGTATAGATGGACAAAACTCGGACAATGGTGTCATTTCCAAGGGTGTGGAACTGAAGAATTACATTTTGATCATTTTTAATCATATTTGATCATTTCATCAGTACCACACCATTGGTCATTTCTTGAAAACAAAATGCGCTAAAAATGCCAAGAATATGATGAAATCACTTACTTATATTTAGTTCCAGTACGTGGATGTGGTTCATTTTTGCATCGATAAATTGTTGGATCTCTCATACATCCATTTGGCGATGACATGTCAATTTTAGCACGAATACAGCACTTTTGTCCAGTTACACTTCCTGCTAACATTTCTTTCCACATTGCAAAGTTCTTATCGACAGAATTATTGCGATTTTTAGATTCAGCTCGTTGTTCACGTTCTTGTTTCATTAATTCCGGTTCTGTATCATCAGCATAAGCCTTTCCTTCCTTCATTAATTGTTCACAATATGTAAGCATCAATTCAAAGTAATCAGACGTATAAGTGAACAAGTCTGGCTTAATTTGTAGCATTTCAACATCTTCTAAAATAACTTCTTCAAAATGTACATTTTCTTTTGCTGGATTTGTATCATCAAATCGCATAATTAATTTTCCATTGAATGCTTGTTGATAATATTGATTTAAAAGAGCAGCTTTAGCATGTCCAATATGAAGATATCCAGAAGCTTCTGGTGGGAAACGTACAACAACTTTACCCATTTCAGCACCTGGCAAGTCAACGAATTTTCCTTCTTGCTTTCTATCTCCAACATTTGGATTTGGTGATTCTTGTCTTTCATTCCTCTTCTTTTCCTTTGCATCTTTGGGAATGGACTTTAACGCTGATTGAACAGGTTCAAGTGCAATAATAAGATTATACCAGCGTTGAACATTATTTGGAAGTCCTGTTTTCTTTAAATCATCATATTTAGCGAAGAATTCATTGAAAACTGCCAAATCAGCAATTGTAAGCTTATTAGACACGAGATAAGTGAGTGGAGCAAGACATTTATTTAAATATTGAATAGCTGTATCAATATCAGCATCATAATTCAGACAATAAGTAAGCCAATGATCAATTTGAGTTCTTTCAATCGGTGTCTTTCCGTACAACTCATATTTTGGTGCATGACGAGCCAAACTTCTTAACAAATCATTGTTTGTAACACAGGATAATGTAGAATTACCACACTGAATCGATGTCTCCTTATTATTCCATTCAACTTCCACTGGATCAGTCGATTTGATAAGTTCAGCAACAACCAGTGCACCTAGAACATTTTTTTTTCGCGATAAAAATAGACATTTCGTCAGCTTTTTGCAATGTTTTTATTAATTTAAAGATCTTGATAAGAATTTAAGAAGGGGAACCAAGCACTTACCAACGGGTGGATTTTTCAAGTCACAAAGTATCTTGATTGCCATTTTAATTAAATATTAATTGATTTTTCTTGTAATTTAAAAAATCAAAATATTCCACATACACGTGAAGAAAAAATGAATTTCGAATTTTCGAAAATGTTTTCGCAATTTTGCCGCATTTCAATTTTAAAAAACCGTTGCACAACAACTGAAATTCAAAAGCATGGCATGAATGAAAATCCGTTAAATTTAATGATGCTGAATAAAACTTTATGTCTTTCTCGTAACATGAACAATCTCATAGGGAAGATATTTATAATTTTTTACAGTCTTAAGTCTTAATTTAGGTATATAGGTGTATAAATATAAATAAAATTCCATCATACCGTGCACTTTTCACATCCTTTTTTCATGAGGAAAAAGTCAATTCGTCATATAGAATTTTTATCTCGTTTATAACAATTATTTTGTGCTGGCTGGCTGCTTGATTAGGTTTGGAATCAACATGAAGAATGACTTTTTCGTGAAGAGAAGATAAAAAATTATTTGGTTTGTAGAAATAGAAGCTACTGATTATGTAAATATCGTGCATATATCTTGTCATAAATCCATTGAACATTCATAATTTAATATGTTTTGAAAATAAACACCAAATAAAAAGATTGTACGTGTAGAAATTATGAATTTATTTATTCCTGAGCTCCTGTTAACAGCATAGCATCTTCTGGAAGTGCTTCACGTTTGTAGCTTTGTTCTGTAACAAGATAGATAACCATTGATCCAAAAAGTGCAGTCATGAGACCAATAGAGTTGACCAATAAAGCTTCACTAGGCATATCCTGATAATTCTTCATTGTAAACATTGCTTTCTCTGTCAATCCCATAAAAGTAGCAATAAGGGCGAGGATGAATCCAAGAAGTCCGAAAAATACATGAATAGGCATGTAAAAGATTCTGAATGTTTCCTTGACCTTTGGAAAGAGATAACAGAAGAATCCAAAGACATATTGGCATGAAAATACAACAACAGCTGTAATTCCAATCCATGAATGAAGAGAATACAAATTTGGAATTTTTGGAACTGCATAATTGTGAGAATCAAATACAGCAATCAGTCCAAAAACGGTAAATACGAATGCAAGAGCATGAATTGTAGCATGAGTGACTTTCAAGCTTCGTTTTCTTGCATATCGGAAGCCTCGATAGATCAGAATTGCTGGAAGTAAAGATAGAGTAAAATTATTCAGTCACACTATTTAATGCTCTACTTACAGTTTCCATACAGAAAAATCATTCCAAAAGACATACAAATTGGATGCCAATTGAAGATAATCTTTGGCTTATCATAATTATATCCCAGTCCATTGAGATGAATAAGCACCCATGAGATCACCAATAAAAGCAAAAATGCTCCTATTAATTGTGTTATCAGATAAAGTAATCGAAAGTTTACAAGACGTGCTTGTCCAGCTGCTCTATCCATTATTTCTGATTTACCGGTAAAACACTCACTGTAATTAAATTAATGGAAATACAATTAGTCAGATTAAGAACTTTTGACCAGCTTTCATTAATTGTTATAACCAAAATGACATGATGATGTTGTTCTGCACAAATCACATTTCCTACTATCTACATTTGTATTTATTTGCCTATCAACATTCTCTTATTGCTGATAACAATTTGTTGGCACTTTCATTTTTATTTTGATTAGTCATGCAAGGCCTTTTAAGAGACAAGTAATTAGGTATGCGGAACTATTTTCAGCGCATTTATGTTAATTTCGATTCTGTAGTTCTATTTTAAAATTGTAACAGTTTTTTGAGATTTAAAATTCTAACGATTTTCAATAATTTAAATGAAAAAGTTCAAAATTTGAACTTAAGATTTTTGACATAAATTTTTAAAAATTTAACGGATTTTCGAAATAAAACTCAAATAAAATGAACTGAAAATGTTGAGTTCATTGAACAATAAGCAGTTTCAACATTTAGACATAATGACTCTTTTCTAAAGGCAAAATGAAGCTTTAACTTGAGTTAATTGAGCTTAAATATTTGAGATGAGAGTAATTGGCATGTAAACTTTAATATGATTGTTCAGTCATTTAATATAACATGATATGAGCTGAATAATGTCAATAAAAGAAGAAGACATTGTACTTTTGCTCACAGGATCATTTAGAGTGAATTTGACTGACAATATTGCATCGTAAATATTAAGTAATTATGCTCTAATGATAAGGAATAATAAATAAACCTCGTTACTCTCATTAAAACAATTGAACATGAATCCGTAATATAACGGCATTCGCGTATATTTTTCATGAATGTTTCATGTTTTGGAGCATAATTCTTTTTTGCATTATTGATTTTTCAGAGTTTTTGCTTTAATGTCAACAGGTATTTAATGTTGAAACATATGGAAGGTGAAATAACATAGAACCACAATACTTACAATATTTTTTATGCTCCTTTCAAGCTAATCACAATTTATTTAAATATATTCAATTTAAACCTTTTAAATATTTATGCTTATTTCATTTTAAAATCTCAGTTTAATAAATAAATCAATTTAATCACACTTCATTTGAGATTGTTTTTCACTAAAATAACTAATGTATGAAATTAATACTCTCTGGGTCTTAAATCTTTTGAGGTTTCTTTAATTTTTCCAAACAATTTAATAAAAAACCACACAAAGATGTTCTACTCAATCAAGAAAAAAACTCATACTAATGTTGTGAAGAAAAATATATGCGAAAAAAGCAGAAGAGAAGGAGAAAAACTGACGTCACGCTGTGTGATATGTATGATAAAACAATAATTATTGCGCGTGCTTATGATCTGGATTGATATTAGAGAAGCTCAATTGGTCATGATTTTTAGTCATCTCTTTTGAGAGTTGATTTGGTGCAATGTCCTCATCTTATTCTACCCTCAGGTGCTCAGATACTGCTCTTTGGTCTGTATTTTTATGAAAGGTGAACATTTCAAACATGTGGAAGGTTTTCGAACATTTCAACGATTTTCAAAATTTTTGAAAATTATTTCGAAATAAAAATTCAAACTTTCGAAACTGTTAAAACTCAAATTCTTAGTTTCCGTTAAATTTTCTTAAGCAATTTTTCTACAAAACTCAATTATTCGTTGGCTGAAATCAATCATTAAGCAACAAGTTTGTTCATCAATTCAATTTATTGAATCAAAAAAATCGTTATGAATTACAGTAGAAAGACAAAATAGAGTTGGAAATATCTTGAAACTTAATTAAATAGGAAGACAATAAAAAACATCTTAAATTGGAAGAATAAAAATAAATTTAATATCCAGAAATAGCTGGAAAGCTATTGAGTAGAATTAATGTCCTTTAGATTTATCATTTTGCTGTATAATGAGCTTATTTTTCTGCCTTGTGACTTTTGTTGCCGGTTTCTTTTCATTCAATTGCTTCAAATTCTCATGTGGAATGATGGCATTATGATCTCTTTCAACTGTTGCCAATGCATTCGATGTGCCGCCTTGTTGATGATAACGTGTAAAGACGTGAAATTTCGTAAATAGATTTTTCTTAAAGTCACGTTCAATTTCTGTTTGATGAAGCTGTGCATGCTGTTGATGGTATTGATGGCGTGATGCTGATTTTGTTGCCTTAACAATATTCAATTCCTCATAATCAGGCAAGTGTGGAGGCTGTGGAGTTCCTGAATTTGATGTGCTATCAGTTAAACTCGAATTTGTCGTCTCATTTGCAAAATGCCGTAGCAATAAATTCAATCGTGTCTCATGATTCTTCTGCTGTATTATCAAATTCCTTTCGCTTTCTAATCTCGATTGTCTAATTGCATTCGTTAGAATCTTTTCGCGCCATTCCCATGCCTCCTTATCACGTTCTAGTGACATCAAATTCTGTTCGAGTTTACGACATGATTCCTTTAAATCTATGACTTTCATGAAATATTTATAGAGTAAGATTCTCATTTCTTCTTCCGATAACTTATTAAGTCTTGCCATCAATAACTGCTCGCCTTTTTCTCGCTCCAGTTTCTCATTTGTGTCTATTGACTTATGTCCGCAAATCAATTCATTCTTCACTTCAATGACATCGTCAATTGCTTCTATTGCCTCGTCACATTCCAACATTTTACGCTCTTCCTTATATGTTAGCATCTTATCACGTTTTAATTTCTTGTATAATGACACACGTTGATCCAATAATGTGTCTCGTGTTCGTCTCAAATTTCTTATTTCATATCTTAGTGACTCCTTCTCCTTATCCTCGCCAGGCATTCCACTAAGCTGTAGATTCGAAGACTTTTCTTTTAATATTTCATCAAGATGTGAGATTCTAGCATTAACGTCTCGAATCTTGACTTTACTATCACTAAACTTGGAATTTGATGATGGAGATGGAGATACAGCGACTAATTTCTTATTGTATGACTCATTATCCTCATTCTCCTCAATACTTTTCATTTGTTTTGCAATATCCTTTTCAATTGATTCCTTATGCTTAACTTCTTTCTTAAGTACCTTATTTAATACTTCAAGTTGCTTTTTTGATTGCTCCAATGATTTATGTAATTGTTTAACTTTCTTATTAGACGATGATTCAGCCGCAATTTCGTTAATGCCATTCAGATCTAATAATTTTTCTTCAAATTTTGTTGCCATTTCCTTCAGTCGTTGAATCTCGAGTGGATTCTTTCCTGCCATTATTGCTTTGCTCAAGTCTTTCTTACATTTCTCATATTCTGATTGATACTTTGACTTCTTCTTGTTGCATTTGTGCTTGGCTGTTACTCGGGTCTTGTTGTTTTCAATCAGATCTGTTATCAAATTTTTCTTTAAAGCTATCGTCTGCTCTACCTCCTTTATTTGAAGGTTTGTTGCATCGATGGATCTACAAAATATGTCAAATTATTTAACGGTTTTCAAAAATTTAAAATCAAGTTCAAAAACATAAAATTCAAAAAAAATAAATCCGTTATTAAATAACTTACGCAATGGATTTCTTCAAAGACTTTCTCAATTCATCCAATTTCGTAAGCTGCTCACTCTCAGCATTCTCCTTAATTGAATCAGTTTCCAAAGAAGTTGCAGCTGCCGCTTTCTTAATCAGATTAAGTTCGTCACTATTCAAAATATTATTGTCACGAATCGAACGTCTTCGTCCTGTTTTAGCCAAATATTGTTCACTTGTCGATGTATTTGTCGACAATTTCATCAAGTCCTGACCTCCAATAGCTTCATCATGGAGATTCTCTTGAGCTGGCTTACTGTCAGATTGATTACTGCTCAAAATAACTTTGGGATTGTTTTCAAAATATTCGTTGCACTTGTTCCTTACAAGATCATCTGTTTTGTCCTGGAAATTGGACATTTTATCAGAGATTTTGGTAAATAAATTATTCGATTGATCATTAATGTCAATATAGCCACTTTCTGAGTCATTATCGTTGGTTTCTTCTTCGTCGTCATTATGCTGATCATTAGATTCATCCATTTCAATAATTGGGAGTAATGAAGTTTGCTGCTGTATCATAGATGGTTGTGGATTAATGAGCATATTAGCATTCATATTACTAAAATATGATGGTGGTAATTCCATTGTTGTAGGAGTCTGTGCTATAGGTAAGTAAGTATCACATTCATTTTTTAAATACATCCATTCCTGTATCTCCTTACGTTGATCATCCTCAATATCATTGAGATTCAATTTTGAGAAAAGAAGCTCTGCATTCCTTAAAAGTCTTTGATTTTGTTGATTAACGAGATTACTGCTAGGATTAACATCGAATGTAGGTCGGAAGTTTGCATTAAAGAACATGTTGTCGACATTATGCTGAACTGGTGGTGGAGAAAGGAAGCAATTTCCATTGAAAAAGTTGTTGCCAAAATTAGTCGGTGGTGATGAATTGAAATATGGATAAGGAGGCAGCATAGGCTGAGAATAAAAGTTCATTGGTTCACTTATAAGTTGATTTGTTAATGCTTTATCAGTTCCATAATTTAAATCACAGAAATTGACAGTCGACAATTTCTGAATTGCCTGTCCTGTTGCATTATTAATGGATTGCTGCTCCAAGACTATCGATAAGATATTGTGATTACTATTTGTATTATTTCTGTTCCTTAAGCCAACGGAAACAGTTTCCAAAAGCTGCGACATTGTACATTGAATTAGGCCATTGCCATTTAATAAATCTAGGAGTTGATTCTGTTGATTAATTTCCGTCCATCCGACAGAGAATAGACATTGAGTATCTCTTAAGCTAATTAATTCTTCAAAAATTGAGCGAATAAAATTGTGCACGAGTCCAGTTTCCACTTCATTATGCTCACTACTGCTACTTGTGCTGCTGTCTATTGTTGATTCTGATGTGTCTGAAGATGTTGAAATGCGATCAGTCTTAAATGCGGACGAGGATGATGTCTCATCAGCTGTCTCGTAAAATATATTCCTCTTGCCGTATTTCACGATATTTATGTCAAAACCTTCAACATAAAATTTTAATAAATTCTGTTCTTCGAAAACATCCCGAAAAATCTTATCGATATTCTCCGTCTCGCTGAATACAAACTGTCGATTGAAATTTTCTAAAGGTTTATTATTGAATTTGGCATCTTCATTGATGAGATCAGTATATCCATATCGTTGCTTCTCGCACGAAATTTTACATGTTACTTGAATGCAAATATCATTTTCCATTTTGCTTTTTTTTTTTCTTTATTTCTTATTTCTTATTTTCTAAAACATCCAGAAGTTATCCTTAAAACTTTTTTTCCAACCACTTTTATCCTTGTTTTCACATTTTTTTGATTGATTAATACAATTTTGATTATATTCTATTGATTATCTAACGATTTTTCATATTAATTACTATGCTAGTTTATTTTTAATTGCTTTTCAATGATTTTATGGCCTTTATTTACCAAAAAATTATGGAACTTGTGGATAGGGGGTGGGGGGTCTTCAGATATATTCACACCGTGAATAAATTTTTTATGTATTTTTCACAATGAAGCTTAAGAATAGTATAAAACTTCTTTGAATTGTACATGTTCTATCATTTTATTTAGATTCTAGACGGATGAGGGATCACATAAGGTTCCTGATCCTTAATAAATTGCTGAAAACCTTCAATTAAGAGTAAATATATATTTTTGCAATTTTCTCAACAACTTCTCATTCAAAGAACATCTTTATATCTGCAAATCATGGGAACTTTTTAAGCAAGCATTTCTTCCATACATCATAAGCCTTTAATCCACTTAATTCTGCCTCAATAATCAATTTTAACGAATTTAATCTGTTGCAAGCCCATCACGTGCGAGACACGTGGTGTGAATATAAAAAATTCAAATTTTTAAAAATACGTTGATTTCATTTTCAAAAAAAATGTTTGTAAACGTTTAGTGCCGTTCCCCTCAAAGATTCAAAACAATCAAATCGGAAATACTGAAAAGTATTAATTGAGTAATTAAACGATTATTTAGGAGTATAAAAGTAATACACAAAACATTCTGCAAAGGTAAGTGACACAACAAAATTGTTCTGGATGACTAAGAGTGCGATTTAATAATTTAATTAATGTTTACCGCTAATAATGGAATTGTTTATTATAATTTGTGAAATATGAGCATTAAAACAATATGTTAAAGGCTATATAATCATTAATATACTATTTCAGTCATAATATAATGGAAGTAGAATAAGGAACGATTAAAAATAGCCATAATAACATAAATTAAACATGAATCGCACATTAACCTCATTCAAAAATCATTAAATCATCCACTTTCTTTATAGATGGCGATGCCAATAAATCCAAAACCATTCTTGAACTCGTTGACTGGCAAACCTGTAATCATCAAGTTAAAATGGGGACATGAATATAAAGGATTTTTAGTTTCCGTTGATGGATATATGAATATGCAATTAGCCAATACCGAAGAATATATTGATGGGAACAAGACAGGACATTTGGGAGAAGTGCTGATCAGATGTAATAATGTAATGCACATAAGAGGAGTGGTTGAAGAGAGCGAGGAAGGCGAGATGGATTAATAAACAATAAAAAATAAGAAAATACATGATCCGATGCTGATTAAATTTTAATTTTATACTTTATTATCATTGTCGAATTAAGATTATGAATAATAATAATTAATTACTTACTTTCTCATAGGAATTTAATTAATTTAATTGAAAATCCATTTACAAAAAATTTCATTTAAGGATTGAAAGTTCAGAATAAAAGTGATTTATATCAGATTATGATGAATTCATTCCTTTCCATTATCATTATTATCTATCCTTCTCAGCCGACGGTCTCTTAAAATAGTTGTGTGTGTGTGCTTTTCATCTACTACTTTTATGTATCAATTCAAATACAAATCGTTTATAAAAAAGAACAATAAAAAAATTTACATAAAGCGAGTATGCAAAAATGGAAAATTTATGCTTAAAGATCATTTTTGAGATGTCATGATATTATTTTGAACCAAATTTCCGTAATAAGCAGTTATTGCGACGAGCTTTCTGTCCAAAAAGTTTTGCTCGATCTCGACAGCATTTCCTTTGCCAGCGAGAATAGCAAGTTGCTTCGTATTAGAGTTTCGTGGTAAGTACACAGCAATATTTGACGTAATTTTACGAGTTTCACTCATAAGTTTTGATGCTGGCACGGGTAAGAGAGACTCTTCTAAATCATAAATTGTATCATGCTTCATATAAGAAGGACCTCCCCACGGTGGGCTTAAGAATACAATGTCTGCTTTTAGCTTATCAACTAAATTAAAATAATTGCCAACAATAAATTCAATCTTGTCCTGCACACCGTAAATGTTCGCATTATGACGTGCCATTTCAATCTTTTTCGGATCTATGTCTATGGCAATCACTAAACAATACAAACAAAAAAAAAAATTAAAAGAGAGGAAAACAAAAGCATGTCAGTAGGGCACATCATTTTAATAATTTTGTAGCATTTACCTTTTTCACAGGTCTTTGCGAATTGAATGCAATTGCCACCAACGCCACAAAATGCATCTATGATTATATCACTCTTGCATCTTTCAGCCGTAAATGCTGCAACCTTCTCTGGCGTTACGGAAAACCAACTCTCTATGAATCAAATTAATAGTTTCAGTGATTTTTTAAGATTTAAAATATTAACGGTTTTCAAAAATTCAAAAAAAAAGTTCGAAAATTCGAAATTAAATTCGCTTCAATGCATTCAAAATTAAGAAATACGTTACTTACCACGATCGAGACGAATTCCAAAGTCAAAGAGATGAAAAAGTGAGAATCTCTTGTACCAATATTTCTTGAGGACCTTGTCATTGGCAATTTCAAGAGGAATGCTCATCTGAAACTTTCCTTTGCGCTTCTTCTTTTTCTCCTTTTTACTCAACGACTGTGTCTCGTTTAATGTCGCTGCTTTATCAATACAATTCGAGTCGTAATCTTGATCAATTGACAAATTGATGTTCACAATTTCTTCCTTATTCTCAGTATCTCCTTCATCTTCGTTGGCATTTCCATCGCTAGATAATTGAGTTGTAAATTGTGGAACGATTGAAGCGCTTAATCGAGTTGCTGGAATTGGCATTTCTTCGTCAGATGACGATGCATGTAATGTATCAGCTCCCGACTGATTATTACTCTCATTTATTTCATTTCCATCGTCATCGAAATATGTGTGCTTTGGTTTTATGGCATTATTATTGGGAAACATCTTGAGCATTCGAGTATGCAATCGGACATGCTTTTTTCGATACACAACTTCGCCGTTAATAATTTGATTATCATTAATATTATCATTAAAAATATATCCCATCAATTCAAACTGTGACTTTATATGATCTGAATTATTTTCATCTATATCAAGTTCATGACTTCTTTTCAAGTTTATTGGCCTGTCTTCTGGTGGTTCCTCATCATCTCCATTACCGCCAATTTTCATTGATTTTCCAGATTTCCCAAATGTTGTTGGCAAGCCCATAGATTCCATTAAAGATGCTTCTGTTGTGTCAATAACAGTCGAGTCACTATGCGATGGATCATGATGGCAACAATGTTTATCATCCCCATCAGTGGGTACTTCCTTTTCAGGCTGTTTTTGTGAATATTTTGACAAATCACTTCTTAGATTTAAATTGGCTACGAGACGTTGAAGCGAATGCTTTTTTCGACGACGTTTATTGCTAAATTTACCACAACAACCTGCATTTTCGCCAGGCAAAAAGCCCGAGTCAGATTTAAAGCTACTGCTCATTTCATCTGAAATAATACGATGTGCTTCCATAAATTCATTAAAATGTCTCACATACATTTCTTGTACATGCTGTTGCCATTTCATTTGCCAATATTCCTCAGAATCTTTGTCTTCTGATGCTAGCGGGATATGCTCATGTTCAGTTTTATGCTCCATTAATAACCGTTCACATTCATTCGCTACTCTCGTTGTCATTTGATTATCACTTCCTTCACTATCTGAAAATGAACTTATTGTATTACTTTCTTCCTGCTCATCCTCTTCTTCTGACGATGTTGAGTCCGATGTGACATGACTACTGCCAAATCCATAACTTGAACATGTCATTCGTGTCACGTTTGTCATCGAATCATCTGTAAAGGTGCCTAATGTTAATGGAATGCTTGAATTAATTGATTCACAACGTGGACTCAATAGATTGTCTATTTCATGAAAACTGATGTTTTTTTGATGCTCATTATGTCGATGATGATGATGTTGATAGTGTCGTGTATGCGAATAATTGTGATAATCTTCTTGCTTTGTAATACTATCTGGGGATAATTGATTCCATCCCTGAATGATTAAATCTTCGGTAGTTTGCTTGGCAGGCGGAGAAATTACAATTTCCATTGATGATTCATCAGGAACGACAGAAACAAGAGCAGCTTTATTTTCATTGAACTTGCCGATATCTTTGGCATCAAATGAAAATACTTGTTCAGAACTGCCAGTATCATTTTGTTTATTTGTATCTGCTGACGTCGTATTTTCATAGAATTGCATATTATTTTTATCTAAGTACTCAGGATTGATATAATCAATGTATTTTTCGATCCACGTTTGCCATATAAGTCGCTCGCCATTCTTAGCCCAATATTTTTCCCAATCATTCTGATGTGCTTCATCTCCAAAAAGCTCAGGTAAGCTGTTATTTCTCTCGTGATGATATTCAACTGGTGGATCTTCAATCAAGCCTTCCTCATCATTTTCTGGATCATTATTAGCTGTTATATCGCTAGCTATTTCCATATGCTTTTCAATCATATTCTTTTCACTCAAATCAGCACCTGAATCGGACGAATGGAGTTTTGTGTGATGCAGGATGTTTTCATGCTCATCTGTGCTGTAATAATTGTCAGTATGTTCCGTGTGAGATGCACTGTAATAGCAACTATTTGCGTCATTATCGTTCTGTGAAAGAAAAAAAAAAGTTTAGAAAAAGATACGAAAAAAAATCGATCGCAAAAGGCTGTATGCTTTATATAGCTGTATGTGCAGTACGTAGAAATTTGAAATGATTCATTTACCTCATTTTCATGAGAACTCTTTAACTTATTAGTATCTCGAAAGAATGTCAAGTCTGCCTTTTCATTAAAGACATCGTCAGCCTCACTGGTTTCTTCCGTTCCTAAGGTAGATGCGTAAATTGGATACGAGTTTCTGGAAAAAGAAAAAAAAGTGAAAATTTGTATGACAAAAAAGTTTTCCTTTGTTTTTTAATTACTTACTTTAAGAAAACTCTCGTACATAGGCAATTTATTTTATGCTCTGGAGAATCGGGATAGTTTAAGTGAATCTCTGCTAATATTTCACGATCAACAGACATGATATAGAAGCTAAATTTTAATAATTCTCTTCCATAAAATATCTTTTTGTTCAAAAATTTTAGAGAAATTAGCCCTTGTAGACGTTTATGCTCTATTTTTACTGTTTTTCTTTAACGATCGAAAGCTACGTTGAACGTATGAAAAGCTACAAATAAGCAACCTTGAGTATTAAGCGATGTTTCATAATAATCAGTTTTTAAATGTGAGCATTTGAAATTTCTATAAATAAACGTTTTCAAATTTTTTGAAAATTTTAAAGTTCAAAAATTGAACTTGACTAGTTTTAAATTCAGTCTGTAAATGCAGAAAAAATATTAATCTATTTCAAAAGCTTCACACAGACACCCAGCCAACTTTTATATTATATCACATCCACACAATTATCATTGTAGATATTCCAAGAAAAAGTCACAAAATATATTGATTTTCCACATAAAATGCCTAAAAAGTTAATTAAACTAGCATGATTTGTTTATATTAAAGAGCAATTTTTATTTTGACTCCAATTTCTCTCAAATACATGGATTTTATCGGGAATTTAGCGAACTATTTTTAAGTTTTAGAATATTATAATTCTTATTAATCTTTCAGGTAGAATCAATTTACTTCTGTCCCTTATATTCCTTCATGTGAGTAAGAACCCATACTGGGATTGTCAACCAGGAAGCGAACATGAGAGCACCATGAGCAGCTTTTTCCTAAAAATAGTATGTGATTATGATTTGTGTATTCTGGATGTTTACTGGATCTTCAAAAAAAATTAAATTACGCAACTACTTTATTTAATTTCTATGACTTAATATCTTTTGAAAATCCATAAACTTCAATTAATGCACAATTTCAAGCACGATATACTTACACCGAATGAGATCTTGACTCTTGGTGGACCTTAAAATGCAATAAATATTAAGCTTCACACGATTTGATGAAAAATATTAAAAATCTTTAATTTACCTGACACAATAGAATGTGCACGAGCTTGGACAAGCTGTGGTGTTGATGTTACTGATTTAATGAGCTGACGACCGAGCATTTTGATATTTCTTCAATTAATTTAACTGGAATTACTCTTTGCCTGAACTAATGTCCAATAAAATTCAAGAAAAAAGTAAAGAATGTCAATCAATGAACAAAGTAGTAAAGCGCTTTTAAAGTGCAATAAAGCCTATAGACAGACTGATAAAGTGGATTTATTCAAAATTGATTTTAGAAAAACCGTTTAAAAAGCGTTGCTTCAAGTAATTTAAAAGAAATAAATTCGTTAAAACTATTTGTTATTTTATTTCATATTGTTGTCGAATTAATTTTTTTTTTCTTTTAAAATTGTCTTAAACATTAGTTCTTAATTAGGTTTATATTTAAAATAATAATCTTGCAAATTTCCAAACGACAATAAAAAGAAAATTCAAAAAAACAAAATTCCTTCTACACATTAATGATGATGTAGGTGTTCAAAAAACTGAATTCATAAAGTTAAGTTAATTAATTGATTGAGGAGAAGGGACAGGTAGTAGCTTTAAAAGAAAGGTATATAAAATAAATCTTCACTTTTATCTCTTCGAAAATATGATAATTAAACTTATTTTATAAAGTGTGGCATCAAGTACTTCATCATACCGAAAGTTCTAAATCGTTTAACGCCGATAACCTTTTCGAGTTGCTCGTCGCAGATGGCATACTGCTTATTCTTGGGGTCATAAAGATTCTTTTCTTTAATAATTTTCCAAACTTTCTTCACAACTTCATGTCTTGGCAGTTCCACTTCTCCCATTAGTTCAGAAAGCTCGGGACTTAACTTATATGGACGGGTAAATCCAGTAGCTTTACCTTTTTTACCACCACCACCCCCCTTCTTTTTTGATTCTTTCCAATCTTCATCCGAATCATCATCGCCTGATGATCCACGACGTTTCTTTCGTCCACCACCAGTACTCTTTTTCGGTTTATAGTCACTCTCATCGCTTTCTTCAACTTTTCGTTTCTTGGCTGTTGTTGATGTTCTTTTTGCTGGTTTCACTTCTGGTTCTGATTCTTCTGATGGATCCTCGTCTGATTCTGAGTCTTGCATTGAATTTACAGCTTCCATTATCAATTTATCCAGTTCCTATAAAAAATATTGTTTTGTAAACATCCAGTAAGCCTGAAAAAATATTCTTTTTTACCTTTTTACGCGAGCTAAAATCCACTTTCAGTTTATTTTGCAACTGTAGACGAACTTCCTTTGCGCTGGTCTTTTCGAGATCTGCATTTTTTAGGATAGCTGAAAATGATAACAATTGTGTCACATTATTTATAAAGAATCCATTTTTCCGGCAACAAAAAGTTAAAATATTAATTTTCTGCTCATTATCACGACTTCTTACCATTGATTTCTTTTCGTAATTGATCCTTAGAAAATGAGGAAGCCATTGGTAATGTTTTTATAGATGTCTAACACTGCCTATAATTAAAAATCTGGTTTAAAGGTTTGACTAAGTTTATTATTATGAAGGGGAAAACAACGAAGCAAGAAATTCAAATTTAAAAACCGTTGAAAACGTGCGTATGACATGAAGTTGCACCCCAATTTAAAATTCTTTTGTAACGGTTTTTTTTTATCGTCAGCATGGTAAAACACGTGGTATGTAATTTTGCAAACGTGATTGATTTAATTTATATTTTTTGTCTTCTCAGGAAGAAACAAACGTTGTTGAATTGTTAACTGATGTCTATTGAAATTATTATTACACCCTCTAGTTCATGGACCAAAATATAATTCCAGGGGTTGACACGATTTCATCTTTCCATACAAAAAATTCATCTTAACAATAGAATGAAGAAATTTTTCATCAAGATGAAATCGTGTCAACCCCTGGCTTTAAATTGCATTTTAAAACATTTCTAGGTATTATAAATGATAAAGAATGCTAATATTGACATAAAATCGATATTTTTTTGAAAATAGCCTACTATGATCAAAATCAAAAATGCTTTAAATTGCATTTCAAAACATTTCTAGGTATTATAAATGATAGAGAATGCTAATATAGACATAAAATCGATATTTTTTTGAAAATAGCCTACTATGATCAAAACCAAAAATGCTTTAAATTGCATTTCAAAACATTTCTAGGTATTATAAATGATAGAGAATGCTAATATAGACATAAAATCGATATTTTTTTGAAAATAGCCTACTATGATCAAAACCAAAAATGCTTTAAATTGCATTTTAAAACATTTCTAGGTATTATAAATGATAGAGAATGCTAATATTGACATAAAATCGATATTTTTTTGAAAATAGCCTACTATGATCAAAATCAAAAATGCTTTAAATTGCATTTCAAAACATTTCTAGGTATTATAAATGATAGAAAATGCTAATATTGACATAAAATCGATATTTTTTTGAAGATAGCCTACTATGATCAGAACCAAAAATGCTTTAAATTGCATTTCAAAACATTTCTAGGTATTATAAATGATAGAGAATGCTAATATTGACATAAAATCGATATTTTTTTGAAAATAGCCTACTATGATCAAAATCAAAAATGCTTTAAATTGCATTTCAAAACATTTCTAGGTATTATAAATAATAAAGAATGCTAATATAGACATAAAATCGATATTTTTTTGAAAATAGCCTACTATGATCAGAACCAAAAATGCTTTAAATTGCATTTCAAAACATTTCTAGGTATTATAAATGATAGAGAATGCTATTATAGACATAAAATCGATATTTTTTTGACAATAGCCTACTATGATCAAAACCAAAAATGCTTTAAATTGCATTTCAAAACATTTCTAGGTATTATAAATGATAAAGAATTCTAATATTGACATAAAATCGATATTTTCTGAAAATAGCCTACTATGATCAAAATCAAAAATGCTTTAATTTGTATTTCAAAACATTTCTAGGTATTATAAATGATAGAAAATGCTAATATTGACATAAAATCGATATTTTTTTGAAGATAGCCTACTATGATCAGAACCAAAAATGCTTTAAATTGCATTTCAAAACATTTCTAGGTATTATAAATGATAGAGAATGCTAATATTGACATAAAATCGATATTTTTTTGAAAAGAGCCTACTATGATCAAAATCAAAAATGCTTTAAATTGCATTTCAAAATATTTCTAGGCATTATAAATGATAAAGAATGCTAATATAGATATAAAATCGATATTTTTTTTGAAAATAGCCTACTATGATCAAAATCAAAAATGCTTTAAATTGCATTTCAAAATATTTCTAAGCATTATAAATGATAAAGAATGCTAATATAGATATAAAATCGATATTTTTTTTGAAAATAGCCTACTATGATCAGAACCAAAAATGCTTTAAATTGCATTTCAAAACATTTCTAGGTATTATAAATGATAAAGAATGCTAATATAGACATAAAATCGATATTTTTTTGAAAATAGCCTACTATGATCAAAATCAAAAATGCTTTAAATTGCATTTCAAAACATTTCTAGGTATTATAAATGATAGAGAATGCTATTATAGACATAAAATTGATATTTTTTTGAAAATAGCCTACTATGATCAAAACCAAAAATGTTTTAAATTGCATTTCAAAACATTTCTAGGTATTATAAATGATAGAGAATGCTAATATTGACATAAAATCGATATTTTTTGAAAATAGCCTACTATGATCAAAATCAAAAATGCTTTAAATTGCATTTTAAAACATTTCTAGGTATTATAAATGATAGAGAATGCTAATATTGACATAAAATCGATATTTTTTTGAAAATAGCCTACTATGATCAAAATCAAAAATGCTTTAAATTGCATTTCAAAACATTTCTAGGTATTATAAATGATAGAGAATGCTATTATAGACATAAAATCGATATTTTTTTGAAAATAGCCTACTATGATCAGAACCAAAAATGCTTTAAATTGCATTTCAAAATATTTCTAGGTATTATAAATGATAGAGAATGCTAATATTGACATAAAATCGATATTTTTTTGAAAATAGCCTTCAATGATCAGAACCAAAAATGCTTTAAATTGCATTTCAAAACATTTCTAGGTAATATAAATGATAGAGAATGCTAATATTGACATAAAATCGATATTTTTTTGAAAATAGCCTACTATGATCAAAACCAAAAATGCTTTAATTTGCATTTCAAAACATTTCTAGGTATTATAAATGATAGAGAATGCTAATATTGACATAAAATCGATATTTTTTTGAAAATAGCCTTCTATGATCAGAACCAAAAATGCTTTAAATTGCATTTCAAAACATTTCTAGGTATTATAAATGATAGAGAATGCGAATATTGACATAAAATCGATATTTTTTGAAAATAGCCTACTATGATCAAAATCAAAAATGCTTTAAATTGCATTTCAAAATATTTCTAGGTATTATAAATGATAGAGAATGCTAATATTGACATAAAATCGATATTTTTTTGAAAATAGCCTACTATGATCAAAACCAAAAATGCTTTAATTTGCATTTCAAAACATTTCTAGGTATTATAAATGATAGAGAATGCTAATATTGACATAAAATCGATATTTTTTCGAAAATAGCCTTCTATGATCAGAACCAAAAATGCTTTAAATTGCATTTCAAAACATTTCTAGGTATTATAAATGATAGAGAATGCTAATATTGACATAAAATCGATATTTTTTTGAAAAAAGCCTACTATGATCAAAACCAAAAATGCTTTAAATTGCATTTCAAAACGTTTCTAGGTATTATAAATGATAAAGAATTCTAATATTGACATAAAATCGATATTTTTTTGAAAAAAGCCTACTATGATCAAAACCAAAAATGCTTTAAATTGCATTTCAAAACGTTTCTAGGTATTATAAATGATAAAGAATTCTAATATTGACATAAAATCGATATTTTTTTGAAAATAGCCTACTATGATCAAAACCAAAAATGCTTTTAATTGCATTTCAAAACATTTCTAGGTATTATAAATGATAAAGAATTCTAATATTGACATAAAATCGATATTTTTTTGAAAATAGCCTACTATGATCAAAACCAAAAATGCTTTAAATTGCATTTCAAAACATTTCTAGGTATTATAAATGATAAAGAATGCTAATATAGACATAAAATCGATATTTTTTTGAAAATAGCCTACTATGATCAGAACCAAAAATGCTTTAAATTGCAATTCAAAACATTTCTAGGTATTATAAATGATAAAGAATTCTAATATTGACATAAAATCGATATTTTTTTGAAAATAGCCTACTATGATCAAAACCAAAAATGCTTTTAATTGCATTTCAAAACATTTCTAGGTATTATAAATGATAAAGAATTCTAATATTGACATAAAATCGATATTTTTTTGAAAATAGCCTACTATGATCAGAACCAAAAATGCTTTAAATTGCAATTCAAAACATTTCTAGGTATTATAAATGATAAAGAATTCTAATATTGACATAAAATCGATATTTTTTTGAAAATAGCCTACTATGATCAGAACCAAAAATGCTTTAAATTGCAATTCAAAACATTTCTAGGTATTATAAATGATAAAGAATTCTAATATTGACATAAAATCGATATTTTTTTGAAAATAGCCTACTATGATCAGAACCAAAAATGCTTTAAATTGCATTTCAAAACATTTCTAGGTATTATAAATGATAGAGAATGCTAATATTGACATAAAATCGATATTTTTTTGACAATAGCCTACTATGATCAAAACCAAAAATGCTTTAAATTGCATTTCAAAACATTTCTAGGTATTATAAATGATAAAGAATTCTAATATTGACATAAAATCGATATTTTCTGAAAATAGCCTACTATGATCAAAATCAAAAATGCTTTAATTTGTATTTCAAAACATTTCTAGGTATTATAAATGATAGAAAATGCTAATATTGACATAAAATCGATATTTTTTTGAAGATAGCCTACTATGATCAGAACCAAAAATGCTTTAAATTGCATTTCAAAACATTTCTAGGTATTATAAATGATAGAGAATGCTAATATTGACATAAAATCGATATTTTTTTGAAAAGAGCCTACTATGATCAAAACCAAAAATGCTTTAAATTGCATTTTAAAACTATTCTAGGTATTATAAATGATAGAGAATGCTAATATTGACATAAAATCGATATTTTTTTGAAAATAGCCTACTATGATCAAAATCAAAAATGCTTTAAATTGCATTTCAAAACATTTCTAGGTATTATAAATGATAAAGAATGCTAATATAGACATAAAATCGATATTTTTTTGAAAATAGCCTACTATGATCAGAACCAAAAATGCTTTAAATTGCATTTCAAAACATTTCTAGGTATTATAAATGATAGAGAATGCTATTATAGACATAAAATCGATATTTTTTTGACAATAGCCTACTATGATCAAAACCAAAAATGCTTTAAATTGCATTTCAAAACATTTCTAGGTATTATAAATGATAAAGAATTCTAATATTGACATAAAATCGATATTTTCTGAAA